GAAGGGATAGCGAGGAGCAAAAATAAGCCTTGATTTATATCATGTACTATAAATTTTAAAGTGTCATTTCCTTTCTTTATTTTGGAGTTTCATTTTTTTACCTCTTTCGATCTGTCCAAGTTAGGGGAGAACGGGCGAGTTTCAGTTTAGAACGTATAGGAGTAATCGGTCAAATTTGATATTATGATGATCTTTATTGGGCTTCTCCCAGATACCCACTTCTATCTTATGTTGTTGTATGTGAGAGTCCCACAGAAGAAGGGTGTCCATAGACCCAAACGTCTAGAAGATCAAGGAATGATATTATTAGAATGCACAGTACTGCACAATACAAGATCCAAATATTCTAAACCAGACTGGAAAACCACAAAGAAACGAAAGTATTGGTATTAGCGTCCACCACACATTTCCAACAGCAACAACAACAAAGGCAATTAATTAAGCGCTCCTAGCATTCCTAGCTGACCGTCACCCTGTGCCCTGTTTTGGGTGATCAAGCGGAACATCCACCTGCCGCTGTACCTCTACAGCTGTGGCGGACATGCAGCTGCCATCCACTGCACATGAACCCTCCATTGACGGATGGTTGTGTGCCGATTCTCCAGAAAAACCCCCTGTAGATCGCGAAACAGACAAGCAAATGTTCCCTGACGTGCCTACAGCTAACCCAGCTATTGTTGGCCGCCTGTGACTATCGTCGTGCCGACGACTGCGCTGTCGCGGGATCGAGCCGCTCCCAGACATTATCTGTCTCATTTCGCTGGCTGCCGGTTGTTCCTCCCTTCGCTTCGCCTTCAGATGAGCACTCGGGCCTTGATTCCATCTTTTCACCACTTTGCGATACGGTCCAGTAGCTTTTCTTGCCACCTCCCTTATTCTCCGTCTATTGGCTCCCCCTTCGCAAATGATTTTCCGCGCCCGGTACCCTCGGCAAACGTTCTGCCAGTCTTCTAGCTTTTCCCACCATCCACCCATTCCTTCGTAGTAGACTTCCCCTTGTTTTTTTGACCGTTCATATCCCTGTGGAGGTTTTCGAAGAATCCAGCTCGCGGGATCAAAGGAAGAGTTTGGGGTTTCGTCTACTGAGCCATCGAATAATTCAGCTGCTTTTAAAAATTCTTTTGCACCTGTCGATTTCCTTGCTCCATTTATCGCCATTCTCCATGAATCTAGTCGGGGAGCATCTAATTTCACAAGGCCTTGAACGGGATAATTCTGCTTAACAGCATCCCCGCGGGGCTCAGTGAAGGGGCGGTTGAACCTGGGGTCCCCATATGTCCTTCGCTCTGCAGGTGGAACTCTCGAAACAGGATCCAGAACAATCCAGGTAGCTCTGTTTAGCCAATGGTTGGCGAGCAACAGAAAATGGAACGGCTTGCGACCAGGCTCAACTTCACTTGAGAGCCATTCGAGTCGGCAATCTAGATCGTAGATTAACTGGATTTCATAATCGCTCAATCGAGCCCGTGTGCTTTCCCATGATTCCTTCCTTGGGTTCTGAGGATTTTTAGGGAGCTGGAATGAAATAGCCTTGTTCTGCATGGGATGAAGCGGTCGTCTTGCAGAGGTTTCGGCTTCTGCCTGAGATAATAATGGTTGTTGCTGGACATGTCCTTTGATTTGATTTATATTTTGGGCAAGAAGTGATCTGCCTACGTCCATATTGCCATCCACAGAAGCGGTGTCTAGGGAAGCGTCGGAAGTGGCTGATACATGGACCCTTGGGGGAGCTCTACGTTGTATACGAGGGGCGAGCTGGGACATCGCTGAGGGTCCAGAAGGGTTAATACCGGCTGCGACTGACTTGCAGTCATGTTTATGTGTTGGCATATGATTATAATGATCCGAAAACTCGGAATAATGGCCCGAAGAGCTCATAGACTTCAGGATAGCGGACAGTGGACTACCAGGTCGCCCAATCAGACCGTGAAGGCAAGGGGGACTTTGCCCAAAAGTGTGGATTTCCATTTTCGCGGCCCACGCCTTATATTTCCAACTAAGCGATTTTTCCGCGGTTACCGCAGTTTGAGGACCCATGGGATCATTTTGCCCTTCGCCAGAGGGTATGAATCTTCGAAGACGAGCGTCATACAGTGTTGGAAAAAGCGTCGAAGGGATTGCATTCCCTTGAAGGGCTTCCGAGACTGCCTTCCTGCGAACTTCGGGTGCGAACCTTATATCGGCAATGCCCAAACTTGGTGGAAGATGAGATAGGGAGGTGCATCGTCTTGATTCGGTATGCGGTAAATCAAGTGTTGGTTTTTGTCGACTCGTCGTCCGAGAATTTAGAGCTAGATAAGGAGGAGCCTTTTTTGCAGAAATTCGAGTGAGACTGTTATATAAGATTGATGGGATCATGTTGTCACTATGGCCATCTAAGAATAACGGTAGCCTACTGCGTAGTGGGCGCTTCCGAAACTTCACAACCTGTGATGAAATTTTCATCGAATGTCGTAACCCTGGCTTTCGCATCTTGTTTGCGTCTGGTTCACCCGATCCCCGGCCCCTAGCATGGGCTTTTGATATCAGTTCTCCTTTTCGGTGTTCATGGTTTTTCAGCCAACGACGTAGCCAGCGAATCCCTTTTTGATCCTCGAAATGCTGCTTTACCGCAGCCCCCTTTGGATCCCACCACACCCAGTTATAATCAGCATGGGGCGATTTCCACGCTACCGATCGGCGAAATTTCTTGAACCGCTTTTGCCTCCGAGCTCTCTTCGTCTCGTGATCATCCAAAGGCACCCAACCGTGCCAAGTTTTCGCATAGCGAGTGGACTTTGGATTCCCATCCAAAATCCTATGCCTAGTGAAGTGGCGGAGAAATGCCCCAAATTTCCAGATATAAACCGTAAGTATGAAGATACAAAACGTAGCAATCATGAGCCATAGCAACGTTTTCCAGCGAAAGGAGCTTGATACTGGCATAGCTCCACCTAGAGGACCATTGGCCGGACGAGGAGGTAGGACGTGCGTCTGCCTTATCTGAAGAGAGGGCTTATAAATAGGTGCCATATTTTTGTCGTAGCTTGGCCAATAACCCCGTCCTCTTGGACGTGACCTGTTTAGTCGAATTTCGCCAAGGACATACAGATTCAAGTACATGAATTTTTTAAGCCACAAACGCCAGAATCCATGGTCTAGGAATAGCATATGTTTTTATTCCTGATACGTCGAGAGTGCAAAGCCAAGCAACCTCTCTAGTGGGTTTGGACAGCCGATACGAAACGGAGGTATCGAGAGATACCTGATGTGATATGATGCATGAGAAACTAGTATCGACAAGTGAGCTGGCATAGATAGCCCTTCAACCGAGTTCGAAAGCTGACCGGTGCTGAGGGCGATCTGGAGCGCAAGAGGTAAAGGGGCAATGACAAAATCAACGACAATCTCCTGATACATCCGCCTAGAGGTGATTGCGCGACATAAACCGTACGATTTTAGACATGTGCAATGGCGGCGCATGCGCAGCAGTTAGGACACACGGTTGCACTCGACAAGGGGGAGAAGAAAGCAGCAAGACCGCATGGGCCAGTATGATATACTATGAATGAATGAATGAGAGTAAACGATTGGCAGCACCCGTTCAGAACACGGGCTTGGAGAACATGTTGATATGTCTAACCAGCGACATTGGCCCAGAGAAAGAGCCTCCTGCGACAGGCGTGGGAGAATTCTGCCTTCCACGCCAATGCCCTCCAGGACACCGTGGAAGGGACAGCAGAAGCCGTGCAGTGGATGTCTTGCCCTGCCATTTGGAAAGGGGAATTGAGGTTTCTTGTGCTCCGGCTATGTTCCGCCACGTCCAGATGTTGTTTGGAAAGATTTTCTTGTAGGATCCTTCATAGAACTACCAGATCCACCAGACTCTGCATATTTCGTTAAAAAGACCGTGAGTGACGGAGATGAATTTCAAGGAATAAAATTATGAACTTAAAGGCCTGTTGGTTAGGGGTATTCTCCATATATCCAATTCTGCAAGTTTCTTTTTTATGCTCAATTGCGAAAGGGTTTTTCCGGCCGAATTAGTTAACTAACTACACCAAGCCAGCCACAGCTGCAAACGCCCCAACAAATCCTTTGACGGAATCCTGGACCGGTTCTAATAGACCTTCCCATATTTTTCTACTAGGAGGCACGGATTTTTCCACCCTCTTTCAAGTGGAATATGAACTGGAGGAACTGTCGATCTTGAATGGCACTGTACATCAAACGCCCATTGCAGGATGCAACCATATAATTCTTTCGACATCCTCCTCCTTGAACTTTAACCCCCATCACGGAGAGCAGGACTCTGGCGGATATCCAACAGGAAAAGTCCTGTCTTCTCATTTTGCTCGCAATTGAGGAGAGAGAACCCTTTTCATCCTCCTCCTCATTCCTCTCTTCCCCCTCAACGAGATCTCGTGGGTTTCATATCTTCTTCAATAACAGGATGCTGAAACTAAGTATCCACCAGAGCAGGTCATGCTGTGCAAAATTGGTGTTTATATATCATATATAATATATTTTTTTCCCTTTTCCTTTGCTTTTTCTCTTTGCGATGAGCTCCCAAAAGTCTGCTGGACAGGGTCAAAGCGGGATGGGGCTTTTGGCTTCATGTTTCTATATTTCCGGCGTTTGCTTTTGCCTGCGCTTCTCTGGACCGTCTATGACGGGTGGAACCTATTGGGACAACGCTGCGAGCGATCAACGGGAGAGGCAACTGGCAAATCAAGCTTGCCGGGACAACGCTGGGCCTACAGACTCAATGAAGTGGTACTATCAACTAAGTTTCGCAGTCTCCAAGAGACATTTGCGGAAGTAGGCCTGGGTCAATCCCCCAATCTTCCTGACGGGATATATAAGAACCCACCTATATCCCTTCGCTTGAGGTCAATCTGTAGTATCTGCATCACAAATCATATTGTTACCCATTTTCATTCAAATCAAGTTCGAATCGCTATCTAAAATCAACTTATTCCACCGTCCTCTTCCAGGTCCAGCAAACCCCCATAGAAAACATGGCACAGCGCTATTTCGACGTCAACATGAGATTCGATATCCAACCTCCATTGCGAACCTCTCCGGGTCAACGCATGAGCTGGCCCATTGTGGCTACATTTGATGTTGTTTCTCACTTGCATCCAGAGGTCGTAAGACAACACATCAGAGCCAGTCAAGCAAAATTGAATATTTGGAAGGGAATCGACCCTGGGCCTGAAGAATATAATGTGGAATTATCTGCCGCTCTCGTGCCTGTAGATGATGGCCAAAACTTTCAGCTGCGGGCAGTATTTCCGGATGTCCACATCGATTCTACGGGAGACTTCTTCTTATCTGTACATGGGGTGTTTAGCATGCTTGGCGATCCAAATGTCAAGGATATAATGGTCCATCTTGATGTTAGAGTTGACGTGGAGGAAGGCTCTCCAGATATCCATAAATATTGTGAGTGCTCATTTATTTCCTCTTATTCACTTTACGCAGGAAAAGGAAGAAACATTTATTCGTCCACCATATCGATCGAACTATGCATGAGAGAACAAGAGCGTTGAGCTAATCTAATTAACGCAGCACCCGCTGAGATCGGATTCCTTCGGGACAATTATCAGTCCCTTAATATGACGGCGGGTGAAATGGAGGAAGCTATCAAGAGAAGGTTGCATACCACTCCCTGACGGACATCCGACAATGGAATGGCAAGGAAGGCTAAGGAGAAGGGACTTGTGGAAGGAAAGGACGGCGAGAGTACGGCTCGATGGGACCAGGACCAGATCACTGAGATGATGGTGAGCGCGAATTGGGGATCTGCTGATTTGATTTTTAATACTCCGTAGTACTCGAACCATCTTCACTCTGGAAGGAAAGAGCCGCAGTGGGAAATTTTGGGAACTGTTGGGAACTTTTAGATTTTCTGTTTTTGGTTCTGTTCGCCTCATTCGTTTCCAACACTCATTAATTAATAGGATATCTCCAACTGGTATTTCAATGGAATGAGGCTTTCACATTCAATGCTCACATTATTTCTTTGTTACCACTGGACGGGACAACGCGATTTAATCCACAAAACATCCATCGTCGATGTACGTAGTAGATTCACGGAGTCGTGTATACCCAGTAAACACCAAACAGCGGAAGACAGTGCCGCGGAGGACTCCGCGGTTTCTTGGCTCTAAGTCACAGCTATCTCCTGGTCAATGGGAGAAGCAAGATCAAAAAATTAGCCCCATTGACACATACAGCGTAGTGCATACCATAGTAGGTCGTGCATAGGCCGTGCATCGGTACTACTGGGATGGACCAGGATACCTAGTGGAAATGAACCCCCGTATTCCTCCCATATTTAAAAGCCTGTGGCCCGTGCATTTTCCTTTTCGGGACACTTGCGCCAAACCAGGTTTTTTCGGACTCAAAAACAACTTTTTCTTTTTTTATCACTTGAAGGTCTACATCCTTTTTAACCACCTTTGTTCTTTATTACTCCCTAGCATAGACTTTTCCCTGTACATATATTGTCCCATACCTATGCGCATCTTCTCAATGGAAAGGCACTGATTGCATTGCCCTGATGCACCTCAGCCCTGGCACCCTGGAGCACCCCTCCAGCTTCTGGAAGGGTTGCTCGGCTGCGACCATGTATATGGTCGTAGCAGCGTGCCGGGCTTTTCTCTACACTGCAAACAACACAGAAGTTCACGGGCTCGAGAAATTTCTGAAGCTCCTGGAAAGTCGCGCAGATCTGGAATCACGTACCCGCGGACTGATCACTGGTATGGATGGAAATAATACCGCAGCCCTGAGGCAGATGCCATCGGCAGCACTTCTGCGCGTTATCTTTAAAAGAAATAAAATTTCAGAGTTCCTGTGGCTGATATAAGAGGTTGAGACAGTGTCAAATCATATAAGCGTGTACGTACGTACGTAGAGCAGCTATGCAATACAACAAAAGTTCCATGAGCTGATTGGGGCGTACCCTTATTTTATTTTAACAGGATGGATGACCCCTTGATGTGGGGGACAATTCCGTTATTAAATTCACGGGCATTCCAATCGTCTAACCGCAGATGGGCATTTGGGAGCCACGATATATGTTTCAGCAATAGGTAAAGGCGTATATATTGTCGAACCTCGATATATTCCTGCGTCACGTAAACTACTATACGAATTACGCCGCTGATAATAAGGTATCTATAGAGCTGTTTCTGCATTTTTCACCCTGGGCCAGGTCTTGCCTACTCACCGGAGCCTTCATTCTTCGTACGGAGGCCTCTTCCAACCCACCATGACACAAGCAATTCGTCTTCTATCGCGCGGTCCCTTTTCTCCTGAACCATACATGGCGCCTGCTAGTCGGCAGCATTGGAGTCTACAGAACGTCTGCGTTGATCCGTTTTCAGAAGTGGCTACCGCATATACTACCACAGGCGAAGATTCTCATCTCGCGCCTTCGGCTTACGCTTGTAATTCGTATTCGTGGATTCACATCTTTCCCGAGGGCAAAGTGCATCAGGCACCTAACAAGACAATGCGATATTTTAAATGGGGTGTCTCGCGGTTGATTCTGGAGGCATCTGAGTGTCCAGACGTTGTCCCAATGTGGATTGAAGGTACTGACCAAGTCATGCACGAGGATCGAACGTTCCCACGATTCCTGCCCCGCGTCAACAAAAATATAAGCGTAACGTTTGGCGATCCAGTTGACCTGGAGGAGCGGTTTGGCGATTTAAGAAGGCGATGGCAGCACATAAGGGCGAAGGCCGAAGGTGGCAAAGATGTTCTTCCCCTTGGAGTTTTGAACGACGAACTCAAGTATAGCAAGGATGCTATTGAGTTGCGCATCGAGTGTGCAAAGAGGATTCGAGAGCTGGTCCTCGCGGTTCGAAAATCAAGAGGGTTGCCCGATGAAGACCCAAAGGAGAGCAGAGTCGAAACTTGGCTGCGTGAAGGGCCAAAAACCGAGGGGAAAATGGATGACGGATCATGGATTCGAGATGCTTAAGTGCCTGTATATCATCGTTTTATATCATTAGATTTCTGTCATAATTTCGCTAGTTATACTCTCCATAGCTCGCAATACAGCAGCATAGAATACTATTTTCTCATTTTACGTACGTATTGTGCTCCAGTGCCAAGCCAATAATATTGATAATTTCCGACCTAGTTACAACCATTTTAAACGTCTGTGGTAAATGCCTGTTGCCTGAGGAGACTTACCTAAGTCAGCGGCGATCTTCGGCATTTCAATGTCAACTCATCTTTTCCCCCACCACCACCACCATCACCACCACCACCAATACTTTCCCCAAAACTGCCAATAGCCGCCTATGCCCAAGAAACACTCCAAATCAACAACTTCCAAGCCGCATTCTACCGTCCATCCATCTCTTACGTCTCGCGCGAGTTCACAGACGAAGAGTAGTGACTCAGGGACCAAAAATTGGCAGTCTGTAAACGACCTCATCTATCACCTCCGTCGCACACAGGTTTCGAGGCATGATGGGGTTGCTGCGAGTCTGCCGCGGCTGGCTCCCAGATCAGTTCATCCATCGATAAGGAATCTGCTGGAGCTGCCTGAAACTCTTCCACCACGCGCGCGTCCTGGTACTCCTGCCGTTGGTGAGCGGAGGGTTCGGAGAACACCCGGGCCCGTTGCGCCTCCAAGTTGGCTACTCTCAAATGATGTCCCGAACAACCAAGATTCTGAAGATAGATACAATGTTACTAACGGTGGCACCCGGCTCCGTCGTTTACCAGGCATACCCTTCCCAGTTGAGGGTAGCTTACAACATATGATTTTGAAATCCATGGCCATCAACTGGGATTTCCATCTTCTATTCGATGGCGTATTTCTATCCGAACTTCCGACATCAATGAAGCAGCTGCTTCTGAGTTACGTTTCCACATATACAGACCATGCATCGATGGAGGTGGGGATGCACGGGTTGAAACCATTATTCTTAGACAGTTCAGACGATAGCATTATCGAAAGCCACCCAGATATCACCCGTCTAGATCTAAGTTCCTGTCTAGGCCACTGGATGACCTTTAAGCAGTTAGTGCGAGAGATAAAAGGGACGGATCGACATGAATCTCCCTTCCAAACGAGGAAAAATGAAGACACGGCCTTGCCATCCTGGGACGAAGAAATGAGGACCACTATCTCCTTAAACCCAACCCAGCTCTCCCAACAGCGTTTTTCAAACCTTAAGTTCCTATCCCTCGCCAACCCCAACCCCCGCGAAGCCAGGTGGTCTTCCTTGCTAAACCTCCTCTCCCACCTGTCCACGATAACTCATTTGTCCCTCGCATTCTGGCCAATCCCAACCGTAACCCCAAACTCTCTCACAGCGAGTGTGGGACATCCAAAGTTCAATTCCCTCTCCTTTGCTTACGGCGGGACAGACATGTATTCCGCCTTCGAAAACAACTGGGTCGAAGCCGCTGGTGTTCTTCGCAGGTTTTCTAAAACAACATATTGTCTCAAATGGCTGGATCTTGAAGGCTGCAGTGATTGGATCCCAGCTCTAAGCTGGAATGGGATTGATTTGGAAGGAAATTTCCATGCTGCAGCGGGGCCGGAGTGGACTGGGGCGTGGAGAGGCCTTGAATGGCTAGGTATTGGCCCGGGATGGTTTCCCGATATATCTGACGTCGAAGGCTCCTATCTTATCTACGAAAGGGATAAAACCCTGCTAAGAGATATTGAGACAGGGCGTCGTGACTCTTCCTCGCCTGGAATTGCTGGAATTGAAGACAAGAGGGCGCGGATAAGGGAGAGAGACGAGTATCGGAAGCTTATTGAGCGTGCGGTTGAGGTGAAGAAGCAGGTGCATGCGATTAGGAGGGCAGGAGGCGGGAAGTGGCTAGAGATTTCCCTCGGTTTGGAAAATGAGGATGAACTTAGGATGCGAGTATGTGAGGATGTGGGTGGGTGAGGATGCAGTGAGGTGAAGAATAGGTTTCTTTCTTTCTTTCTTTCTTTTTTTTTTTTTTCAAATGGTGGCTGTAAAGTGGACCTATTATATTTTCATTGAACCATGATGTATGGAGTATGCTGGGAGCGGTTCTGCGTCAGATTTTCGAGATATTTCCCTATTTCTTATTTATACATCTTAGAGACTGAGGTCAGGTCACCACAGCTCCTGCATAATTTTCATACACTTGTTGAACTCCATCCAACCCCTCCTGAACAACAAAGGGCAAACTGGGATAAACGCGTATATACCCAGTATACCTCGATGCCAAACCAAGAACAAGTCGGATCAATGCTTGCCACCAGAATTAAAACTCTTCAACGGGTCAACTCGCTTCCCACCCCTACCAGCCTTCCCCCCTCTGCCTCTTCCCTTGTTTTTTTCCCTAGCCTTCCGAATCACATTTTCATGCGTCTTCTTGAACCCCACAAACCCAACATCAGCACCTGTGCCAATGCTAAGACTTCCCCTTCCCTTCGTCGGCATCAGATAATCAGGCACATGTTTCAAATGCGCCTGCACACGAGCAGCGCGTAGCTCCCCATCATGCCGCAACTGCCTCAACTCCTCAGGATTCTCCTCGAAATGGCGCTTCAGTTTCTCACTCTTGACAAGCTCCTGACGAATCTCTCGCGCGCGTGCTTCCTGGACGGCGACGCGGGTAACGGCACGGAGCGCATCCGACATACGGTATCGGAATGCGTCGACCTGCTTCATATCGAAGTGGTAGGGCTTCACCTCCCGACCGAGCTTGTCCTGTCGCTTGATGATTTTACTCAGCATTGCCTCGTCGTGCTTGGCGGAGGGGATGCTAGTTGGTTTATGTTTGCCGAATTGGTCCGAGGGGATGACAAAGGAGAGGGCCATCCCAGTCTTTCCCGCACGGCCTGTGCGGCCGATGCGATGTGTGTAGGATTTTGAGGTGGTAGGGAGGTCGAAGTTGAGAACGCAGGCGACGTTTTGGAAATCAATACCACGGGAAATCCCGTAGTCCTTTTCCTTTGCGGACTTTTTGGGACGTTTGCTTGGCTGAGTTTCGGCATCGTCTTCGCTAGAGTATTGGTCGTTATTCCTTGACGTCTGAGCGCCGTCATATTCAGAGTCCCTGGAGCATTGATCCGATTTCCTCGGTTGTTTCTTAGAATTTTTTCGTAGTTCACCTAGAACCTCCTGGTCATCGACTGCTATTATAATGTCGTAAACGCCCTTGTTGAATTCTTGAACCACGTGGATACGTGAATTTACAGGCAGCTCCGAATTAAGAACACAACTTCTGATGCCAAACTGCTCAAGAAATAATTTCAATCGGTAGCAACGGTCCACGTCACCGACAAATATGATACATTTCCCCTTGACCAGTTGTAATTTAAATATAACATAAGTCAAGAGGAACTTCTCATCCTCCGCACATCTTCTAAACTGTCAATGAGTGGCCTTTTTACAAAATCTCGATCTATTGACAACATACCTGACTACAAACTGGCTTATTCCAGCCCCTTCATCCTCCTTCTCTTCCAGCTTTAAAACAACGGGGTTCCGGCAGAATAAGCCTTTTAGCGTATCTACTTCCGAAGTAAAAGTTGCGCTCATTAAAAAGGTTTGAACACCCCGTGGAACAGCTTTGGCAAGGCTCTGCATGTCTTCCTCATAGCCGTACGAGAGGACAAGATCGGCTTCATCAATGACTAGATGTGTTAGACGCTCGAGGGACAGCGCAGAACTGTTGACATTCGCTACAGCCCGAGCGGGAGTCGATACGACGATATCGGGGAGATCGGCAAGAAGCGAGCGTTGAACGGCATCGGAAACCTTCTGGGTGAGATTTACGGAGCGTACATGTTTGCCAGAAAATGCGGAGAACGAGATCGCTGTCCTGTGTACTTGTTCTGCCAATTCTCTCGTCGGAACTAGAATCAAAGCCGAAATCGACTTGTGCGCAGGAGTATTCTAAAGATATGTTAAATTCCATTCCACAATAGCAGCACAATGCGAGTGAGCGTACCCTCTTTTGTTGCAGAATTGACTGAAGGACGGGCAGAAGGTAAGCGGCCGTTTTTCCAGATCCGGTCTTTGCACGGGCTGCGGAAAAGTTAGAACGGAAGGAATTTAACATCCAAGAGAAAATCAAGTGCTACCTAATACATCCTTTCCATCCAAAGCCAGCGGGATAGCTTCCGCTTGAATCGGCGTTGGCTTTGTGAATTTCTGTTGCGTGAGGGCTTGGAGAAGCCTGGGATCGAGTTTCAAGGTCTCGAAACTGTGGGCGGTGATACTTTTTCCCGCACTATCTTCCGGGGAAGGGACATTGTTGGCATCTAGCTTCCGCTTCATCATTGATAGCCAACTCTGGTCCTGGCACGGAATCTCTCTCGAGTATTGTATGTTCGTTGTTTGGTCGCTGCTGATATCACTGGCCGAAAAAAAACTTATTGAAACTTCCGCCGGAGGTCTTGGCGCTCTGCCCGGCCGTCTAGTTAATCCGGTCCACTTGCTTCAACTCCTAAGTCCTAAACCTCAGCGTTCTGACAAGTTACAGACTTTTGGAGCCACTCTGATTATGTACACACGTACATTGCTGTTCAATGTACAGAAGAATTGGAACCCTACTTTGTCTATTTCGCGATAAGACCTCTATTCTACTTGGTGAAAGTTCTCAACGTGGAGTAGTATGCTGGGGAATATGAACAGTTAGATAGGTTTAACTGTCTGAAGTTAGTTGCAATTGCGATGGCTACTATCGCCTGCTCTGCTGCTTCTTCGTCCCATCTCTGTTAGGTCTGCCATCTGCACTTAAAAGAAGTGACCGAAATAATTTAATTGAGAGTGAGATGAATGAACCGAAACAAAACAATTCCAAAACCAGAGTCCTCGGATGTGTGCATTTGCCAGTTTGACAGCAAGTTTGTCAGAGTAAAGGAAGGGGAAAAAAAGGTGTTGATCAAACTGTAAGTATGAGGGGGGAACTATCATCCAGGATGCTTCCAAAAAGGGGCTCTTCCTAGATTGCTCGTTCTCCAGCACTGCGCCCTTGTGAGGTCGGAGACTCAAGAAAAGTTATAAAAGGGAAAGAAAAGAAGCTCAATTCCTCAAGGTTGTAGGAATACACTCCTTGCCCAATGCTTGAGAGAGTGCAGTTCCTTTGCTGGACAGTTTACCTATTGGTTTGCCTTTGAGGTACCCCCTCCCAAATTCCAATAGCGAAGTCTTTCGAAGCGTTTCTCCTCTCACGCGGCAAAAATCAAATTCGTCTTTAATAATACAGCTTGGCTGTTGATAGCATGGTGTGGCGGTGTGTGGTTTTGGATCAATGGAAACCTTGTGGATTCCATGCTCTGCATATGTTCGAATGGTCCTGTGGACAAGTTGAGCTTACTTTCTCTGGAGCCATGTGAACTATGCTTACAAAAACTAGAAACAGCTCTTTTTTCCGAAACTCAACGAGGCGAAGGATCTCACCATTGACGTGTTCGTTACATTAAGTCAGCGTCGTTCCTGTTCTGCCGGCGGACTTGTGCCACAGGAGCCCGAAAACCTATTGGGAATGTCGGACATTAGCTATTTCTGATGACACTAAACAAAATAATCAGTTGTGGCGATCTACCTGGCCAGCTCTGACGTATCTCTTCGGATTCTCGCTTACGCAATAGCCTTTGAGTTGTTAGCACTTGGACCTTTCATCATAATTAGCTTCAATTCTATTACCTATTCCCATCCAACCTTTGCGAAACATCAGTCGGTCCAATTTGTCGTGCAGGGTCAAGCTCTAAATCTATGAATCTGGTTTAGTTGTGTTTGAACCGCTGTCTAGCCAACTCTCCCAAGAATGTGTGGGGTTATGGTTGCAAACCTTCAGTGGAGGCCTGGTAGGAAGCTTCAGCTCCGCTCGGTGCGTCCAAAGGAGCTCCATAATTCATTTGATCGCAGTGTTTCCCACTCCAAGCTGGCGGACTCACGTTAGGCTGAAGCGGATATGTGAGGTCCGATGGAATGTTATGAAAACCTAAGATATTGCTGTTCTTGTGATATGGGCTCGTGAAAGCTGCTGGTTGATAACAGTCGTTTTGGGGCTGGATGGAGTATCCTGAACCGTAACCGATCTGAGAATTACTGTTTTGCCGATCATATCCTCCAACGTCTGATACGCATCTAGAAGCCGCTGTCAGAGGTTGATCTTCCAGCGTTGATGACAAATGATACCGAGTGTTAAATTGCGGAACGTTGGGATCGAAGTTGTGTGATCTCTGTTGAACTTGGAAGCCTTCCATCTGGTTGCGCGCCCGGACCTCTTGTTGGTTCTGGGCACTTCGATTGATACCCCCGCCGGCTTCTACCACATGATGGACTTGGGTCTGCTCGTCGGTTCGCTGACCGGAATAAACGCTATGTCTATTTAGCTCAACTAAACATTTGACGCTCCCTCTAGCATTGTGGATCTTAGAGCGAAGGTTAAAATGGCGATGCGTTAATACGCCTAGCTTGAAAGAGCTGATTAGGAGAAATACTTCACTGTTCTTGGGACAGTGGATGAAGGTACGACACTGTCCTGCCCGACTGATCTCCTTTCGACTTGAGGGGCTAGCTGGGGATTCGGTGGATAACATTTCCTTCTATTAGGCTCTGCACGATATGCCCACGGCTCCCTACCACAACATCCGTCTGGCACTTCTATATCCTCACAATCTACAAGTTTATCGCGATGTCGGTTTCTTGGGTCTCCCGGTCAGTGCAGCCCAACTTGTCATGATTCCGAATCTGAGAACATACCCGGACATGTTTTTAGCCTATTTACGCATCTAATTTCGGCTGTGATATCGAAAATACGACAAGGAAAGCAGGAAAAAGGCAAAATAATATATCAAATGCTTATTCTTTAACCAAAAAGGATCAAAAGGTGCCTTTTTACAACCCATATTTCTGAGCACAGCGAACAAAAATGCGAACCATAAATAAGCCAACTAACTTTGCGGCTCTGCAACTTTTCCGTGCAAACTGGAGGGACACCAGGGATGCAAGTTATGTTGGCCATTTTCATGACCGATGAAAAAAAAACATCGAGCAGCTGATCAAGAGATACAGCTTCGCGAATCATCGAGGACGCTTGTGGCACCTCTTCCAAGACACGGTTGATGTCTTCCTGGCCATGCACGTTCAAGAGCTCACTAAAAGGGGATGATGTTTCCTTCCCCCAATACACATGCAAGATGGCGGCATATATAATGCATCTCTACCTACTTCTAAAGCATATATACCCGATGACCGGGGCGTTGGTCCTTCAAACGACCGCATCCCCGTCCCATTACCCATTTCTGGTCACTTCATTGTCAATCTCCCGGCCCCCTTGATCGTGAAACACTTCTCCAGAGTTTCCCGATGTCTTTCTCAGTCCATGTAATGTAGAGAAAGCTGGTTCGTCCGACCATTCCGCGGGAAAAGTTCCAACAACAGAGTTATGCTTCGTGCTTCCAAGCACACGCCCTCTGAGTGGTAAATCCGAATATCCCTCTTCGGCAAATATAGCACATGCACTATAAATTACATTCCACACTCCATCAGACCAACTCTAGTTTATATGGCAATGATGTTCCGGCACATGCTACCCATATTGAGTCCTATATTTGATCGAATCGCGGTATTGTATTGAAAATGCTGCCCCTGATATTCTTATGGTATTTTTCGGTGTTGGTACAGGGAAGGTATTGATACCGTATGTCCAATACCACAAAACATTGTGCAATGTTACCCAGCGAGATGCTACTTGCTGCCACTACTCTGGACGATCCTTCCAGCGCCTTCAACCCTACAACTGGCATCTCGATTAATTTGCAAAGCCACAACATCATCAATCTCATTCTTGAACGTATGATTTGCGATAACGGCATAAGCTGAAAAGACGGATTTCAAACTATTCTTGTCAATGTTATGAAGGGCTGACTTAAAAGGCACAAGAGTTAGTTCCCTTTTGTTAATTTCCCAGGTAAAATGTGAATACACACTCCACGGGTAACTTCTAAATCTTTTACCTGTATGTAAAAGCATCTCTTGGTGAGGGCTTGTAGCCGTCCATCCAATCTGGATGATGTTTTCATGTTGTTTTGACCTTGTCGAACTAATTCAAACACCATCCTTGATCGAACTGTACATGTACTGTACAAAGCATCCCATTTGAAATTGGAGATGACTTAATAGATTCATAAGTCGTGCAGAAGAGCCAATCCGGTGCGGTGTTCTCTAGTGGACCCTCTTCTGGGAAAAGATTCCCCATCTGCATCAGATATCAGAGAACAATTGCCCCCGGCGGAAGGACTGACATTGATTCCAGTGGATACCAATATCCTAGCCCCAACTTGAACTCCGAACACGCAGGACCTTGATTATTCTTGGGGTAGATGGGATCAACTATTCCATAAACCGATACCTAGACAGGATCGGATATAGCAACTGGAGCTTGTCGAAGCGCTGAACTCTCTTAAAGGAAATAAGGAAGGTGTTCACCAAGATTACACAAACCAAGGTTTAGCCCTTGGGTTGACGAAATGGCTCTAACTTCGAAGCCCCATCAGACTCGGGTTCTGAACTGCGTCGCACACTTTTGCATGGTATAAAATTCAGACCTTATCACTGATTTCTGAAGCAGATGCTATTCAAGCCCATGGGGCTTTTCACTATAATAGAATACATTAGCAATTGGCTTCTGCATCAACTCTGCATTTCTATTCTGAAAATGTTCTTTACAAGTTACCACTGGATTCAATATGGAGGGAGGCAAACAACCTTTTCAATATTGTTGGTTCAACGATGAAGGTTGCTAACAAGCGCATGGCATAATCTATCTCCGAATTCGTGTTTTCTAAGCGCTTCCGAGCAGGAGGTTAGAGCATAGGTTTGGAAGTGTACTAGTTTGTCTATCACAGAACCTAGTGTTCTGTATCTACAGGATACTTCGGTCAACGGTCATAGACCAGGGAGAGTCCTGTAACCATTACTCTATGTTAGAAACAGACCCAGGTCGGCCGGCCCAGAATGGATATACATAAAGAAAAACATTTAATATTTAAATTCTAAGAATAGACATGTAATGGGCGCGCGCTTAGGATGCCCAGGGTAGGCGCGTGTTAAGTGATTTTACATGCCTAATAGCTTGCTCAATGTGATAATGTAGAATACTACAGTACAATCGCTTCCGTTTCCTATATTCAATTACCACGCTTGCTTGGTCCCAAGTAAAACAAAACCCGTTGCTAGGCTTTTTCGGATTTTTTTTTTATTTCCTTCTTCATCTCGCAATCTAGAAAAAGAAACGAAAAGAAATGGAAACACATATAAAGTACAGTGGGACGTACTGATGATATCCGTCCCCGTGGGAGTAACCCGGACCTCAACACCAGAATATCCCTCCTCGGCCAACTCGCGCAGGAAGAACCCGTTTAACCCAGCGTAGAAAACACCGCCAACCACGAATTTGCGGCGCTTCGAGATATCTCCTTGAATGGCAGCTATGGTTGCAATTTGCTTTGTTTTGTGTTTTCGTATCTATAGAAAGAAAGAAAAAAAGGGCGAACTGGGGATTATTGGTTCGTAGGCAAGGAGTTTCATTGGGTGACGGCGACGGCGACGGCGACGGCTTCCTCTTTTCTTTGATCCAATCCAAGTTCCTGTCGATCTGCATAAATGTTTACGAGCCAACCGCCTTTAGCTTCAATCATTCTAGGCAAAAGGCATTCATGACCGAGCAGAAATACTTACGCGACCTGACATCCCATCAATGGCTGAGGAACAGATGCTTCATCAGTTCCCGAGCAGTCTTTCGCTCTTCAGGTAGTTCTTTGTACCTTGGCTCTAAAGATGGGAGTGTATCTTCAAGTTTTTGAGTCGGATCGTCGTAGAGGAATTTACCTGTCACAATATGAATCAGTGGGAAAGCTTATGTAACTAAATTGCAAACGGATAACTAACTGGTTAACCGATTTTATCAATCAGATTGCAAAATAAAATATAAAAATTTAACAACTTTGAACAAGAGAAATTCAACATTCTCATACATCATTTTTATCACTTTCATTAATCATTATTCTCTATTCAGTTTCATTCTTTACAGTATTCAACTGAAGGGGGTATGTAAGAAGATAATCTTTATGTTATCTTGATAAATTAGCACTGTCTTAAATAAAGTCATTCTTTACAAAGTTTAAAAGCTTTCTGAAATATTCTTATGTTCATGTAATCAGAGATTTTATGCTTATAAATATTGCCTACTTTTCTCTGTAATTATCAAGTTCTAGATAGATAAGTCAGTTGAATCTAATTTATTCGTTTATATTGATATTCAGTAATTGGGACAATATTCGGACGATTAACCACCGTTCCGACACAATGTTTGCTACAGCAGGCCATCGACCGATTTGATAAGAATAAATACAATAACCACGATAATGAGGATAGAAAGTGAACAGGCTGAGAGGGATCAACATGAAATTTAACAGCTCGCCTGGAAAACGCCACCAAAGGATAGAGTCCCATGTGGTGTCAGCGCCCTTGGGGGAAGCAAACCCCTGAGAGTCGCCATGATTTGAGAAAAGGCCACAAGTATAATATAACGGCCCATGAGGAATGTCACAGTGGGATGTCATGTTTTGAGCAAAAAGCCCAGTTGGGATCAGAACCGTCCCTGATGAGCATATGCAGCAAGATATCGGAGTGTTGGCTATGCCTGGACACACGGCCTAAGTGACCTTCTCAGAACCCTATTATTTATTTAACCGCCCTTACAAGGATTACATCTTCTCATATAAAGAGTTGAGTCAGGTTCCTGCCGAGTCCAGTCGTTTTACTATATACTCCAACCTTCCCTTGGACCCCTTTCTTCATATTCTGCCTCTTACCTTTGTTTTTGATTTGATGATTATTTTACTAGAGAGGGGAAATTTCCAATTTTCGCTCTATTTTGGAGCACCTTCATACTGTTTTCCTTTACCTTTGTGTTATTTTATTTTATTTTAGTTTCGTATTGATGCTCAAATATTTATGGTATATGTAAATCGTGTGAACATCTATGTATGATATCTCCCGCTGATTTGAGACCCCTTATTCCCACCGAACCTTGAGTTCCTGCTGCCACTTTTCAAAAGTCAAAATGGATTATCCATTTCATTTCCAATCATCTCAATGGTGCGCGCGGTTGGCCTCCGAGACGAGCCGGTCTGACGTCGTTTTCATATACCATTTGTGCACCCACTCACCGTGCAACACATCGCTCCACTCAACCACAGGCCTGATTCCAATCTCTATCCGTTAGACAGACAGGAATCCCTGACGTGCAGTTTATTCGTAGTCATACTGCCACCCCTCCAGGACTTGGCTGCATTTCCTGCTGATTAGATTAGCCAACCATAGATTAGTGCGCAAGAGAGAATTTGGCGTGAGGAAATAAATGACATTCCATCCAAAAACCAACCCCACACAGTTAGGGCTTTTCCGGCGCTAACGGCCTCAAATCCTGAAATGTGGAGCTAGATGTGTGGATTGGAGCTAGATACGCCATAGATTTTGATTGCGCTGTGCGTGAGAGTGGGTTCTTTGTCAAAGAAATTCCGATGCACACCACTGACAGATGGGAGATCTTAAATCTAGTTTCAATTGTAATTACTCAACTTCTTGCATTGGTGAACTACATCGTACCTACAGATGTACTGTACTATACTTACATTTTCCGACACCTCCGTTAAGAGCTACGGATGAAATCCGGCTTGAACCCCGCAGTGAGTGCAGCACAACAGCATAAGTCTCCGTGTCTGACGAACATAATCTATATCTATGGCACTGCGGGCGAGATCAATGGAGTGCGAAACTAAGATGCCACTCCCTTCCTTGCTTATCCCAGGACGTAACGGAATGTCATGATGCTGTATTGATACGGTTCCCAGCATGTTGTGCATGAATCCTACCCGCTGAATTACGAATACGCTGTTTAGTTGACCAGCGCATTGGCATCCACATGGATTTCTCAAGTTGGATTATGAATTATGGGTGTGATTGGTGATTGGAAAAACATAACATCCCGTTGATTGGCAATTTTTGTTATCTCAACTCTGTTTCCAGGGATTCCGATGCACGGTATGAAATGGAATGGATCTCTACGGTCCACTCTCAAGGTAATTCTTTTCATTCTTGTCCTTCACAGTCCAATGGCAAGTGATCCCAGATCTGATCAGGGTGACGTCAAAGGAGGCGACGACCAGGAACACGATAGTGGCTGTTAGCAATAGAGTAGCTATAGCACAGAAGGGAAAACAATGGACCACCAAACCCGCGGAAAATAATGATTATCAAAAGCTAAAGCTACTGAAATGGGCAAAGAAAAGTAAAATGAAGCGAAATAGTACAACTTCTCTTACTCTTATTTCCTCGTGTAGATCGTAAAGTTCCGTTATCAAACTACTATATCCATTGCTAGAGATGATGCTGTTATAAAATCAACATTTTAGTCGTACCACCCCCCCATAGACAATTTTACAAGTCTTCTGTCGTTTGCAAGAAGTTGAAATGGAACATGTCAGATGGATAGAACAGGCTCAGTATCAGATTGCTGATCTCCTGCACGTCCGAGCGCGGCTGGTAATTGATTGGCCCCAAAACCGTTGATGCTGCGGGTTGGAATATAGAAACGCTGAACGGCCACAATATCCAATCTGCAAGTCACGTTGATGACAGGCCCTTTCGGGACCCCTCAAAATTGAACTGTGCTTCGCCGTGCTCAAGGGCAAGTGGGCAAAGTAATGATTGTCTATTTCAAATCACATTGCACGAAACAGACACTGCATGAACCGGATGACGAAGAAATGCGATATCAGCATCATTCCTAGCAAAGGGGATGATGAAGACGAGTACTTCGAAGTGATCCGATCAGGACGAAGGGTTCCGCGGGCTTCTCAGCGATGAGAAGAGGTTCGATCAGATGAGAACGAAAAGATTTGGTGCATTACTCCCGTTGGGAATGGAGGTTCCGCTTGTGTTTTTAAGTGGTATTTATTCCAACTCTATCTTGCTCCTTTGAATTATAGCCAATTCGCAATAATAGATTTAAAATATCGTAGCTAACACTCTTTTGGTATCTTCACCTATCGGGCGACCATCCTCTCTCTCTCTCGTAATAATAGTATTTTGTACAAAACGTCGTCGGATATCAGGAGCTTTTGCGGCCATGTCGTCCTTAGAACCCTGAGTTAATGCTCTTTGCTTCTCCTCCCTTTTTCTAGCCATTCCCTGGACAGCTCGTCCAGCCTCAACATTCTCCAAATACATCTTCTGCTCCTTCCGCGCTTGCGCATCCTCGATTCGTCTCTTTGCCTCACGTTCCGACCGCTCCCTTTGCACCTGCTCCATCAAATCGTCCCAGCCGAACTTGTGTAGGTATTTGACGTTTAAGAGATCGTCGCGATAATAGCCGCGGCCACCAATGGTTCTCGCATTGAGCGTTTCCGCACAGATCTTAGCTGTTTTCTTCGATGCAAACTCTACCCAGCCGTCTGAATATGTCTTGCGTTTGTTCCCCTTCTGGCGTGAATCGCTCGGCATTAATGGCGTAAGGAAGATTCTTGTGATCGGTTCGAAGCCGCGAGCTTGTAGGAGATTCTTCAAAGCCCTGGGTTTGAGATACGGCGGAAGTGAAGAGAAGTAGATCACGCCTCTTTTCTTACTCTTGGGCGCTTTGCGTGGCTTTGTCTTCTCTTCTAGCGATTTGGTCGTCGTTGAAGGGGCTAAATCTATGTCCTGTTCAATGGCTTTGGTTTGATTGCGATTGTCTTCCTCGCTTGAGGCTGCTTCGGCCATCTCCCTGTTGAGCTTCCGCCTCTTGACATGGAGATCTGTCCGTGACTGCTTTTCCCCGTGTTCGTTATCGGAGTTGCGGTTGTCCGATCCGTGTGACTCTGCTGTCCTGGACCGCTTTATAGTGTAGCCCTTACCCTCAGTTGCCCGGTGTTTGAAATCGTCATCATGGTCGCTGGCTCCATCATCATCACTGTGTGTGATGCCTAAAAGCTCATTATAATCCATAATAACAACTTGAATATTGAAGATTGGAATCAATAACGTATTAAGACGAGATGATGTTGCGTATTGAAGATTCGGGTAAAACTTTAAACGGTGAGGCGTTTCGGCCGGAAAAACTTTCAGCGATGCTCAAAGCTTCTCTTCAAGCTGCACACTCAAAGTTACTAGTATTAGTCCTCAAGACTCAAGAGTCAAGGGGTGGACGGAATAGTTGCTGTGTGTACTTAAATGAGGTAAGAATAGCTGAGCAGTTCAAAGTTCGTCCTGATTTCTTTCAGTGGGCGGCGGCGGTCCTTGAGGCGGCTAGGATGTGAAGACGCCGGTGAGATGCTGGTGTGGACTTTGATCAACACTTGCCTGTTGGGATACCTACAGCGTTGGCTTTGAGCATAGCCTCTCATTGACTACTTTGTTTATCCTATGGATATGAGTATCTAGACGATTGCCGTCAAATCCACCGTGTGCTTGACCAAAGTCGACGTTCCCTATCACCCCTGAAATCCGGCAGCGAAGACCTTCGACAATTTGAACCAGCAAATCCATATGCACTCAGTAACAAGAAGACAATCAAGTTATCGAGACTTCTCTGGGCTGAAGCGATCCTAAGGTTGTTGGCGGAGGCTAATCCTTGTTGAAATTTCTTACCCTTAACCGATGGCACGATTCCCAATGCTGAGCCTGACAACTTCCATGGCTCTCGGTTTGAAGAACTAAAATAGAGATATCTGTGATGAGCTTCAGGATACCACCATACTTCAGCAGTGGCGAGTCGCGCAATACTGCACAATTACTTTCAAGATATAAAATCAAGACGCCAGACCGATCAGCCGTGGTAGCAAAACAGCAAGCTTGCTACCATGGAGCTCTAGGCTCCTGGGGTATGCAAAACTTTCAGCTATATCGGGTGAAATCCTGTCTACGATATCAGCCTGTATACTATTTTACCAACTCTATCACTTTTAAGTTGTGCACCCCTCCCCCATCCCAGCAAATCCAGCCACCCTGAAGTCTACCAGAGGATGTCAAATCGTCGTCGTATTATCGCATCAAAGCGGCATGATCTCCTGACGACATCAAACTTCCTTGAGCAGGCCAAGCCGTCACAGTGGATCTTCAGCCAATGCTATATTGGCAGGCATGCTACGATGGCGTGCCCGTGGATTTCCCTACAAGAAATTGCTTATGCCCTTACGATCTCTATTGTTTTAATAAAAGCACTATCCAACGCCAATGGAATCCACGGCCTAAAGAACCCCTCATGGAAAGCTGTTACAGGATGTGTCGAGTAGGCCAGTGGTTACTTCCTCAACTCTTCTCCCAAGGAAAAGATACGTGGGCCTTTGTTAAATTAGATTAGATTAGAGAGGCTTAGTGCTGATATCATGCTGGATACGTCTGAGTGCATCTTTACTACTGTTTACAACCATCTAAAAACAACTGCTTGAATATACTTTTATAACAGAAGAAGACAGCAAGCAGGCTTGTCTTGAAATATCATATTCCATTGTTTTTAGCATCGAAGCCTCTATATGAAGCCGAAATCCAAGGGAGATAGATAGATAGCGTGCTAAACTAAACACCTGCGTCGTGAGGTATTCCAGACCAACGTGCGCTGAGGGCATATATTGTCCCCATATCCACAACAATTTGCTATCGTATTATCCATTTCCATTTCCATCATCATACATAAGTCAATTCCTTCATATGTACATACATAACTACATAAAGGAGAGAAAACAAGCAGGAAAAAGAGAGAGTAAGGGATGACAAGAGCAAAAAAAAAGCCCCATCCTGCCATGAACCAAACGAAAATCAAGTAAAATGGATAAACCAACTCAAGTAAAACACACACACACACACACACACACACACACAAAAAAAAAAAATGAAAGAAACGAAGAAGAGAAAAAAGATTTGGAAACGCATTACCCCCTAGGATATCCGACTATCATAATCTTCCCCTTCACTGTCACTCAAACTATCTCTCCTTCCCCTCCCTCCTCCCCCTCCGCCTCGCCCTCCATCAGCAGTACGCCGATACCCCTTCGACAAACCCGGGATAGGATGATGGTAACTCCTTGTGCCCGTGCCGGTATCCGGCTCCGCAAGGCTCACCTGCTCATACGTGTAGTCCGAACCATGTGTCGAGGAAGCTATATCCTGCGGCGCCGCATAACTGCCCGGCATCGCGGTGCGCTCCCGCTTGCGCGGATTCGACTGGCGCAACCGACTAGAAGCAGGGGCAGGAGCAGGAGCAGGAGCGTTTGGGCGCGGCCCGCGTGGGCGGGTTGAAGTAGATGGCGCGTCGGAACCGTGGCTGCTACGGTGCTGGTGGCGGTGGTGGTGGCTGCTGTCATGATGTCCGGAGGAAAGGGGCGCATGGTTATGCAATCGCTGTTCCTCCGTGGCGACCGTCATGACATCGTCCTCGCCGGTGGTGAAGGAAAAGCCGGAAGCGTTTCGTTGGCGCTGCGAGTGATGTCGGTCCGACTCGTGGCCGGGCAGTGAGCCGATGTCACTATGTGTCTGCGCCTCGCTCTGGCCCCACTAGCTGTCATCGCGGCCGTTGGAGGTTGTGTAGTCCGAGGAATGGTATTCGCCGTCCGGTTCGCGATTCAGCCCACCTACTTTCGCAGGTTTCTCATGGCGGTATGCGCGCATATCTTCATCTGCACCGCCCTCCCACTCCTCATCCCTCCGTCTCCGCAACAATTTCTCTTTGGCGGTCTCCCTGATGCCTTTGCGCCGCGGCTTCTCGCCCGATACGACAGAGCCATCAACTGTGGTCGCAGCATTGGTGCTACTATGGTAATCGCCATAGCCCTTACCCACAACACTCCCACCGCCTAGAGCTGTGCTCTTGGTGGCGTTGCTGAGAGTCCTGCCATCAGAGTCCTTCCGGCGTAGTACTGTGGACTTGTATTCTTCCCAGTCACCTTTGCGCCAGACAAAGCCGCCATTCTTCGCCCAGAAAAAGAACCAAATGCCAGCCAGCACGAACGCGGCGCCTATGATAGCGAAAAGGGCCATCAGGCCTCCCATGTTTATGCTGGAGGGGTTAACGATGCCTCGACTGGGCTGGACTGGGTTTGATTCATGCTCAGCGCGCGGGGCGAGGGGATGGGCTCTCTCTGTAATCCGATGGGAGAGCTCGCGCTGGCGGAGTTGGGAGATGGGGAAGTTATGCGATGTTGTGCGTTTAACGAGGGTCGTGAGATAGTCGCCCGATACTTCTCTGGCGTTCGGGGAAAAGGGAGCCATGGCTACCCGTGGCTTGGTTCGGTTACTGATTTCAAGCTAGAGAGAATTTGTGTGTGTGTTGAGTGTGTGATTGATGACCACGCATGCCGACGAGCCAAATTTCCCGAAAATACAGGTGCTGCTGCACGCACACAGGTCGCGTTTTTGTCAAGCAGGCAACTTTTCGTCTTCTCCAAACGGTCTCAGCCAACAGTCCCGAGCTGAACCCAAACCAGCTCAGGCTGGGAGGGAATCAGTCAGGCAGCGCGTCGATCTCAGTGAATATTATCCTTCTTTCGCCTCATATAGTTTCTGCCATAAAAAAGGGGGTTTCTCTGTCGACAAGGAGGTCACTCTGGAGCATCGGTGGGCAGATCGGAGTACGTTCCGCTAGCCGGGATGTGAAGCAATAAATACAGCAACGAAAATGACCAACAGGATATATCAAAGAAATAAAAATCCCTTCCCTCCACCGAAGGTCAGAATGGAAGCAAAAACGAGGAGGAAGCACAGTCTTTCGCTCAAGTCCCGCCACGGATCGAAGGCTGGGAGTGACCTCATCGCATCCCCAGCCGCCTGCATTTTTTTTGTTTACATCCCTCCGTTGCGCAGGACAACGAGGCTTATGTCAGCGAAACTAGATTTTGCACGAGATGAATGCGGACTTATCCATATTTAGTTAGCGCGGTGGATCCTTGGATCACGGCTTGTTTTTGTGGGGAAAGTGCGGGAAGTCTATCGCCTTCGCGGGATTAACGTTATCAACCTAATTGCATATCCAACTGTGCTAACTATAATTAATTTACGTCGGATGGAAAGAAGAAAAAAAAATTTTTGTCAAGCAAGAAAAAGAAGCGGTGGGAGGAAAATGGGAAAGAAAAAGATTAATTACGAGTAAAAACATTAACTTACCTAGATTGTACTGTACAAAGAGCGCGAAGGAAAATATGTACGAGGAAAGAGAAAAAACAGAAGCAGCACCAAACAGTAAGGGGGAAACTACTAACTTAGCTGGGTAAAGTTAGGCAAGGGAAGCAAAAATAAACAAAAGATAAAAGGAAAGGAAAGAAAAGAAAGAGGAGAGAAAGATAGAGAGAGAATATATATATATATATATATATATATATGCCGCATGGCACACAAACACAACGCACGATGGGGTGGGGTGGGTATTAGACCATATTAAAATAATTAGGTCGTGGTGATAATGGCTCATCGATTGGAGATAAATAACCATGACGGCGATTTTTTACTTCTTTTTTCTCTCTCTCTCTCTCTCTCTCTCTCTCTCTTTTTTTTTTTTTTTTTTTTTTTTTTTTTTTTGCTTCTTAACGTTGTTGTTGTTGTTGTTGTTTACTGTGGTTCGTTTGTGAGGCAATTGGAGAAAGAAAAAGAAATGAAATATGAAGAATAAAGATAAAGGTTATTTTTACGGCATGAGAGGCCGGAGGATAATGGAGTAAAGTAACAAAATACGCGGGGATGAGTGACAAGGTTAGCGGGTAAGGAGGAACGCACGATGGTATAAAAAGAGCTAGTTAAATAAGGATGGAACAGAAATAAAGGCCAGAAAGGAAAGAAACGGGAAAAAGCATCGCCATAGATTGCAATAAGGGAGAAAGAAGAGAAAGGAAAAGAAAAAAAAGAATCGTAGAACATCGTACAGATCATTAACCATCATGACTCAAACATCCGCCAGCGCTTAGACAAAAGAGAGTTACAACATAAGGAATCAGGTAATAAACTAATGGGGGAATATGGGGAGAATGGGGAAACGAACGGCGGAATGTGACAAAGAAAAAAACAGGATAATAGTGGAGGCATGATATATTTTAGACGGTTGATAGAAGGGGAGGAAGAGGGAAGTTAGACAAGGGGTTGGGTGAAACGGGGGTGGGAAAAGTGAACATCCAAAATCCAATCATAATGTACCTATGCAAAAAAAAAAAAATAAAAAATATATAAAAAAATAAAAAGCCCAGCTGGCGATATAAAAAAATCCGGAAAAAAATGTAAATAAAAGACGAGCATGAGCGAGAGCTGACAATATATCATGACAAGTGAGTTGAAAAAAAGCAGAAGTCAAAAAAAAAATAAAACAAAAAAAAAAAAACAAAAAAAAGTGAATAAAAAGAATAAAGAAGGGATGGTTAGAATAAGGGGAAGAGGAGAGCAAGGCAAACGTGTCGCTTGAAATGAGAAGAAGAAAAATAAGAAAAGGACAAAAACAGAATCACAGGAGGCATGTCATAATCGAGTCGAGTAAAACGAGAAAATAAAATCAATAAGAAGGGTTCCAGTTACATGCATTCTTTGCGGTATCATTGCTCGCGTTCAAATCATAAACAAAAAACAGGGGAGGAAGGGTGGATATCGCAAAATAAAGAAAAGAAAACTTTTTCTTTCCCTTCAGTAAAAAAAAAAACTTTTAGGTTTTCCAGAAGAGAAAAAAGAAAACCGACCTAAGCCTCCCATTTTGATGTTTTGCCAACAGGCCATTTTTGTTCCCCGTTTCCCCATTCATCGATTCTTTCAATTCATTCTTTTCTCTTCCTTGAGGAAAGAAAGAAATTTTTTTTTTAACATGGGCAAAAAAACAGTTAAAACAGTAGAGTAGCAAAACTACATTCGTGCGCAGAGATATATATATATATATATATCTCTATATATATATATTGCCGCGGTTTCACGACTCCAGAAGTCCTCTTCCACTATACCCAGAGCGACTGGAGCGCCTACTCGCGCGATCAGAGGACGAATCGTGGCGCAGGCGGCGACTCTCCTCGATCTCCCTCCGCACAGCACCGCCACCGGTACCACTGAGCGACTCCGAGCGCGAGAGGAAGTACCGCTTCGGCCTCCTTCCTTCGATATTAAGCTCCAGAGACCCTTCCTCGCCGGACCTCAGATTGATAACCTGGCGATCGATATGGTCCTTGGACACGCCGATGCGCAATCCGCCAATCATCACCGTGATCTCGTCGTCTTCGGGGCGGCTGATGGCGCTCTTGGTTTTGGCGTCGCTGCCGCGGCTGCTGTCTGTGCGCGTGCGCAGGCTGCCGCTATCGCTGTCAGCGCGGTGGCTGCGACGACACTTCACAAGACTGTCCAGTGTGAGCGGGGTGGCGCGTGATGTGCGAGCGGACTGGTACTCCTCTGCCTCGCGCTGTTTTTGGTCGAGGTCCTTGGTCTGTTCGACGCCATAGACTGATGAGCGGCGGCGACGGGCTGTTCTCAATCGAGATGCGGGCCGCTCGCCCAGGATCGTGGTAGGAGGAGGTTCTGATGCCTGCTTTCCCAGGCGCGCTGGGTCGTCGCTCGGACAGGACGGCTTCTCTGGACATTTTCCGGCCGACTCGGGTTGGAGGAAGGGCTGCACGAAGGTCATCCATATCGATGCCTTCTGGGCGTCGTGACATGGTCGGAGTGGATGTTGAAGTGGACGCTTTGCGGGCAGATGGTCGACGAGGGGGAATGATGACCTGAGACGGGGGTTTGCCTTTGGGGAGTGGGGGGGGAGGCATGCGGTAAAAATCCTCATCGGGGTCGTAAGTTGAAGGCTGAGACACTGACTCACGGAAAACACGAACTTCCCGTGAGGAAGGCTGTCGCTGCAATCCATCGCTGCGATGCAGAGCCCGGTGAGGACGGGTATTCCACCACTGGGGTCCCGTACATTGAACCTCTTCTCCCAGTCGGTTTTTCGGGCGATCGCGAGGTGGATGCTGCTCGAGGCCGTTCGAAAGGAGGTGGCGGGGCGGATTCATATGACATATGAGAAGGGTGGGGAGGGGCAACAGGGCCATTGGGCATATTATAAGGAGCCATGTAGTGGGCGTATGCAGAGGCAGAGATCGGGGGCCCATGTTGTTGTTCGTAAGCAGGTGTTGAAGGAGTCATATGCATGTACATATTCATGTCTGGCATGGCCCCTGCGTGGTAGCTCATGGGCCGACTCTGGTGATAGGAATTCGAACGATCGCGACGGGATGATACAATTTCCTGAGTAGCAACGGGTGGGTAATGGTATGATTGAGGATGCGGAGATGGGGGGATGTCATAACCGTGAGATTGGGGATGCATGTAGGAACCGTAATCCACGGGGTGAGGGTCGGGAAGTGGATGGGCTCCCATAGAGACGTTGTGGTATCCATACTGGTCACAATCTGGGCAGGTGTCGGGAGCATGGCGTCCATGGGTAGATTCCCACTTTCTTGCCTTAGACGAGGACCGCTTGGGAGCAGGTCTGCTGGAACTTCTCCGCATATTGGGAACGTGAATTGTACTAGTAGTTCCGTTGGAAGTAGAGGAGTTTGTTTCTTTTGACTGCCTGTCCTTCCCCTTAGATTTTGATTTCTCCCTTTCTCTATCGTCGGGACGGCCTCTCACGCGTTCGATATCCCGATTGGCGATGACAGCGTCCAACTGGACGAAAGGAGGGCTTCTCTTTCCAGTGGGTAGTGAATCAGCACTGCCAACAGTGGCTGCCGTTCGACTGGAGTATCCAGAGTCGCTCGCACCGTCCGTACTAGTGCCTGACTGTTGAGGATCAGCCTTCGACCTTTTGGCGGCAACGTTGGCAACGGTGCGAGTCTCTGGTATGGTAACGTTGGCATCCTCATCAAAGTCTTCGAAGAAGGCAGCGTACGATTGTTGAGAAGTCCTGGCGGCCATGACTCCACTGTCGAAAGTTTGGCGGGGCTTGCAGGTTTGGCTCGCTCGGGAGGGCGCCGTTGGTTCGATGAATCCCGACCCAGACTGGGACTATAGACGAACGGCCGAATCGTTCTCAACCAGGCCAGCTGCGTGGCAACGCTGTTCTCTCTTTATATCCCTGATGTTCTGACGCTTCGATTTGCCAACAAACACCTCGACGCTAGCGCGAAAATTACCTAAGTTGTTTTCCCTTGAGAAACCCCAAAAGGGTGAATATATATACTAGTATATATGGTTCCGTCGACTGCTCTTTTCTCTTATCTTCTCGCATCCACTTGTTGTTTGTTTTCTTTCTTTTTCTCTTCCTCCCCTTTTTCCCTTTTTTTTTTCCTCCCCTTTGTTATTCAAAAAATAAACGCCGTTCTGTATTATCGCTAACGACGAAAGGAGAGTATCGAAAAAAAAAAAAAAAAGGAGAGTAAAAAGAAAAGAAAGCAAAGGAAAGGAAGGAAGCAATAAATTAATGAAAGGAAAGTAGGGCAAAACTTGACGCAGGACTAGGCGAAATCTGTTCACCTATACACAGTGGCTCTGAATTTCAGCTCTGAGAGGGAATCCACTGAGGCGGTCAAGTGCTCCATCGAAGTCTGCAAGGAATAGTCGGAGAGGTGTGAGGACTGCAGACCCAAGTTCTGACAACTAAGTAGCCAGCGGGACGGAAGAAGGCGACAAAAGATCGTGGGCTTGGTAATGTCAACTTTCTTCTTCCCTTTGTATAATTATCTTTTATTCTTCCTTAACAAACGAACCTCTTGATGTTTCGATGGTTAAGGGCTTGCACGTTGTTCTGTTGTTCTTTATCTAGAAGGGCAGGCAAGAACATAGAACATGCACACAGCACCGGGAGTGGGAATATTTAGCAGACCACACCAAAAAAAAAAAAAAAAAAAGCACCCGATGAGAAGATTAAAGCAACGTAGCGACCAGCAGGATGACGAGGGCGCGATGCTAATGTACAGAACTATCCGACAATATCAGAGCCAAAGCCAGATTTCGCGGCGACGAGGGAGAAATTGGCGGAGCGGGTGCGTGTGTTGAGCCTGTGTTGAGCCTGTGTTGGAGGCGAGAGTCTTTTGCAGTGGGGTAACCGAGATCACCAGATCCGGTTGGACAGTCTGGGGTTCAGGACCAGGGAATGGTTGGTCGGAATGCAGGTTTTAGTGCGAAGAGTTGAAGGAAAAAGCGTCCAGAAAGTGTGTTGTGTGTGTGTGTGTGTGTGTGTGTGTGTGTGTGTATGTGTTTGTGGATGCAAAATAACCCACGCGAGACAGCAAAAAAATGAAATCGAAAATCGATCGATTTCAGAGTGTTTTGGGGGTGTGTTTAGATGTGGGGAGCGATAAGAAGAAGACGCTATCCCCGTCTTAGTTTTTCTCCTTATGTGTGGTGGTGGCAGTTGGAATGTCGATAGCGGGAGGGACTGGGCTACGAACAAGGCGGATTTGGTGATTAGATAGTGCTGGGAGGGTGAGGGAGAGTGACGGTGAAATCGTGAGATGGGAGAGCAAAGCGATGCGGGAGATGCAGCTGGAGCAGGCGAAACGGCTCGGGGGCGAGCGTTGCGCAGAGCTGAGCGTCGCACGGGAGTCGTGGTTGGCGAGGGAGAACTGACGAGGACGAGGGCGAAGACGAGGACGGCTGTTGTGGTCGACGCAGATTCGAAGAAGGCAGTGGGAGATAGGGAGATATAGCAGTAGTAGATGGGAGGGAGATGGGAGGGAGAGAGGGATTCGAGGCGGAGACCAGAATATATTTTCGCACGGAGACAGCGACGGGAGATGGAGAGGGAGGGAGAGAAAAGGGGACAGCAGGCAGGATAATAAGAAAGAAATGAACACACAACAGAGGCTCGTATCAGAGGGATGGATCTGAGTGACTTGCAAGCCCATAGAGCGTGGAGTGGCCTCGAAGGTATCTTAGTTGTTCCTCATCTATGACTATTTATTCCTCCGCCTGCGCACAACACGATCGCAAATCACAGATTGAAATTTCTCGTCAGGCATCAATCCCTCAACTGCTCCCTCTTTTTTCCTTTTTTTTTTTTAAGTCATCCTCCGATCTGCCCCTCTTTGGATTTTCTTTATCCTTCTTTTTCCCTCTCCTTTTTCCCCCTTCTCACTCAGATTATTCATCTCCATACGGAGTATATTGACATGGTTTACTTCAAAACATGCCTGAAAACCATCCCTGGCATTCCTGCATCAGCAGCAACCAGCAGCTAGCACCAGCGAATAAATACCCGCATCATCACGGCTGCTGAAACATCTCCTCATGTCCCAGGATTTCTATTATTATTGTTGTTGTTATCATCACCATCATCATCATGATTCATCATCTAAGCATACTCTGTAAGTTACTCACAAACAACCACAACCATGATATCCCCCCTATTATAAAGTTACAAGGTTTGTTGTTTACTTACTCGATTTCTTAGAGTTACCGTAGACTTTCTGATCCATGGCTCTCTGCATTTGTTTATTGTTCATCTAAGATTTAAGCAAAATACTGGTATAAAAGGAATAATCTCAAAAGCAGGCTAGGATTTTTTCAAAATTCGCCCAATCTGCGTAGTCTGCCCATTGCAATTTCCAACTATCCAGTTGCCAGAGTAAAGAATCGCTGCCTTTTTCCAAAAAAAAAAAAAAAAAAAAAAAAAAAAAAAAACCCTCCCTACTTGTGTGTCTCTGGCACCTCTGTTTAATCACACTGCCCACACATACACCAGCTGCGCCTCCTCTCCTACGCAGCCGGAAACGGATTGTTATGGTGCCAGTATACGCAGGCACATGTGCGTGACTCGGCAAGCTGAAGGTAGAATCGCGTCATCATTGGGCATCGCGCGCACGGAGGAGGAAGGGGGGGAGGTAAAAAAGGGAGAAAAGGAAACGGGAAAAACAGCAAATGACGAAAAAAGAAAAGAAAAAAAAAATTCAATGGAGGGGCGGCGGCGACGTAAGGGATGTAGGCTCTCCTCAGTAGAGGGGGAGGGGTTGACCACAGTCGCATCAAGGGCAGGGCAACTTGACCTTTTTTTGGTTCCCTTCTTCTTTCTCTCTTTCTTTCTTTCTTTTTTTTTTTTTTTTTTGATGCATACTCCAAAAAACACCCCTCTGGCAGCAATCAAATTTCCGCTTTTGAAGCCCGGATGGGTTTCGAGATGGGATTGCATTCATTGTCTCGTTGGGGGTGCGGAAGAGAATCGTGGAGGGCCGTGGGGAGGGACCTGGAAGTATGGAGGGATCGTGATTTATCGGCCGCCCTTCAGAGATCATATCCTCCGTAGCAGCCGTGCCTGCACATCAACATCTCACCAGCCACTGTATGCGAGCATGGAAGACAACATGAAAAGTACTAGTACTTACTTGTATTGTGGAATGGATCGTGGATCGCAGATCACGGATCACGGGCAGTTGGATATGCAGGATACTAGCATCCGGCAGGGAGAAGAACGGCTTTCGCTGGTCTTGTTGGTGGGATAGTTAACTAGATCTCGACAAAAATATAGGAAAATAGAATAAAAATAAGATAAAAATAGTCGGCTCGTTGACTTTCTAAAAGCATCCTAAAAGCATATTTGAAAATGTAGCGTATATGCCCACTCAATTCTTCACTACTAACCTCGATCAGTATACTCCGTACCCCCTCCCGCCATCCCACCCCACTGACTGACTGACACACTGGAATCCGAGATGAATCATGGGATTCCCCCAATGCCGCCAAAAAGCCAGATCCAGCTCCCGCAGCGCAAAATCAGAGGAGGAATTGCTCGTCATCATCCCTGCTGACACTCCCCAGCACCCGGCAGGGATGGGCGATCGGGCACGCCATTGGGCCGTAATGGTGGGAGGGGGAGGGGTAGGGCAGTTTGACAAAAAGTTGAAAAATTGCGAAAATCGTTGCAAAAAAAGACACCACCAGAGGCCCCAAGGAGACGGCAACCCAACATTCGCCCACATTCCGCATTTTTTTCATGACCACTGTTCTTGGCGGGCTGGCTGGCTGTCTAGCAAAGAATGCGCTCTCCAGCGCCACGCTTCGCCAGGGCCTCCCAGAAAAAAATTGTGTTTCCAATTCTCGTGTAGTTGAGGGAGTGCGGGGGGATGAGATCATATGCGACAGCCGTTACAGAAAAAGGCCGCGCTTATTGATATCCAATGTAGATGGGTCCGCCGTTGCGTGCATTCTGCGATCTATCGCACCACGCCCATCAGGATACCATCCAACGCGTAGAGCCAAGGGCAAGGATGGTAGGTTAGGTGGGAGGATTGACTGGATTGGATTGGATAAGTTCAATACCAGAGCCTGCCTACTAGTATTAACCAGACCCAGGGGCAATACTTTAGAAATGGAGTCCCCCAGACATGTCCTGAGCGTATTCTTGGAGACCTATTTGATATGTAGTTAGTTTGTAGCAGTTATTCTAGCTTATGTATGTATCTGTGACAGATAGGCGCCGTTTCAACGCCGGTTAAATGCATTCTGCAAGCCAACTGGACAGTGTGGTTATAGTGAAAGGTTTGGCTGGGTGTCTCTCGAATCTTAATTACCGCCGAGGGGAATTCTACGGCTCGATGATTCAGCAGCTTTAACGAAAGTTTACAGCAGTTAGCGGAACTTGGGATAACGTTTGAGATGGGTGATATCTTTTTCTTCGTCTAGCTGGATAATTCTTCTAGTATAGTTACTAACTAGTAGCTGCGATGAGTACTATGGACGGCATGGGTGAGAAGGATGCAAGATTGGACAGAGAAAATGCCAGAACAAGATAATAAGATAATAAGACTCGCGAGCCGATAATTTAGCTATACTGGTAACCTCGGGAGGGAGGAAAGACGCTCTTGTGTTTTTTGGTTTGGTTGCACTTCTTTGCCTCCGCCTTTGAAAGCGAGATCGTTACCCGGAAATGTGCCAGGAATGGGCGGAAGAAATAGGGAAATCACATTCTGGAAGGATGTCAATTAGCAAAGGCAAATATATATATACATTTTATCATTCTGGGAAGAACATAACTATGGCGTAACAGAAGGGGAAGCGGGAAAAAGGAGTGTGATGCAAAAATCTTACCGCTCCACTGGATTCAACCCTAACAACCGCATCCCGTTATGCAAAACCTGTCTCGCACAGTCATACATCGCCATACGCGCCTTTTTCAGCTCAGGCTCGCTCCCAACAACCTTCAACACATCATAGCCCGAGCTAAGCACGTGCGTCATTCTGAAAAGGTACGTTAAGATAGTCGTGGGTTCGAGCGTCTTGGTCGTGTTGAACACGACGTCCGGCCAGGACGCGAGTAGCCGGATCAGGTCGATCGCATGGGGCTCGGTGAGGAGGCTGAGGTTCGCGGAGCTCAGCTCGGAAGGGTCAATTTCGGCTTTGCGGGTCATGGAGCAGAGGCGAGCGTGGGCGTATTGGAGATAGGGGCCAGTGTCGCCTTCGAAGGATGTCATGTCATCTAGGTTGAATTCGTAGCCGTTGATTCTGTGGATTACTGGTATGTTAGGAAGTAGGTACGAGAGGGGAATTTAAGCGATTTTTCCTTTTTTGAAAAGCAATATTGAGGGATGAGGGGGATGTTTATCGACATACCGCTTACCGCTCATATCCTGGACCATCACCGACGTGATTCCCAAGATATCAGCTGTCTGTTCAGGATTCGCAACCTGTTCGTACTTGGCAGTGTTTTTCTTCATCACCTCGTGCATCTTCTCGCCAACGTCCTTGAGGATATCGTTGAGGAATTTAACAGTACCCTTACGAGTGCTCATTCCCCGAACCATACCGAAATTGACATGTTGGCATCGGTTCGCTAGATCTTTCCGACCCACAAGCTCGGTGACCTTGAATAGCTGCGCGAGATGGAGATCCTGCTGGGCGGCAACGACGTAGAGCATTTTGTCGAAGTGGAATTCTTCATCTCGCTCGACAATGGCTGCAATATCTCGAGTCAGGTAAAGGGGTGTGCCATCCTTTCGAACCACAATCGCTTTGCCCAATTTCTTCGCCCCATGCTTAGCAAAATCGACAATCACAGCGCCCTCAGACTCCTCTGAGACTCCCGTTTTTGCCATGGCCTCATATGCCTTGGCAAGGCTTTCAGGCTTAACTTGCGATTCACCGGAGTAGCGATCGAAGTCGATATTGAGGCGGGCATAGGTTTCCTTGTACTTCTCAATACTCAAGTCGCGGAATCGTCTCCAGAGCACGAGGGCTCCTTCATCACCGTCTTCCATGCTCTTGAAATACCGACGCGCCTTTTCATCATAGCTGACATCAACCTTGGCTTGCAGCTCCTTCTCCAACTCAGTGGTATCCTCATTATTTTCTTTCTTTTGCTTAATCTGCTCTTTGAGTTCCTTAATGGGAACCTCCTGCTCGGCCACGTCCTTGTTGATTTTAACATAGACATCAAACAAGTGATTAATAGGATCCTTAATCAGCTCCTCCTCATTTCCATACTTTTCATAACCGTTTGCCAGGAGACCGTATTGCTTTCCCCAATCACCAAGATAATTCATTTTGATCACATCCCATCCCATTACAGTGTAGAGGTTGGCCAAGAAGCCTCCGATAATCGTACTTCGGAGATGGCCAGCATGGAACGGCTTCGCGATATTGGGAGATGAAAACTCGACAATAATTTTCTTCTTGCCCTTTGACGGGTCAGCAGGATCCCGAAGGCCGACGTTCGCGTTTGTGCCATATGTTGCTCTGTTCTTCAGAATGGAGCTGATAACGGTTTTTGTGAGGGGTTCTGGCTTGAAGTAGAACTGTATATGTGTGCCTGAGACAACAGGTGTGCCAATGAGGTCTGATGGAGGAAGGTTTTCCACAATCTGTGCCGTAACTTCTGCTGGCTTCTTGCCTTTAATTTGTAGAGCGGGGACCTAGAGTAGGAGGGGAAGCAAGCAGAAAATAGAAAAATAAAAATTAGCTATGAGAGCCAGGTCAAGATATATTTTTTTTGATTGCTATTATGTGTGCCCAAGCCATACCGCTAGAACTAAATCTCCTTTATCTAGAGAGTTTGTCCATTGTATTTTGGGGTACACAGACAGAGAATCAATCCCAAGCGCCGCCCCTACGAGCTCCGCAACATGCACGCGGTATGTGTCGACGGGGTTGACAGCGGGGTAGCAATTTGGATACTTGGACACCTCACTCGTGGTGGAGTGAATTGAAAGCTGGGCCACGGTGGGCGCCGAATCTGCCGTCATGGTTGTACGGAAGCGTTGATGCTGGTTCTGTGGTGAAAAGGAAGTATCGCGGGGTGTGCTGGAAGAGAGGGCACGGTGTTTAGGGAAGGGTGAGCAGTTCAATCGGAGGGTAGAAAACCGGGCTACCTTGTTAAGTACCGGGGCATAGTACGGTTGAAATATAGATTTCGGAATGAAGAGTGCGCCGTAAAAAATTGGCTGGCGCATATACGCTAGTTCTTGGGGTTTATTCTTGAACCGTCTTTGGGTTTTGTCTCGCAACTTTTCTTTAGACTTGCGGGCTCAAAAAGTTACTCGCAGTGGGGAAGGCGGTGAATGACTGATACGGGCAGAATATTTAATATCAAGACAAGGATTCATTGTGAATTTGGACTTCTACCTTGCGGTATGTATTTATGATAAGCAGCGTATTAAAATTCCATAGAATCTTAAATGAAACGGGTATAACGGGGGGATTATAACTGGCTATTCGTATGTCAATTATCCACTCTCCCATATGTACTAGTACTAGTAACTTTTGTGTTGAAATCCTGCTTCCCAGAAGCGATCATCAGCGCTAGATCTAAGATCAAGACTCCCCCATTCTATTGCAAGTTTCTAAAAACAGGATCAAAGCCATGCGCTCAAATTGAACAGAGAAAAGCTATGAGGGTACGACACAATTCCTAACAGTCGCCAAAGAACTCCATCATTCCACTGCCGGGCCGAATCCAATCCCGTACATCTGGTGACTAAAAGCAAAATACCTGGTCCTCTAGTTTGCTAACGAGTCCAGCCTTCTTGAATCCCAGGGACTCAGTTGCTTTCTTCATGGCGCTAACCATGGGAGGTGGTCCGCAGATCAAGACCTTTGTATCGGGCGCGGCAGCCGGGAGTTTGGCCTAAAAAAAAGAAAAGTATTTAGTTAAGCAAATGTTGAAGAAAGCGAGGGACAAAATCCTAGAGCACCAACAGCTTGAGACTGACCCTGATCATATCTGGAGTAACGAAGCCAACGCCACCTTCCCAGCCTTCTGGTGGGTTGTTTAATACATAGAAAACTCGGAATCCATCATCCTCCTTCGCCAACTGGTCCAGTTCATCTTTTAGGAGGATGTCATCCGGGTTGACGTTGGCAAATATCAGATCAACCTGGGTGGTGTCGTTGCCTCCGTTCCGCGGCCTTCCTCGGATAATAGCTTTAATGATTTGGAGCATTGGCGTAATTCCGGTGCCGCCAGCGATCATACCAATTTTTTTAACCATGTTGGGGGTATAAACCATAGCTCCTTTCGGACCTCGAACCTTCATAGTTTGGCCAATGCGCAAGCCAGCAAGATGTTTCGAGATGTTTCCTTGAGGATATGCCTTGACAAGAAGGTCGAAATAGCCTGCTTCCTGGTCCGAAGAGATAGGGGTATAAGATCGCATGATTTCCTTTGTCTGGCCCTCGATAGTTGCAGCGAGAGAAATATGTTGACCAATGGGTAAACCAAGGATATCTGTAGGGCGCGGGAGGGCGAAGCGGTAAATGGCGACATTGTGAGAGACGATGGTTTTCTCTTTCAATTCAAAGTTTTGGAATTCGGTGGGATTGAGAACCTTCCGTTGTCCTGTAGAAAAAGCAAGGGAAGAAAAAATCATTGTTAGGCTGCAACGTCTCCAATGCCCAGGAAAAGCTGGGGTCTGCATGCCAGATACTGAAAAGGGGATTCTAACTCACTGTTGCTAAACACTTTCCCCCCAGACAAAATCGCGGCGAGAGCTACTGCGTAGGGAAGCCATTCCTTCTTCACAATGGCAGTACCGAAAATCAGGAGAGCGGACGGGATATACATGCCGTTGATCGCTTCGCTTGAAGTCCAGGAACTATGGTGCAAGCAGAAAAAAGGAGTCAATTTTCCAAGAGCGACTGAAGAAATTGAAGAGGGACTGAGATCTCACCTCATAGCTAAACACCCGCAGGGACCCCGACGGAGACAACAGGAAGTATCTTACAACAGAACAAACGGGCGGGGCGGGGGTGTTTAAGGAGAAGAACGGCGCTTGGAGTTGTTTTTGCTCTGGAGAGTTTGACTGAACCTTGTTCTGGAGAAAAATGGTGAGAAATGTGGCGTTACGCATTGAAGTTGTGCGCCGAGCTCCTTAGGCGCATAGGGTTTAGCGCTTCTTAACTTAACCTTCTACGCTCATATGCAAGTTGAACTTATTGTGTCCAAATCTGTTTACACAGTACTGGAGAATACTAACAACATTGCCATTGAATACCAGAAAACTGTTTGAAGGACTAAAATCCTCCGAAATTTCATCACCGTCTTACGTTTGGGAGGAGCGCAGGTGTGGTGGTTTTTAACAGACGGATTAGGGCCTCTGGAGCGTCCAGTCAAAATGAGCCTGGAGTTTATCCTAGAGGCTGTTTGGCATCTTCTATTCATTTGAACTTTTACAAAGTGGGACAGACGAGTTGCAATAAGTTTCGATGGTATAGAAAGCAGCTTTGGCAGAGACTAACAATTAAAATAGCCTTTAAAGGTGCATATACTGATTTGACAACGAAAAATGCATACAAGATGCAATTCTTTGGGCTGAGTATTAGGCTCATAATTGAATAGAGGGAGGAACGTTTGTCTACTGCCACCCAGCGATCTAGTTTGTGATCTGGGAATATTTACAACGAGTACTAGTAACTACTTCAAGCCTGCGGATTTTTTACAATTAATTTAATGAAAAATACTAAATAACTATAGTAAAGTTAAGTACGATTTATCTCTAGTGATAATAGAAGACCTGAACGTATGTGGTTTGCGAACGTAGCCGTGGGAAAATTTAAGGTTAAGCTTAGTCTGTGATTTGGGTAAGGCTTAGTGCCTAATAACCTTAACCAGATAACCAAGGATACAAGGACACGCACCATGGCCAAAATGCCACGCCTGGCAACATTGGACGAACCCCTCCCCCTATCTAGCAATATTGCCTTCGTTTTCTTTGTCCGTATCAAATTCGAGATCAATTGGGCGAAATCCTACACCCATTAGTACACCTGAGAAACATGGGAGATATACCTCCTCAGTCGCTTAACCCGACATCCGCCCCCTTCAATCTCACTGATGTTGACCGCAATGTCCTCTCTCAGACGGATGATGAGTTCGTCTATCACGATTGGGCTGATCTCAAGAGCATCATAGGTCCGTCGCCACCACAAAGCCATTTTCCGTTGAAGGAAAACCAGGGAAGCCATCATCGCTAACTCATCCTAGCCGCAAATAACCTTGAAGTATTGAGGCGCAAGCCCAGTGACCTACGGCGCTACATCGCATGGACAACAGACATTAAGGCGCAGTACGGATCGATCACAAATTACATCTGTAAGGAGCGACTGCGATGGCAGCTTCATGGTTCTGCTCCTCAGGCCTTTTAGTGCCGAAACCCAATTCCTTTTGCAGATCCCAGTGATTACAAGATCCTGCGCAATGACTGGCCCTACGGCGTCACTTCAGATATCACGCATCTAGTGATATGGCTCAAAAATAGTATCCCTGTTAGGGAAGACAGCGGGGATATGACTGAGGAATCGCGTACCCTCATTAATGATTTTGTTATGCGAACGTTTGTTGCTAGGCTTGAGAAGCTCTTTCGTGATGCGAAAGATAGGGTTTTGTGGTTCAAGAATTGGACATCCCTGCAGAGCGTGAGAGCGGTGGAGCATGTCCATGTCGTTGTACGGGATGCCCCTGATGAGATTATTACTGAGTGGACTGGGGAACATGCGAGAACTTAGAGTGTGTGCACCAGCTGTTTCGCATTATGTTAGAGCCAGGGAAAGTCCTGGTCGGTTTGACGCTTCAGGGTTGCTTCTTTAATATTTAGACCTGTCAGAATTGATTGCCAGTTACCTCTTTCCGGTTATTCGTTAATGGGCTCAATTGAGCGGTTTCTACTTGCCGTCCACATCCACACTGCCTATCCGCCCGCTTATCCCGCCAAACTACACGCTCCTCGAAGAGTGCATTGATTACCATTTTATATTTTTAATGGGAATCGACTTCGCTTCTTACAGCGTTTGATATGGATATTTCACGCTTATTACCGTAGGATTGATAGGAAAAGAGAGTAGCTTGAGGTACGTACATATGAGGACATCTCAGTTCTTATCGAGAAATAAATTACAGAACAAATCAAGGGGTAAAATCAGGAAAAAGGCTGGCAACTGCTACGGAGCAAATAAATAAAAGAACAATTGACGAGAAGATATAATGTATCTCGGAATACGTAAGAAAGCATAATGACAATCACCTGAAATAGGCTGAACCGTCCCACAAAATGGTCGAGAAGGGGACTGGTAGAAACGAGGCAATACATTGGAGACTAACAGCAGAAAAAAATCATAGGGATAAACAACCGTTACACCGTAGCCATAAAAGTGAGAACCAATCTGCCAGAACTCCAAGCCATCTACAATCAAGGAAAAACGCATGGAAGATACACGTATGATAAGGTGCAACTCTGCTGATGGAACATATGCCTTTCTTATGACTTTTGCTCTTCACAAACTTTAGCGCCTCGTCCCTCGATACTACGTCAATGGAACTAGCTTTATGGCGGAAACTGACACCATAGCACTTTTCTGCAACGAGAAGCATCTCCGGTCGGAATGTCGTGCAGATAAATTGGCCGTTGGTCTCTTCAGCGATGGACTTGAGCATCTGTGCCACAGCTGTCCGGTACTGCGCATCAAGGTTTGCGTCGATCTCATCGAAGAGGTAGAAGGGAGCTGGGTCGCAAGCTTGGATGGCAAAAACAAGGGCCAAAGCGCAAAGACCTGTTGTTTTTTTTTTTTTTTTTTTGGGTTTCGGGTTAAATATTGAGGTTTGACCGAACGAAAGGCGCTTTTGATGGGGTAAGGAAGGGGGATTCATCTATAGCACTCACTCTTTTGTCCTCCACTGAGTTGTTGGATGCGCTGCTGGTCGTCATGCTTGCTGTTGAAGCTCACACTGATGCCAACGCCAACATAGTTCTCCACACTATTCCGTGCTTCCTCTTCATCGGAATCCAGCTCATCTTCTTGCTGAGTTCTACGATCCGTCTTGCGTTGGATAATCAAACGACCTCGGCCTGCTGGGACTAGTTTCTCGAAAATCTGGGCAAACTCACGCGATACCTGCTTGAAGGTCAGTTCGATGGCTGCGTCCTTGCGATGATCCAGAACTGTAATCAGCTCTTCAATTGATTTTTGGGAAGAGTCAAGTTCTTCTCGTCGCTTTGTCAATGTTTCTCGCTGTTTCGTGAAACCGTTATATTGTTCAAAGGCTTGTTTGTTGACATGTGAATACTTCTTCAGCGCTTCATTGACTTTGTGCAGGCGTTTGACCACTGTATTGGAGTCTGTGTTTTTGAATTTTGTAAAAGCATCGTCAGGGAGGACGCCAAGATCGCGAATATTTGCACTACATTCGGCTGCTTGCTTTGTCAACGCAGCTTTCTTCTGCATACTTTTTTCCATTCGTCGTTGATGCTTTTCCATAGACCTAGCAAGGTCTTCCAGTTCTCGTTTGATATCAGCCTTGCGTTGTTCTAGCTTGGACAGATCAGCCAATCCTGATTCCATGGATTCCTCCAGTTTCTCGAGACGGAGATCGAGTGAGTCTAGGGATTTTTTATGACGATCAATTTCCCGTTGGCTCTCCTTGAGATTCCCATGTGTGCTATCACCGCCAGTTTCAAGTTCGTGGCCAATCAACTGATCTAGTTTCGGGTTTAAGTTTTCACGTAACTCAACTTCAATGACAGATTTGCTGGTTTCAAGTTCGCTGCGGCTACTGGATAGCTCTGAATGTTGACTTCTTAGTTCTTGGACAGTCGAATTGAGAGATTCAAGTCTCGCCTCTTCCGCATTTGTGAGGGCTTTCTCAAAATGTGTCGAAAGTTCTTCTTCGTGGGCAGTTATTTGATCACTCAATGTTTTAACATTAGCCTCCATGTTTCGGAGCGCACGTTGTTTTGCTTCCAGAGTATCCATCTTGTTCTGATGCATGTCACGCTTGCTCTTAATCTCTTGACGTAGTGGGATGTTGCTGCTCTGCAACTGTTGTCTCCTCTGTTCGAGCTTTTGCAGCTCCCCTACAGCTCTAGTAATCAATTGATCCATTTGTTCGAGCTCCCTTCTGATCTCGACACCCCGGTTCCGCTTGGATTCGACCTCATCTCGCCATTTGGTAACAACCTTCAGACCTTCAAGGCGAGATTGGCGAGAGTCGTGGAAACCACCAGTCAATGCCCCTCGTTTGTCCGACCGATCGCCTTCCGGAGTGATGGCATTGACGCCATGACTCCGAGCATATTGTGCGGCGACTTGAAGATTGGGACAAATGATAGTCTTGCCAAAAATTTGCTGGAATGCCTTTTCGAATGTTTTATCGTACACCAGCTTTTCGATAATCGGGATGGTGTCGCTGGCACGTGGTACATTTGCGGGTTTGGGTTTCAGTCGATTCAGTGGCATAAATGTGACTCGTCCCAACTTTTCTTTTTGTAGCACCTCCAATACCTTCGTTGCAGTTTCATCTGTGTCGACAACATAATGAAAAAGACTCTGGCCAGCGGTTACTTCGACAGCAGTGCGGTACCTTTCATTGACGTCAAGAAGCTCAGCAACAGTCCCGTATGCACCTTCAAGGTTAAGTTGTCTTTTAATCCGGCGGACAGCGGCAAGGCCCCGGCTTGTATTATGATCCATCATATGAGATACGTTCCTCTCTGCACGGTCTAGTTCCTGAGAGGCATTGGATATGATGGAATCGAGACGTGCTTCTTCTCTCCACAGCTCCCTAAACCCGTTTATTAATATATTTTCTTGAAATACAGAAAAATGATGAACTTGGTTAACATACTTTCTCTGGTCCATTAGTCGATCTCTTTCATCCTTTGCACCCTGGACCTCCTGCTCCATCGACTGTAAAGCATTGCCTCTACCATCGAGTTGCTTACGCAATTTTTCGATCTCGGGCTCGAGGAGAGCAATATCATTTACGAGTTGCTTGATTTCTTCTTCCGTTTGCATCCTTACAGCCTTGACTGTTGAAAGTGACGTATAGGTGTCTTGGATTTCCCGTTGAAGCCATTTATCTCGTTCCGATTTATTTCTGAATTTGGAATTGCGCCCTTGTTTTGCGTACAGACGCTGTCTCGCCGTTTCTGCTTCGTCCAACTTCGATTTCACCTCTTCTTCTTGCTTCTGCTTCGCCTCAAACTCTGGAAGGAGCTTGCTGAGCTCCTTTTCGCGTTCCTTGATCGCTGTTTGCACCGTCTTCAAATTCGCATCATGACGGGCTTTAGCTCGCTGTGCAGCTGATTGTCCCTCGGAAAGGGATTTAGCCCGCAGTTCAGCCTGTGCCAGCACTCGCGATACGTCGCGGCGATCCTCCTCTATTTGCGTCTTTTCCACTTTGAGAAGTTCTACTGCCTGTTTCAACTCTGAAATTTCCGCGTCTATCTGTGCGATGTCATTTTCGCTCTGAATAAATCGGTTGCGATTTGCATCTGTATCCTCAACTCCTGTTTGTCGTTGGCCTTCAATGTTCTCGAGAGCGGAGGCAATTTCAGCCTGCTCCCGCGAATAAATCGTATATTCGAGGCAGCGACGCTCTCTGTCTTTCTCTTGGTAGTTTTTTAGTTCGTCTTTTTCTTCTTCTAGCTCTGCAAGCCGCTCGTTTATATAGTCGAGTGACTCGTCGATTTTCGCCCTCTTATTGTTCGTTTCATTCATGATCTTCAATGATTCTGCGCGACGCGCCTCATATACCTGCGTACCTGCCACTTCCTTTAAAAGAACCAAACGCTCTGAGTCTTTCATGTTTGTCAGAGTTGTGACGCGACCCTGCGGAACAATGTAGTAAGGGTTCGATCGCGAGAATCCGGCCGATTCGAGTAAGTTCATCACATCAGATTTGGTTGCATTTTTGCGGTCCAGAGTATATTCATCCTTCTTTGTACCAATGGTCCGGCGTAGGATTAGTTCTTTCTTGCCAGTAGGGAATCGTTCATCAGAGTTGTCGAATATGATTTCGACGTAGGCCGACATTACTGCAGAACCAGAGCCCTCCTGTATGCTGTCAGTTGATGAAAGGCCCACAATTAATTGGATGGGCTTGGGTTTTCGTACATGTAGCAACGCCTGCCGTTCCTCCCTCCCCATATGAGTATATGCGTCGCTAAGTACGAATCGAATCGCGGCGAAGAAGTTACTCTTCCCGGATCCATTACGTCCTACAATGACATTGTGCTTGGGGGAGAACGGTTCGATAACCGTCTGATCTTTGTAGCTAGATAGTTCGCCAGAGATTCTCAGCTCGTAGTTCAATCGCTATCGACAGATCGCTCACTTACTCACCTTTTGAAGCCTTGAATGATGATCTGTTTGATATACATCTTGAGCTTGGGGATTCACGTCTCCTCCCGCTCCAAGGCAAAGAGCGTAGTATAATGTTGCGGAACCACCGTGAGACACGTATAGGCAAAGAAACTGGTCTCTGCGATGGCAAGAGCTGACAAGTTGCCCGTTGCGCCGCCGTGGGAAACGCGTTGGAGTTGGGTGAAGGTGACCTGGACGCGTTCCCGATTTGGTATTAGGGCAAGCTGGAGGGGCGGAACCAGGCTAACGATTTAGCGTCTATAAAAATTATTATTTTGCTGGCGCAAATCTGAAATGGCATAAATTTTGAACTTAGGAAAAAAGAACGTACGTTGCCCAATAAACTAAAGGGCGGGTAATTTGCAGGCTTTTGATTCTTTTTTTTTTTTTTTTTTTTTTTTTTTTTCCCACTATGTCTGCAAATTCGATGGTGACGGTGCCTGGTGCGAAGGACCTTCCAGTTTCTTTGGATCCAACAGAAGAACAAACCCCGCCACAACCGGGTGTGGAAGACAAAGAGGATGAGGAATACTATGATGATATTTTTGCAGATGAAGACCTTGATGAAAACGAATTCATGTCCTCCAATCCAGCGGACTTTACAAAATCCTACAATAGACAACGCCGGCTAAAAGAAGTCGCTGCGGATCCAAACGCTCCTAAATCAAAATACCCCAAAAGCAACCCCCAGAAACCCACAATTAATACGCAGGCGAATGTCGACGACCAGATTTCTTCTCTCTCGCGACATGCCGCAAAACTACGGCTAGATGACCTTCAGTCAGGCCTGGGGGGAAAGGGCGATAGAGGGGCAGATAAAAGTGACCGCGCAACATCAGAGCAGGTGTTGGACCCTAGAACCCGTATGATCTTGCTGCAGATGATCAACAGGAATGTGGTGTCCGAGGTCAACGGGTGTCTTTCTACTGGTAAAGAGGCTAATGTTTACCACGCCGTGTCCTACCCAGATGACGATGGTGAGCCACTCCAACGCGCTATCAAGGTCTATAAAACTAGCATATTAGTTTTCAAGGACCGTGACAAGTATGTCAGTGGGGAATTTAGATTCAGGCAGGGCTACAACAAGTCCAACAACAGAGCAATGGTCAAAGTGTGGGCGGAAAAGGAGATGCGAAATCTAAAGCGCCTTTACGCCGTAGGCATACCATGTCCTGAACCCCTCTATCTCCGACTTCACGTTTTAGTCATGGGGTTTCTCGGAAACTCTAAGGGATTTGCGGCTCCGCGATTAAAGGATGTGGACCTTACCGGACCGGATCCCGAGGAACAGTGGAGAGCTCTCTACATCGAGCTTCTCGGCCATATGCGCACAATGTATCAGGAGTGCCGATTAGTACACGCAGATCTAAGCGAGTACAATATCCTCTATCATGAAAATAAGCTCTACATCATTGACGTCAGCCAGAGCGTTGAACACGACCACCCCCGCAGCTTGGAGTTCCTCCGTATGGACATCAAGAACGTCACGGATTTCTTCCAACGAAAGGGAGTTCACACCCTTTCGGAGATGGCTGCATTCGAATTTATTACGGCTAATGATGGACCAAAAGCTTCCCCAGGCTCCAGAAATATGTCAGAAGTATTGGAAAAATTGTTTGTGACTCGAGCACAGATGGAAAACGAGGGACATGCTGATGCTGATACCAGTGCGGAAGTTGAAGTCGACACAGCTGTTTTCCGCCAACAATTTATTCCCCAGACGCTTGAGCAGGTATATGACGTGGAGCGTGATGTGGAGAAACTTCGTAAGGGACAGGGTCAGGACCTAGTATATCGTGAACTGCTGGCAAACAAAGGCGGCACCACGACTACAACCCGGCACTCACTGGTTGCTGCGAATGACGAAGCGGAAGAAGAAAGATCAGACGAATCTGGAGGCGTTTCTATATCGGGTGATGGGTCCGAGTCTGACTCTCAGGCTGAAGACACGGATCCGTTTACGAAAAAAGCTCCTAGGGGAAAGCGGTTCGAGGATAAGGACGCGAAGCGGGACCATAAACGACTTGTGAAAGAGGAGAAGCGCGAACAGCGAACCAAGAAGATTCCGAAGCATATTAAGAAGAAGCTTGTCAATGCATCGAAGAGGAAATGAAGTAGTGCATTTTCCTTTTCTTTTTGAATTTTGTTCCTCCTACTATTGAAAGGAGTGGTTTGGATTCCTGCGGCCGCTATGGAATTGGTTTTGGATGACGATTGATGACATTAACATGAATGCGACGCATTAGATAATGTATGCTGATTCTTATGCCCTTAAATTACAATAGTACTCTTTTTCATTCATGGCATTCAGGCTAGGAACGCAGTGACCTAGTAGTCAGTTTCAAATATATTATCACACTCCTCTAACCAGCTGTAAAATACAGCGAATAATAGCGGGCGAATCTATGAACGCAGGTGTGCTACCGCCAGCAACCTAACAGGAATAGCTTCTAGTGCAGAAGAATTTATGCACAGAACATCCCAGTTTACTTTAAAATCGCCGAAGCATTCGGGGCATTTCAAAAATCAGCTGCCAAAAAAAAAAAAAAAAAAAAAAAAAAAGCATGGAAAACCCATCAGAGCTCTCTTTGGTCCTCATTCCCTCTCATCAGATCAAAAAGTAAAAAATAAAGAAAGAAATGAAAATGACCGCAAAATATTAGCCTCACAATCACCTCATCCCCCTCTAGATTCTCCCAGTTTAATCAAATCTCTCTCAACAAAAGGACGAAGGACACTATGTTCCGCGGCGACGAAAACAATAGGTATATTGGCCTCTGCCAACTAACTGATGCATGCTCATACATACATGTAACGTCAGTGGACTGAAAGACAACCACACAACACTAGGAGAAATGCGAGGGATGAATAGATTTTTCAATGCTCAAGATTGCGATCCATTTTTCTTTTCTTTGCTTGGTTTTTTCTCTTCGAGAAGGGTCGGAGCCAAAGTTTGTTTTTATTTAGAAAAATAAAACAATGGCCGTCTTGCTTTTTGTAGCTTTCATCATTTGGGTTTTCGTTCAGTTGGAATTTCCACGCACTTGGCGGCCTTATAGTATTCAATGACGTGTAGTTATTCGAGCACAGGGAGAAGAAATTGGGTGTAAAAGCGCCTTGCGTGGCGAGAGCAGAGGGGGAAGGAAGGAGTAACAAGGCAATCCAGCCTTTGAGGTGGGAGTGTGAAGCTGACATTAACTTTGCCCACTGAATAAACGACGGCGGATGAAATATTCGCAGTTTTCTAAAACCTTGCTGGTTGACTGGCGCTCTCTTTTTGATACTTTGAATTGCTGAAGAAATTGGCGAGGGAAGTGGGTGCGAAAAGATGCTGCAAAGTTTGAAAGAGAGCCATGTGACTGGTCCTGACAATTTTCCAAGGATATGGAAGGGCTGTAAGCACGTATCCAGTTAGGCCGCGTAATAATTTAGTGCGATATCTATATGATATACTCAATCCAAGTTCAAATGCAGAGTAAAATTTTATAATATCTCCTCCTTTGCTAAATGCCATCAAGTCATGACGGGGACAGTCCGGGGACAGTCTTGACTTGTAGTTTTAACCGTGCAAGCGCTTGTTGGACAACATGTTTCGGCAACTGCGGTATACTATCGTCGATTCCACCGGTGCCATAATCATTTTCAGTAGCAATCACAGGAGTAGTATTATCATGTCCGGCGGTTGAAGGTATGTCGGCGGCAGCACCCTCAACCGTATTATCATTGCTATCCTCAGCCTCGTCCTTCCTTTCAGCATCCTGTTTCTCTGAAGGCATGTGAACAGCTTCCCCACCAACATCTAGTTTCCCGCCAGATACTCTTTTAAACTCCACCCGAGCAGGACATCGACCAAGGCCAGGCCAGATATCTGATGGCAAGTAGTCTCCATATTCTGTCCTAAACATCTCACGGGCCCGGACATCCTCCTCGAATAGCCTATCGAGTTCCCGCCTCGTTTCCCCGAGGACCTTGTCAACAGCCAAGCGGACAGCTTTACGGCGAGTAACTTCCATGATAAGTCTGTCATAAGCGTTGAGGAAGCCAGCGTAGAGATTACGGAGGTCGACGAGCTCAGCCATGCCCGCCTGGATATGCTCCTGCTCCTCGTTCCAGACACGAGTAAAAGCGTGCGCTTGGGCGATGTAATCTGTTAGCTGTGATGAAGCTAATGTTGATAGACGATGGAAGATATCCGTCGTCGATGCGTACACAGAACGAAGCAAATCACGCTGCTCCCACACCCGTTCAAGAGTTGTTTCCATCTCCGCGATACGGTCTTGGATTTCTAAGACGACGTCTTCCGCCTCAGATGCGTCTTTTGTTAACACGCTTATCATTTCTTGGTATTCTGCATTTGTCATTGGTTCGAGAGGTGCGTTGAGGTTGCGACTTCCATTGTCATCTTGGATTTCATTCCCAAAAGTGACCCCTACGCCAACGCCAGTTGGTAGGTCGCCGGCGATGGAGCGAGCAGCGGCACCGCCGCCTTCAGTATGCTTCACTGCCGTTACACACAGGTCAAAATGCCTAACCAAGGATTCCAGGAGGTCAGCCATCCCCCGGGCGTGCGCCTCAAGGGAACGTAAAAGCTCTGGAACATGGGAAGGAGATGGAATGCTGACTCGCGATGCAGAGGGTGATGAGGAAGACAATGATGATGACAAGCTTAAGCGCTTCTTAACTGCATCACGATATTTGCTCAAAGCTTGGTGGATCGAATGGATATCATTGTCGAATGCGCGGTTAGATTGGTCTAGTTCAGCTTGTGCGGCGTTAGTATTGTCAATCGAGGCCTTTAACAACAACTGGAGATCTTCCACGCCGCGATCATCAACAAAATCATATAAGGATTTCGATTCCTCTCCTGCAGGTCTAAATGCGGATTCTACAGGCGTGTCGCGTAGCATGTCTAACGTTTGCGTCAGCCGCTCACCGACGGTATCCATTTCCTTGAGGGCAGCGGCGAACTCGGATCGACCCCGCTGCGCCACCCGCTCAACTTCCGTTCTCACCCCATACAACAATTTGAGCTGCTCGTCTAAGCCCCTCCTGAGAAAGCTGGTACGTGATGAGATGATGACACTCTCTTCTAAAGCAGCACGAGCAGTAGTAACGATTTCATTAGCTCGCCACACATGGTGGATGGACGACAGAGAGCGTTTTGCGGCAACAAGGTGTGAGACCAAGGTTTCCAGATCAAGTTGCTGGGATGAATCACTAGCTTCCATATCATCCACTTGGTCCGGACTCAGCTGGGGTTGTTGATATGGCGATGGCGGCATTCTGGAGAAATGGGGAAACAGGACTTTGTTTTCTTTTCGCTTTTCGCCGCTTTTCCTTTTTTGTGACAAAGAATATTTTTTTATCCATTCACACTTTGATGCTCTTCTGTTACACCTACGGGTTCCTCAAATTCCGATTCGCGACCAGTTGGGTTGTGGCCTTGTGTCACCTCGACATGGTTTTGATTCTCCGGTTGGAGCTGGATCGAATGAAATCTAATTCCATCATCCTAATCAGGTATTAGCAAATGATTTGGACACATGCAGGCATAATTTCCAACTAAGACGTTTAAACAGGGTTTTGTAAACAGTGGTGATTTAAGGAGTAGACCCTTGGTTGCTCTGGTCTGTTGGGCATAACCAACACATTCAGCCCAAGCGTTAGGGACCAACAATGGTGTGATTAAGGGCCGAAATAAGGTAATCAGCTTACCGAACGGACATCTAAGGGGCTTTTCTAGTCTGTCAGGCCGTCCATGTATGAGTGTATCATATCTGAACCAGGAATGGCGCCGTGGATTGCCCGGATCTTCTGCTGAGCGCTGTGCTGGTATAGCCCGAATGTTGGAAAATGGGGGTTCTTCCAGAACCAACTATTACAGCGGGGTCAATGGCGGAGTACCACAGTACCATGCCCGATATCATCCACTGCTTATCCTTGGCAAGATGGATATTTAGATGTGGATATGGAAAATGGAACATCAAATGTTTGGAGCCCCATATGATCACGTGGTATACTTATGCCCCATCCGGCCTAATGTCTGATGTCGCTACGATTCGTCGCTATGGCGCCAGTTTTTGAGGTCTGGTGGCAACCCTACGTGGGCGCAAGGAGTGCAAACTCCCAACGACCAGACGGGCCGCTGGTGAATGAAAATATAAAGACCTATGGTTAGCATCCGCGTTGTACCGATTCCTTTTTCCGGCGGGAATCCCTCGTCATACCATCGTGCCTGTTACTCATCTTCAGAATTTCCTAGGTGGCGGGCTTAGGCATACTCACCTTATCATCAGTTAGACTCAATTTTTCACTAATAATGTAATCCTTAAGCCTCTCAACCACGGCCTCGAATTACCTTGTCAAGCCGCACACCATGACTGTCAACATTGACAGCCCTTCACGGGAGCTGAGAAAGGATGCAGATGGGTCTCCGCGCAAGCGAAGAAAACTTGGCGGATTTGAGACCTCAGATACAACCGTCGCAGCAACTTCTCTTCCGCATGCCTCGCGATCGCAGGATTCCGAAGATCCTGTCCAGTCTCTTGGAGACCGTAGCTCACCTATGGCCGCATCTTCAGCTCAAGCGGATGAGAATGCTGCCTCATTTCTTACCAGGAATATCCGTGACCACTACACATCAATGAATCGATTCGAGCCCCGAAGGATTGACTTGAATCCGAACTCCAAGTACTGCTACCGTCACAGGCCTGACCTGAAATGTCGACGTCAAGCGGATGAGTTGACAATGGACAAGATGCAGCAGGTAGGTCACTTACACCAATACTGCTTCAAGGGAAACGATGTGGGATGGGAAGAGAAGGAGTGAAAAATAAGGGGAGGAGGGAATAGTATCTCTGGCTTTATCCTATCAATTCAACTAATTCAAACGAATATAGGAACTTCACACTCTCTCACAAGTTGACCAACAAAGCATCGCCCACTTTTGGTCTCTATTTTCGACTGCTCCGTCCAAACACCGAAACCTAATGCTACAAGGACTCCTTGCCCAATGTTGTTTCCCTCAGCTCTCCTTTTTGGCTGCTAGCGTCCGCGACTTAATCAGAATTGACTTTCTTTCGGCCCTCCCAACGGAAATATCTTTCAAGATCCTTTCCTACTTAGACACAGCATCATTGTGCAAAGCGGCGCAGGTCTCCCGCCGTTGGAAATACCTTGCTGACGATGATGTCGTTTGGCATAGAATGTGCGAGCAACATATTGATCGCAAATGTCAAAAGTGTGGATGGGGCTTGCCACTTTTGGATCGCAAGAGGCTCCGAGATTCAAAACTCCAGATGCAAATGCGAGTCGCTTGTCGCGGTGTGGAAAAGGAATTGTCAAGTGACATCACGGAAAAGCCTGATGACGTAAAAACTCAACAGAAGCAACTCTCGGTCCCGTCGGACTCGCCGAAAAGATCGCAATCTCCGAGCCATTGGCATTCAAGAGATGAAGACTACTTCAAAACTAGATTCCGGCCGTGGAAAGATGTGTATAAAGATCGGTTTATGGTTGGCATCAACTGGAAGCATGGTCGTGCCACAACGAAAATATTCAGAGGCCACACGAATGGTGTTATGTGTTTACAGTTTGAAGATAATATTCTGGCTACAGGATCATACGATACCACCATCAAAATCTGGGATACAGAAACAGGCCAGGAGTTGCGCACTCTTCGTGGTCATCAATCTGGAATTAGATGTCTTCAATTTGATGACACCAAGTTGATCAGTGGTAGCCTTGACAAAACCATTAAAGTTTGGAATTGGCGCACCGGGGAATGCATATCGACCTATACAGGTCACCAAGGTGGGGTGATTTGTCTCCACTTCGATTCGACCATCCTGGTCTCGGGCTCAATGGACCACACTGTAAAGATATGGAACTTTGAAGATAAATCAACCCGTGTCCTCCGTGGCCACAGTGACTGGGTCAATTCAGTTAAAGTAGACACAGCGTCTCGTACTGTATTTACCGCCTCGGACGATCTAACCGCTCGTCTCTGGGATCTCGATACAGGCAATATCATCCACACTTACCAAGGTCACGTAGGACAAGTTCAACAGGTCCTCCCACTACCGCGTGAATTCGAATTTGAAGAACACGATGCCGAATGTGCAGACGACGGTCAAAGCACAACTTCGGGTGGTGTTAGTTCAGAAAATGAATCCGATCATCATCGTCATCATCATCATCGTCGACGCAGTCTTTCTTCAGAGTCACAGCACGAACCACAGCCCACGGGCAACCCACAACTCTCGCATGCATTGTCACCACCGTTCACTGATATATTCAAAAATGGCCGCCCGTTACCACCACGATACATGCTCACTGCCTCTCTCGACTGGACCCTTCGTCTTTGGGAGGTCACAACCGGCCGATGTCTGCGGACTTTCTTCGGGCATGTAGAAGGAGTATGGGCGCTGGGGGCAGACACTTTGCGCCTTGTGTCTGGCGCTCAGGACCAAACGGCCAAGGTCTGGGATCCTCGCACTGGGCGGTGCGAGCGGACCTTTACGGGTCATTCAGGCCCGATTACTTGTATTGGCCCTAAGCGATAGCCGTTTCGCAACGGGCAGTGAAGATTCCGAAGTTCGCATGTATAGCTTCAGGAGTTGAGATATAGGTTGCTGACATCCCTTCCTTTTGTTTTTCTCCTCTAACACTGATTGGTGTTCCTGTGGGGTTTCAAGTCGAGTTAGCTGGAGTTTATTGTTATACCCAAAATCGCATGACTATGGGAACTTTGAATTTGAGGACAATGAAATTTCTGCTTCGCCCTGTGGATCAAATAGGTCTTTTATGTTCACATACCACCATTCTGTCTTTGTTGCTTTGAAGCGTTTTAAACGGTCTTGGAAAATAGAGACGTGAGGACTTCGAGGTATGCATATGAAAGAAAAGCATTCTCTCCCCTCCTTCCAAACACGTGCCTGATGGCTCGTTCCTTCCAAGGTTATATCGAATTACCTATATCTTTTTTAATCTATAATACAAATTCTAAACTCAATAGAGCCGTTGAAACAATCTATATGAGATCCCCCCTCCCCAAACCCCCTTTTTTCAATCATTTTTGACCCATGGATAACTTTTTATGCACAAATATGTCTTCTCCTTAAGTTCAATCGCCCCTCTCTTTTCCCTTCTACCAGAGTGGATTGGCGGGTGGATATATCCTGTCCTCCATCACGCCATCTTCCTGTCCGCTCAAATGTCACTTAAGTTCAAGACATGCAAATATTTACTAAACAGAGGGCTAGAGCCGATCAATCGGTTAATTCAATTAACTTTTAAATATGCTGCGCAATTCTGCAGTCAATCTCCCAAAGTTTACCTGAGTTATCAATGAATATACAAGGGGAAGGAGAAATTATGCTTCTGTGCTTACAACTCAACCCCAAACATCATCGCCTCATTGCATTCCTTACCACATAAATACTCCACAACATTTTCGCATCTGTCGGTCCCTTTCTTTTTCCTCCCTCAATTTCTCTACCTCTGCTCATGGCCCAGCAAGTATAACCATAAACTTACATATATGCACAGGAAGGACTTCGCTCCCTCGAAAAATGCAACGCAGATCCGGAAGTCCCCAAGACAGCTCTAGAGAAGGCTCAAGACAAGGCCGGCGCTACTACTCGGAGCTCGAAGAGACCTCCAGCAGCTTGCTGGCGAGGAGAACTAGAACTGACAGTGCCTCTAGAAGTCCGCCGCCATCATACACATCCACCTCCCGTCTAGCGCACGCTGACGGCGTTCTTCCGATTTACTATTTCCCGACGGTAGAACCTCTACCGCCCAACCATGGTTTAGAAAACGTACCAAGGGGTGAGTTTGTTTTCCCTATTTTTTCTTTATTTTATTTCGCCCTCTGGGACACAATTCCGAATTACTACGACCATAAGTGAACAAGAGCTGACCATATACAGAAATCATAACATGTGGCTCCGAAGAAGCGAATTGCTCGAGAATCCCATATGACAGGAGAGAAAATACAAATACGGAGCCATTGCATGGTCCGCAAGACAGAGGAGAAGAAGCTAAGAAGGCAAGCAATTATAGCCCAAAGAGAAACAAGATATCACGAGAAAACGAATCTTCTAGTTCTTTCTCTGACCATTCGCGCCGAGCCCAACGTCAGGAACCGAAGGGAAAAAACTCAACCACCCCGCAACAAAATAAATCCTCTGCTGTTGATTCTGAGCAACCTCACAGTTCCTATCATCAAGAAAAGGAGGAAATATTAATATACCCAGGCAAAAGGAATTCAAGCGCTACCCATTCTTTTTTTTCTCCTCGCCTCCCTCAGGAAAGAGAGGAAATATTGATTTACCCAGGCAAAAAAAATTCAGGCGTTACTCATCCTTCTCTTTCTCCTCGCCTCCCTCAGGAAAGAGAGGAAATTTTAATTTATCCGGGGAGGAAAGACTTTTCCAATTATCCCTCTGGTCGCGAGGAATTATGATATGGCCTCCGTTGCTACTAATATAAACGGGGCCCTCCGACAACAACGGGAAATGAACACCACTCATTATGAAAAGGCAGAGGGCTTAAAAAAGCGGTAATAACTAGCTGGGAAAATAACCTCAACAACGCCATTCTACAAGGTGTGAGAAATCTATCTGGCATCTTCCCCAAAACCCTAATGGCTCTTTTCGGGTACAAGATCCTCTCTCGCCGAACTGTCTTCTGGAAAAACAACTCCCGGGTAAAAGAAATTATGCACTTACAAAGCCAGTCTTCCTCTTCAGGCTTCTGATTCTCAAGAGCTGAAAGCTCGGCGAGTGCAGCCTTCGAATCACATACCGTTTCATTAGCTTCTCCATCTACGGCATTCTATCGCGGATATCTTGTTTCGCTAACCTTGGAGATGTGCTGTCCTTGAGGTCAATTAATGTTGAATATTTTTTATTACATTTGTTTACAACATATCAATTTCCGAATTATATCCTTGATTTGCATTGCGACTCTCGATCTTGTTGCTGCTGTGATCTTAATTCCATCATATGTGACTATTTCAATATCTTACTGGATCCTGAAGAAATTTTCTTGACAGGAAATTGAACTTGAAACATTAATATTCGGGAGACGGAATAAATTGCGTTTGTTTCCAGTCGTTCTCTTTCTGAAATCTTTGGAGTTTCATGTTCTCCTTTTTTGACATGTAGGGACTGTTGAAAATAGGGTTACTATGCTTTCCCACCTACGGATATGATATTAAGTGATATACGACCATTTATAATATGAACTTCTTTATGTACAGTACGGTATAATCCTGTTTTGCCTTTCACTTCCAAGCACCAGGGACATACATAGACCGAGAACATAATGAAAACTAGGATGAAAAAGGATGAAAAAATGCAAGGGAGATCTCACAATAAGTCGTAGGACCCTATCATACATACCAGGTCAACAGGCAATAAAGAAATAAACTGTATAATACATAATCACATAGCCAAACAGCCTACACCCAACCCCACCTTGTAAACATTGTATGTCCTTAAATTCTTACATTTCCCTCCGCCCTCGCCTCTGCCATCCGTAATCGTCGCCGGTAATGATCGCGGAACTTCATTCGGATAATGGTTCCGTAGCCCACAGCGCCTAAAAAGACCCCGGCCCACGCACTGGTTATTATCAGGCCCGTTGGGAAGATACCTAGAGTGGTGCCTGGCAAGACGAATGCAGTGGCTGCAGCTACGATGCCCGGGAGTCTAGAGTTGGCATCGGGCATGGTTATGTTGACAGGGGAGTTGTCTTTGTTTGTGAAGAATCCTGCAACATAGGATAGGGTGTCTGAGGATAATGTGGTTATGACGGATTTCTGGTTTTGCGGGTTTGAAGCGCCAACGGTTATGTTGGGGATTAGAAGGACGCGGATGTCGTCTCTGGAAACATCAAGTTAGAAAGATTTTCTCTTTCCCTAGAATGTGGTCGAGGAAGTACTCATGCAAATAAGGGGTTTATCGAACAGGGACAGAGTGACATTGGAAGCAAACATACTTTGTCAGTTTATTAACTTGTAGCTGCCTGGATATTTGCCCGAAATTCCGGAATTCCTCCAGCAACTTAACCTCGCCCTGGTCATTTCGAGTCTTATCAACAAGTCGACGGGGATTTGAAATGGTAGCCTGCGGAATGTTCATTTTCAGTGCGTACTCGGAGAGTGGGATTCCTGCAAACTCTCCCACCGCCTCCGTCAGCTTGTACACTCTGATATCAGCCTCGAATGCGCCAGTTTTGTTGTCGAAATAAGGTATATTGAAGCACGCCGCCATGCCAGATGGGTTCACAACCGTCACCAAATCGTCGAGGGCCTTGAGGCAAGCCTTGTCTGCAGCTGCGTTGAATTTTTGTTCGTCAAATACAGGTGGAGGAGCCAACCCTGAGGTCCCGGTTGGCGGATTCTGTTCCGTCGCTGACCGTGACGGAGCATCCTGCTGGGGTGACGCTGTTCGCTTCTCTACGCCATATCCAATTCGAAGCAAGCTGAATGCATCCCGAATGGCGGTTTCACGAAGATTCGTAGACTGACGGAAAATTGGCCGCTCCAACATCCGTTTCGCGAGGATTGGCTGGATGGATGCGAGCAGTACGAATGCATAGAACGGCACTGATGCTATTCGCATCATGAAAGGCCTATTACATATGCAGTAGAACAGGACAAGTCATATGTTGAGGAAAGACAGATTGGAGTAGTAAATGTGGTGAAAGCCACCGAAATATCGAAATCGTCACAGACGGACACAGTCCAGCAATAATTGCAGCCGCTGGCCAGCAGGGTGAAGAGATATCAACAACAGCCACTGTAGCGCAAAACCATATGTATAACAGATTGATGCTTCTGCCTTAGAACAGTTATTTGGTGATTATCTCCACCGACAGAATAGGAAAAGGAAAGACGAATCCAGATGTATACAAACTTAAGCAAATGGATAATTAATATTTGGAGGGAACTAGGAAGGAAAAAAGAACAAAGGGGAAAGAAGATCCAAAATCATGGATACTCTTGGGGCCAGGACGAAACACAACGGCTTCATCTTGTTTTGCCTTGGGAAAAACCTGAACCAGACGGTTTTAAATCAAATATCATGGTGCATGGAACGCATGATAGAATAGGCACTAGCAAGACTCTCAACAATCTCGTTCCCCAACTGAGCAATGAGAACACAAAGAAAGCGGACAAGGCATCGCGTGCTGCAGTTGACGTCGCACTACACTGGATCTCCGTATAAACTCAGGTATTCTGCGTGGCGGCACATTTTTTGGAAGGCTAGAGACTGTGTCCAATGAAGCTCGGTTTTTACATGCTCAGTGAAGAACTGATCTTAATTTCATGGCCAATCACCAGGGGCACTGTCGCATCGATAGGATCGATCATTTGGGCTGGGAATCCTAGACCAATAATCCTGGAACGCTTTGGTCTCCTGTAAGCCAAGAGATCAAACCTTTGACGTTGCAGATTTGGCCAGCCTCATCCCGGGCATATCGGACGGCAGAAGTCGGCACTAGCTCAAGCGCTCATGAGTTCATTTGTGGGGCCAGCAGAGAGATAGTTAATCCTGTGTCAATCGCGTACTCCGTACATGGCATCAAAAACGACACGCCTTCCACCAAGAGCATCCAGTAGAAGAATACGATATCCGTCCATACAAGAGAAGACACATCGCACTTTGACTTTCTCTCGTGATTGAAGTTTTTCTCTTTTGCTGCTCAGCCAAAGTGCTATTTTAGTTGGCTTTATGGTTGTGGGGTCCGGCGTTTATGCTGGCGCCAAGTTGCAGAGGAGCCAGAATTTGATAACAGCTCAACACCAAAAAGAACTCGCACATGTGCTACTATGTAGAGCGGATATGCCAACACGAGACAGGCCACCCTTGCTGTATTCTGCAAGGTGTGCAGTCTGCCCTTGTGTGTAGCGCGATCTTCTACCAACCGATCGGGTGCTCTAACCATGCTGCAGCCAGCAGCCAGTTAGGACTTGAGTTTTACTTCCAGTATCTGACTTGATCAGTGCATTTCATTTGGGCTTGTTCTTCCCAAAAAAATAATAATAATAATAATAATAATAATAATAAATAAATAAATTGTCTTGATCCATAATTAACGTGAAGGTGAGATTGTGTAGCAGAGAAAGCAATTGTTACATTGACGTTTGAGCTTCGTCTCGTGAAGCTATATATGCATCCCCGGGAGGTCCCGGTTGACTGGTCTCGCTTGGCGATGCGTTTGGATTTTCATGTCTACAGGAATTTTTGCATTTGTGAATTTCCCTCGGCGAAACAGGAACATTTATAATCATCATTATCATCGGTATAGCGCTGTGGAATTCTCTAATCCCCGAATGTAAGTTGCTGGCGTGTAACTGTTTTTTGAATAGCTGCAGAACTAATTTATGGAAACAGGTACCTAATGCCGAACGAGAATATCGGTGTTAGCAAAGAGGTATATCAGCCAGCTGTAAAGGAATTCAAAACACAATTTATAGCATTGGTTCTATCATGATATATATAACCTCTGCAAATTTGTAGAATGGATTCGGATATCGAACAACGCCCACGTGATATCGCAACCCCTAATCCAAGATGTCAAGCCAGAATAAACCGACAGGCACAGAACATTGCCCCATGGAACGACGTCAGGCACTGACTGTAGGTTGGAAAAGACACCATAACGAGCGGGGAAGCGGCAAGGAGTGCCTGCCACGGGAAAGAAAGTGTTGTCGACATCGCTCCTGCTCCGCCGATATAGCTCCCCCCGATGGTATGTGTGTGCGTATATAACATCTCTCCCCACTCGTCTCCTTTCTCTTTATTTCTTTACTCTGCCGCGCTACTTTTATTTTATATACGCTGAATATTTGCTTCTGTCAGTCACTCGTTTAGTGTTTAAGTTATTTTTTCTTGATGGCGGGATGTAAGGCCCCTCATTGCCCCTTTTCTTGTTAGCCAAAGCAGCATTTTCACTGCCATTCCTTTGGTCTTTCCAAATTTTTCAGGTCCAGTTTTAATGACATAGTTTCTTGAATTTTGAACGGTTCTTCCCCCATAATCCATCTTGCCCTGCTATTCCAATACGATATGTTTTGCACTGGACTATGCCGTATCTCTTTGATTAAATTTGTCGTCCTGCGGATTGCAAAGTGAGAGCCTCAATATGTACACAAGCGGTAAGTCAGAATGGCCATATGGATTATATATCAAACGCTCACTTTATCGCAGCAGATCTAAAGCACTACCGTATTTTATAGGACTCGCCATGGAACTACTTTTCGTAGCTAATACTCTCGGCCGGGAGTGTTGCTCCTGTTTTCGTTCTTCTCCGAAGAAGCGCGCGCGATATACGTCGTGGCCGGGAAGTGAGGGCCACGAACTCCAGAGACAAGAAGGCCAGGATCAAGGATTTCGAGGCCAGGGTGCCCACTTGTCTGCAAAGGAACGCTCGGGCCAGGGACATCATTTTCGACAAGCGAAAATGAAAATGGAGCCACGATACCAAATGTCAGCCGCAGAACGTGCTAAAGTTGGACTAGCTTTGAATCATCAAAAGCATGATATCCCTCAGCAAGCCGACCCCGCGCCAGCTCAATTTCCAATGCCAACCGAGAAGGGAAACAAGGGAAGCGGCCAGGTCAGAGGGGTTCCTGCCGCGACCAACAGCCAACAATCAGACCCGTCCACCTCTGCCGCTACCAGAGAGCCAGGCACTACAGTAGAACAAACAAACGCATCTAGAGACGCTCAATCAGCAGATGCCCTTGTGCTTTAAGTCTTAGCCCCCATGAACAGGTTCAGTAAATCTCAATTGTCCGAAAATGATGCCAAGAGAGAACGACCACGGAATGCAATGCGTTAATGCGAAGTAGTCACATATGTCCTTACTCGAAAATAATCGCATTATTGAGGCAAAAGAACTCAATGGCACCTCAAACTAGGAGCCCATGCTTGGTACGTATGTCCGCCCTACCCTCCATTCTCAAAAAGAAAATAATACAAAATAAAATGCCCCTGGACTGCATTAGGACCTGGAGAAATATGGCTGAGTTATTGAATGAAAAAAATCGTTAATTCAAGTCCGTTAAAGTAGCTACCTACTTTGCTGCCAATTTACCAGCCTGGTATATGCTTCCTAGGCTAACATCTCACATTACAGGCTAGCTCAAGAACAAGAGACATTGGTGGAAATGGGGGGTAGGTTGAAGATATAATGAGCCGGACCTATCCCTCCTTGTTCATAATGTTAATGCTTCGTCTTCTGTTATATGTCACCGATGTGTTCTGTTGGGTGTACTCACAGTCAGTGTTGTTGATTTTTTTCGCAAGTTTTCGCTTTGCGCCAGTATGCACTTTAGTTAATGGAATTAGAAAGTACCACTGCCCGGGAATTTGAAACTCCCTCCCAGATTCAATTAGCAACGTCGAAGTCAGAAGTCCTACGGCCAATTGTTGTCGGCAGGGTTGGTGTTGTGATCGCTACCAGAGGCGAGGTTATGCTAACAAGTCATTGGCTTGTACAATAAAGAGCCAGTTGATGTTTGAGCTGCGGGTGTTGAGATATCAAAATCTGGTAGGGAGTCAGTTCCCAGCGGTCACTAGATTTCACCACACCAGACTGGAAACCATCAATCCTTAAGCTTTGGTACGGCCTTAGCCGTTTCGACTTTCGTAATGTGAGGCCAAACATGCGATTCGAGATATCTGTTTTATATTTGATGAAGTTTATTCTTTCGCCAAACAGTCATAAAGAGTATCAATAAAGCACACATACAGGTTGGGCGAGAAGAAGCTCTGCCATGCAATCGGGCATCGTAGAAAGCTAGCCTGATCATGATTGCCGCAACCATCACCCAACTCCAATCGAATCTGTTGGCTCTCTTCGAAAACTTGGCGGCCACACTGGGCAGGGATTAGGAGCTCCAAATAGCGGATCCCATGCGGCTCGAGCCAGCTGGTGGAGAGCGCATGGGTGTCCACTTGAATAAGGTCCACTAGAATAAGATATCAACAACTGCTAGATATTCCAACTTATGGCGACGGTCGCTTAAATTTCCAAGAAGAATGTTGCTGGGATCTGTAGCAGGGATTAGGGCGGTTCTCGATATCGCTGAATCATACCTGACGTAGGAGATCACTTACCACAAAGCACGTAGGGGACGAAAAAGATGGCCAGTGCAATATTAAACCGAGGTCCAGACATGTTTAGGTCCTTTACTGAAAATTCCACCGGGTAACATGGTCCTAAGCAGGCACGTTTGCAGGCTATATAAGGGCATTAGCTCAAGGAATAGGCACACCCGAGAAAGCCAAGCGTTAGCTATCATTCGACTTCGAGAATAATGACCGAAAAGATAAAAGATTGAGCTCTCTGGAGTTTCCCCTGTTTAGAGCATATACTCCGTACTTGGGGGTAAATGGCCGAGAATGATTCTGGCCATCGTCTTTCCCTTCAAGCACTTCCTCCGAGGTAGAAGATGCGAAGTTGAGAAATTCCTCGGGGGCGTTGCAGAAAATGGCGAACGGATGGTTTTCGAACTGTTGGTTCTGGATTTGATGATATATGACCCAACCGCGTCGATAGGTCACACAGGATCAGCACTCCAAACGCTTCCATCGACACGATGGCAAAACATGAGTTAGGAAACGTGGGATTCGACGTGAAAAACGGGCTGCAAACGTCAGTTACAGGGGACATTCAGCGAAACCCTGAGAGATTCGCTTAGGGAGGGTGATAACCCGGCGCAACGCCGCAAGGTGACAATGCCTTAGCGTTAAAGGTTCCGTTGGTTTTTGCTGTGCCTATATCGGACAAACCAAGGCAACTTTAAAGTATTCGAAAAAAAAAAAAAAAAAAAAAAAAAAAAAAAAAATCCCACGCGACTTCTAAACAGATTTGCATGCTATAAAGATCATGTCACCGTCGTTCTAGAGGCATAATAATCAGAATAGTCTCTGGTAATGCATCGACGTCTAGCCAGGCACTTCTTGATGTAGGGAATCCGACCATGATTCATGGATGAATCCCAAATTTAGCGTATTCGAAAATTCTGTCATTTCTTGGCAGTCAAAAACAACGCGTTGACACCATTTGAATCAATTATTGATTGAAATCAATTCTCATCATCTTCTGCCTCAATTTCTATACAAGTCTTATATGCTTTGATGATGATTTATTATCCTCTCTGCTCTGTTGAATAAAGCAGTGCTGATTTCTGAATTTAGCAATATATACATTGATGGCTGTGTCACAGAAGCAAGAGAATCTGTACCACTCTGAATTTTCTAAGCTGTATTCTTCACATAATCTACCTCCTTCAATATAAGCTGACTTACTGCAATTGCCTCTTCTTAATTAGAAGCCAAATGATATAGCTTGAGAATGTCATGTTAGTCCTCAGACAGTCTTCCAGCTTCAGAGCAATCTACTGTGATATGGAAGTATTCAATCATCTCAAATGTGCACCACATTTTTGGCCCACCGACCATCACCATCACCATCACCACCACCGCCACCACCACAAACACAAATTCGCCAATTCTCAGGATCAGTGATAGTTCCCTGGCACGGCGGTTACCTACCAACGGAAAAAGCCAGTGGGTGACTTTTCCAGTCCCAGAGCAAGACCTGCTTGTGTTGTGGGGTTTGTCAATGGCGGTGCTGTGTTCTTGATTTGAGACACATCCAAATTCCCGCTCGGTAACCCTCCTGAACATCCATCTACTCGATCAGAGACTATGTCTCGGAAATTACGAAATAAGGCGTTGAGGGTGAAGCCATTGCAAAGATCTCTACATATCTGATACCTTGTTGGCCAATGTAGGTCCATCATGGGTCTTGCCAACAGCTCATTCGGGAAGCTCAAGCTCGACATGGCAAATCAAAGCATCTTCACGGCCCATTTGATTGTCTATGAACCGTCCATGATCTCATACTTCGAGTATGGAGTACGTATTCATGCTATTTATAAGTCGCGGCCCTTCCCGTCGACTTTAGATCATGCCGTGATTACTGGCAAGTCACCCAATAGCAACTCGAGAGGGCCCCTTGATTCTCGGAGGCAATGCGAGTTCGGCCTTAAGACGAGATCATGCTTCCTCCATATTAGATGCTATGAAGCTATTCTATTGTTCTGCCCTTCTACTTTTCCAGCTGTAAATTGTGCAGCTGGAGATAGCCGCTCTCCCACAGGACCTACCTCTTCAGCAGGGGTGGGTATTTCGATGTTTATGAAGCAAGAGCATCCATAACACGGGCTTACATTCTACAATTGGTGGTACCAGCTTCATACATGTCCTGCAGTCCATGCGTTTTATTTCTTATTTGGAAGAGAGCTCCTTCGAGTACGTTGTTGATCTATTCTGATTGTCCTAACTCGCCCTACCTGCCGGCAGGAGATCTTAACTTCCGTCATATAAATTACGGGACTATTATTGCTTTCGGGTTTGCATTCAAGCGAGTTGGATTACTGATTCAGATAATGGGCCCCCGATCCATGGCAACCCGATTTGTGTTTAACTTTTCATGCGAGAGAGAAACTTGTACATGTACCACCATGGTCCTTTCAAGCGGGGCCGGCTACCTAGAGTCACATATCGAATGACAAGACTCAAGAAACTGCAGTATGTCGTATTTCCTTGACCAGCTCATTTCGCCGTCAGGATTCATCCTGCCACTAATTTGATTTTAAATCATGGTCTGGATTCCACCCAAAAACCCGGGATGCACGTTCCGGTTCCTTGCCATGGATTTTCGAGTTCCGGTTGCCTATAGCGTCCTTTACACCCCCTCAAGGAACACACGAATAATATGATCTTTTAATCGACATTAAGTTCATGGTATTCTTGACATCTGCATGACTTTCTAGTGGCAGTCCAACATGGTTCGCTGTCGTCCTCGTATAGCCATCAAGAAAAGGCCTCACATGTCCTGATATGGATTGTTGATGATGTCTCAATGACTTCCTATCGCTTTAAATGGTTCCAGTGGCTCGTGTATTTTGCATCAGCTGGAATTCCCTCTTTCTGATATCCAATTGGTTTCAATTCTAACGAGGCTTTTTTGTGCAATTTGATCGTTTTGTTTTCTCTGCCGTCGTCGATCGCGTGCATCCTGTACCACTCCGCTGATACGTTTGATACAGGTGCTATCCCCACGTCTCTCCTTTCTCCTATACATGCGATGTCAATCTCTTTGGCTAACTAATTATTTCCGTCAGCCAAATTCTCGTTAGAAAAGCATATAAAACTTCATTATCGACGCACCTACCTCCTATGCTAAAAATTGATTTTCCTTTCAAAGTCCATGATAATCCTTCCTACGTCTCCCATTCAGTAAACCTTACATATTTGTCCTATTATACTTGAAGAGCCATTTTTCTGTTTAACAGTATCTCATTTTGGATTTCCTTGTTGCGACAAATCTTTGTTACCCTTGCCTACTGGTATTATTACACCAAGCTATGACTCTGCGAAAGAATGCAGCCTCTTCCTTGTCAATAGTCATATACTGTTTTTGGGTACTTTTAGGTTCGTCGATATGTGCAGCTCAATCGAACACATATCATCCCATTCCCGAGAAAGGCCCCGTGGGATACGTGTCGGATAAAAATTGCAAGCATGGCCCTACGAACCGAGCCTGTTGGGGTGGGGGTTTTGATGTAGCCACAAACTTTGGCATGAAATGGCCAGATACCGGAAAAGTGGTGGAGGTTCGGCAACCTTCCTTCGATCCATGGATATACACTACATTACGAAGCCAGATGGCTGACCCAGGTGCCGTTAGTATTATCTTGAAATAACCAATACTACTTTAGCCCCTGACGGCTATGAAAGGCTGGTCCTGGCGGTAAATGGACAGTTTCCCGGTCCAACCATTAGAGCGGGTACGTCGAGATCTCTGCAGTGATGTGTTCCGTTCCTAACAAACATTTGCAGAATGGGGCGATACTCTTCGAATCCATGTGAAAAATAATATGCAGAATAATGGGTGGGTTATATGGCCTATTTAAACGTATTTGCCCTAATTTTACTAACGATAGCTTGGTTGTGCAGAACAAGTATACATTGGCATGGAATTCGTCAGAAGTATACAAACCAGCAAGATGGAACGAACGGGATCACAGAATGTATGTAGCCCATGGCCTATTCCGATGTTCCACAGCCAAACTAACTATTGATGCGAAGGCCCTATCCCCCCCGGCGGATCAAAAACGTACGAATTTAAATGTACTCAATATGGGACATCATGGTATCATAGCCATCATACTGTGCAGTGAGTTTTTTATCTCATAATTTCACCTCGGAGCTTATTAGGTTCGTTGATTTAAAATTTCGCAGGTATGGCGATGGAATTGTAGGAGCCATTGTGATTTCCGGCCCAGCTTCAGCCAACTATGATATCGATCTCGGAGAGATGTCTATCCAAGACTGGTATTATCGCACAGCATGGCAAAACGCCCTTCTTGTCATTCCGCCTGTTGCTGACAATGGCCTCATAAATGGAACCATGGTGAACGCAAATGGCGGAGGAAAATATCATGAAAACTCAATTAAGAAGGGGAAGTCATATCTCTTACGGTTGATCAATACATCAGTGAACAATTATTTCAAAGTCCATTTGGATAATCACCTTTTCACGGTTGTTTCGAGCGACTTCGTTCCCATCATGCCTTACCAGGCTGACTGGTTGTTTATTGCAATCGGTATGTATGACCCAGTTACTAAATATATGTCCATTCCACATGCTAATGAAGCAGGGCAACGTTATGATGTAATCATTCACGCCGACCAGGAGATCGACAACTATTGGTTTAGAGCCGAAGTTCAAAAGGGATGCGGTGAAAACGCGATGAACGGAAAGATTAAAAGCATCTTCAGATACGAAGGTGCAGACCAAAATGCGAATCCCACGTCTGTCGCAAGCAATTATACCCAAGGCTGTGATGACGAGGAGGGCCTTGTTCCATTCGTTTCAATTGATGTGCCATCTGAGCATTTCAGCCAACAAGCAAAAGACCTTAACGTCTCTTTTCAGTCCGAAGTTAGTTTGCAGGGGCAAAACATAGTCCACTGGACAATAAACGGAGTCCCTATTGAAACAGATTGGGAATACCCTACTCTTCAATACGTCCTTGATTGCAATACAAGCTTTCCCCAAAGATTGAACGTAATCTCATTAGCTGAATCAGATGTGGTATGTCTCCCGCTCTAACACACTTCATTCCATTTTTGTTTAATTGCGAGCACACTCTTTCCCAACACACGCCCTAATAGCTGTTACCAATAGTGGACGTACTGGATTATCGAAGATATCTTCGAGAGCGGAGTTAACGTTCCACATCCAATCCACCTGCACGGGCATGACTTCTCCATCCTCGGCTCCGGACGAGGTAACTTCCCGGGACCCGAAGGACTCAACTTTAAGAACCCAGCCCGTCGGGATTCTGTTATGTTGCCTGATCATGGGTGGGTTGCCATTGCATTTCAGACAGATAACCCTGGTGCATGGTTAGCGCATTGTCACATTGTAAGAAACCCTTGTTTGCTTGCACACCTGTAAATTTTTATTCAAAAGGTTACATACTGCGTGTAACCCCTCCAATGAATGAACAACTCGAGTCGTCTGACAAAAATGAATCGCCGGGGTAGGCATGGCACGCACACGAAGGACTCGCAGTCCAGTTTCTCGAACGCAGCTCAGACATCCCATCCGCACTCAACATCGCTCAATCATGGCACCATACATGTGCCCAATGGAAAGATTTCATGTTGGGAAACGTAATATACCAACAAAAGGGATCCGGAATTTAGATCAGGGAGGATAGAATATAAGGTCATGAGACATACCTGGGAGGATATATCTACGATACCCTCTTTTACCATTCATTTTCTTTGCTATATCTATTACCTGCTTAGACTAAATTGGGGAGCGCGGGAGGGATAGGCTGTATGGGAAAATCAAATTAAATCAGGTAAAAGGTCTTTCTAACCATTAACAATACCAGTATTAGTATAGTTATTAATCTACTTTGTGGTGTTTCTTGTAAATTTTATAGTATTCCCGGTGGGCCCTTTATTTCAATTTTCAATATACGAATTGTCATTTTAACCTCATCTTATATCTTGTGCGATAACCTGTACAGTACATAGATCAATATTACAGGGTCCAAACAACGTTACTGGCGTCTGTCTTGTGATTGAAAATATATTTCAGCCCTCGTTGGTAAATTGCAAGCCCATACAAGGGACAAAAAAATAAAAATAAAAATAAAAATAAAAATAAAAATGCATGAAGAGCAAGATCTCCGTTCAGAATCCATGGGATGAATATCCACCACCAAGTGACATAAACGGCCCTGCATCGCGACCAGTCCATACGACAACTGTCCACATCATCGAGCCACATCAGAATCCAGAAATAAAACGTAGGGCTTCGCCTAGATCTTAACAGATATAGGTCCATCCTGTCGATCTGATCATTTGGCGATCTCCAGCTTCTTTCATATAAGCTCTGCCCCGTAGCACAGATAATTTTCGTCTCGGTCCTGAGGGCTAGGGCAAAATGTTAAGCAAGTGAGTCGAACAACCATGGAACAACCTGGGAACAAACTGTGACCCACTCAACAAGCAGGCTAAACATGCATTCAAGTAGCTCCAACACCGCAACAGGCCATGCCGATGACTATGAGGAGAGAAGCTCCCACTCCTTTCGATCTGCTGTGGTTGTTCGGACGTAACTTCCTCGAAATGTTTGAAGGCCAATCAGGTTCTCTACGAGAACGAGAAGCTGCATCCGCAGGCACACGACATAGCGCTAGACACGAGGTTTTCCGCAAAGGACGCCAATGTGTCGGGCATCGACATGTATGATCCTATGATATCGTTGATAATACCAACTACATGGTATGCTAGATCTTTTTCCGATTGAGTTTCAGACGTCCACAACATTTGAATTGGGCATGTTGGACACACGAATGGTGGCTGTGCAGCAATTGATTTTACACTGAAAAACAAAAGGGGGGAGAAAGAAAGAAAAAATGGGAATCGCTGACTTCTTAATGGAACTGCCGGTTGGTTGTCGGTGCTTCAGAACTCTCCGCGCGTAGGCTTAAACCAAACGATCGGACGAACTTGAGATCTCTAGGGCTGACGTCATAACGTGGCCGGGCGGTCTTCTCTCCGACGCTTTGCTGCTCCAGGCCTAGAAACGAATCTTCAGGGTCCAACTTTGCTCCATGGGCTTCGTGGAAACAAATGTCCGCTTCAAGCGGGCGAACTCTACAACTTTTAAATTCAGGGTTGATTATTTCAGGGTGGAGCTACGTCACTGACCCAGTTGATTTTTCGACAGGGTACCGAGTGGCTATAAGTTGTCGCATTCCAGTTCCTGAACTCCAGGCAGTAATTGCGAACCATTCCTGATCTTTTCCTCAAATTTGAAAAGCTTCCTCTTATCAGACTCATTTTTCTTTGCTGTGTTGACTGGGGCCGCAAAGGAATTGCGCAAGAGACTAGTACTATTTACATTCCTATATTGCGCCATCCTGTGCCTCACATTTAAACAACGATGTCCTCTTTCACTGATAAGTCGATAAACATCGCCTTCTTCGGCTCAACAGGCGGCTGCGCAAATGCCTGTCTGACTTACACTCTCAAAAACGGATACAAAGCAAGCGCCCTCGCTCGGACTCCCTCGAAACTTCAAACCCAACTCTTATCCCAAGGACTTGACCAGGCAACAATCGACAATAATTTAACAATCATTCAAGGGGATGCAACAGACGTTGAAGTCATCAAGCGCACTCTCTCCCCAGAGAAAAACAACGGCAAAATGGTCTCCCTCATAATTTCCGGATTAGGCGGGCCTCCCAAAATGACAGCCTCGCTTCAACCCATCACCTTTGATAATCCAAACATTTGCGAAAATAGCATGAATGCCATTCTATCCGCCATAGAATTACTGCAGCCGCCCACGGCAACTGAAAAGGAAAAGCCCATCCTCGTGGCTATCTCCACTACTGGCATCTCATCCGGACCAAGAGACGTGCCATACCTCCTCTACCCTCTTTGGCACTTCCTCAAAGTCCCACACAAGGACAAGAAAAAGATGGAGCATGCGATTTTTGATTCACCCTCTAAACGGCTTCTGAGAGGCGCCATTGTCGTGCGTCCGACATTGCTGGTTAGTGACCATTCCATCACCAGTGGGAAGGGGTGGAAGACGTTGAAGGTCGGGACGGAGAATAAGCCGGCCCTGGGACATTCGATCCAGCGGGCGGATGTCGGAGAGTGGATATTTGAGGAAATGGTCAAGGCAAAAGGGGAAAAGTGGTTGAATGAAAAGGTGACTTTGAGTAACTAATGAATTGGCGTGTTTTCCCTACCCTCGGTTTTGTGCATTTCTCCTCTCTCTTCTTTTACACGTGTGGAAAGCCTCTTTGTGTTTTCGCGACCTTCCTTTCTAAAATATCTACGGAGTCCATGCCTGTTGTTGTATATATGATACCTCCCCCAACTAGTTATGTCGATTCGACACCACATTTTTTTGTTATTGCCTATTCATGAGCTGAGACGAATACTATAATAAATTTATGTCAATCCGCTTGTTGCCTATGGAAGGAGAGTTAATTAGTAAAATCAAGTCCCCAAACGGTTCTCCTATCACACATAATGCGGTACGGAGTAAGGGTTTCCAAGGACGAAGGAAATCGCGCCGGGTGAATCCACACTCTCGCTCCTATGTATGACCCTCTGGCTCCAGGCAGATATTAATTGATTACTAGCCCAAGACCGGACACCACACGCTAATCGCCCTCACCCCAAATCCATACAGCGTAAAGGCCACGTTTCATGTAAGGCTGGGCCGCTTAGAACGGAGGCAGCAATATTTTTGGACATCACGATACTTACTTTATAGCTAAGTCTCATGTAGCTAGCTTTAAATCCAAAAAAGGAGACAACATGGAGCTAACCACCCACCACCCTTGACCACCAGCGCAAAATCAGTGGAAAGAAGTATAATTTTGAAAGATTACCTCCTATCTCTATAACCAACAATATGTAAAGAGCCAGACTCAGCCCAATCACGCAATAGGAACAGGACTGGACATGGCGGAGGGGCTTGCAAAATGAATCCATACTAAATGAAAGAATAAAAGGCTTTCCTAATCATCCATCAACAAGAAACCGAGAAAACACGTGCCAATAAGAATGATAGGCTATGAAGGGACAAAAGGTAATATCGACCTTCCACAGAGGTCATACAGTTCAAATAACATGTAAGAAGAACGTACTGTACATGCATGTGTACGGCCTCGCCGAAAGCTAAGAAAGAGAATGGGAGTAACCAACCAGCACTTGAAACAAACATGCTCTTTTGTAAAAAAAAAAAAAAAAAAAAAAAAAAAAAAAAAAAATTGTAGTATGCATTAAAAAAAACTTGACAAATATATATATAAGCAAAAGAATAATAATAATAAATAAGAAGAAGCAGAAGAAGAAGAAATAGAATAGAAAAATGAAGAGTCTAGCTCGGATATCATCCCTCGTACAGCCGTTGGGAATAGGAGATAGGAATAACTCTAACGCCAAGTAAATATAATGATAATAATCACACACACCGAGAAGGAAAAGAAAAAGAAAGAAAAACGCTGTCAAATGCCAGCTATTCGCTTACAAAAATCGATGACAAAGCAAAGGGTTCACTGAGATATAAAACAATGGTTTTAAGGGAGCTTTTTGATATTACCATTAGTCCCGGGAGGTCCGTCCTCCCCGAAGCTCGAGCCCTCAAATGCTTGGTTTAAACTCCGAAGCGAGAAACCGCTGCTGGCAAAATGCACACCAACTAGCCACGCAGTGACTATGTTGGCAATGTGATGGAGGAGGTATGCATATGTTACGCCGTAAAGTGCTGCATATCCAGCGAGAATGATAAATAAGGCGGACGTGACATGTCGCAATCTGGATTGGAAGGACAATGTTAGGTTTTGAGTAGACAAAAACAGCTAACGAATAAAAAGTCAATGTGAAGGAGCGCCCAGAATACCACATACCTCGAGGTTATTCTTGGAATCATATGTCCGTTTGTGAGGGTCTCCACAAGTAGTATAAATGGCATTATAGACAAGACATTGTGATGGGATGAGAACGGCGTCCACCAGTGGACAGCAAGGTTGTGAACCCAAACTGCAAACACTGGAACATTAACCGGTAATATCCACAGCATGAGGATGAAGATTGAATGAACGTAATTATAGAAATTATACTGCGAGTTAGATTTCTGCTCTCATGTATCAGAATCAGGCAGTTTTACTTCCAAATGAGGTAGAAATAGTAATTGCTCACCGATTCTCTCGCATATTGTAAAGTCTGGACGCAAGTTGCCAATTGCACAAGGCATGCTACAAGATACGCGAACTGATATGGAATCACTGTTGCCACAAAACATAGTAAAACAGCAGAATTTATGATCCTTTGCCTGGAAGAGAGCGATGGGTAAATTGCAGCGGGTCTAAAGCAAAATCAGTTACAAATCCAGTCACGACATGGTGCTGCTATTGCTGTGAGTCCTCTCACCTTGGGTCGTCATGCTTTATGTATCCTCGACGTGATACCAACACACTACGGATTGTAGCCAAGCCATAAATCAACGCCATGACAACATGATTTACCACAACGCATAATCCGATGCTAATGAGGCCAAACAAGGGCACCAGGAACCAGAAAAAACTGTCTTGAGATCCTAGGAGCAAGTCGTTCCTCGTGAAGTCTATGGCAGATTCGGTGGAATTTGATCGCCAATCTGTTGATGCTTTCTCCGAGTTATCCATTCCTGAGTTAGATGTTGCTAAAGACGCTGAAACAAATGTCAATATTATGAATAAGAGCGGTAAGGAAATTCGGAGGCAAAGGTCCAAGGCCTCCGAGAAAGGGATGAAAATGCCTAATGACGTCAGAAATTGGTCAAAAGCGCCAAGGTAGGAGGACAAACCTGTTGTATCATGTATCTGGAACTGCTTCCGGAGAACCAGTGCAGTCACAAGAAGTGGGAGGGCCGCAAATACCGTACGATATCGCATGGCAAGTTTCCCCATGCTGCCAACAATGTCTACACGCAAAGAAAGCTCCGTTGAGGCATTACAGCTAGGATCGGACCAGAGCTGAAATGAAATACCACGCATAGCAGAGCGGTCCCGAAGATGTGGAGGCATATATGGTGCAACACCATGCAAATTTATATCAGCTTCTTTGACATTGACGAAGTACTTCGATTCATGTGGTTCCGAGATATATTGTCGTAGTAAGGGCGTAAATAACTCAGCATGTTCGCCACACGGCTGCTTCCCGACTCTCAACTTATAAGCCAGGAGACTTGAGTGGAGAGCGGGGATTTTCACTTCAGTTAACATGGGCCGTTCTGCAGGAAGTCGAATATCGAGTCCGGTAGCCAGCAGGCGGCCAAGTCCAACTTTGGTTTGGATGAGAGCGTCGGAACTGTCTGAAAATTCCGCAACAAGCCAACCAGAGGAACGCTTGGCAGCCTTGTCAATAACAGCTACGAATTGATGCTCCATCAGATCTTCCAAGTTATATTGCAGATATGAAAATGGCAGAGCATCATCGAAGGCGAACTTGGACGAACGTGTCGATGCTGGAAGATTTATTGCATCCTCCATGGCACTCTTGCAAGCCAATCGAGTGGAACCCGCGCTGCCGCCGGAGAGATCCATATTCGAAGATAGCAAAGGAGCCGAATGTCCAGCTCGCAAAGGGAATACGCTACAAAACAAGACTTCTAGTTTTCCATTGCCACCAGGAGAATCGAGAAGCTGATCTGTAAGGAGAGTAAACTTTTTCCCTGAAGCGCCTTGGGGAGGAATTGGGAGTAAATGCGCTTCGGGTAACTGGCGGCTACCAAAGGCACGCAAGACTAGTCGCTGTCCTTGGGGAAGAATCGAATTTGTATTATCTTCCAAAGTCAAGAGAGTAGAAGGGTCTGTGAAACCGTAAGTATGGACATAGAAAGTATATTTCAACACGGAAAACTAACCTTTTTGTGGGAGAGACCTTTCAGAAATGGCTTCCATCCCAGTAAGATACCATTTTTTGAATACGCTCATTCTCTCCGCTCTCTGTTTCGTTTGAGATGATCGCCGTACATCCACCAGGTCGAAAAGTGAGCGAATAATTACTTTTCGGAACGAATCACACCAAGCGATAGAAAGATGGTCCATTCCGGTCCAGACATTTGGTATAGTGGATGTGAATACGGTAAATCCATGGGTTTCTGGAACAAGAGATGATAGACTGGTGTAATCAGAAGGAACAATAGAATCCCCACCACCTCCCGCGATAGATATTAAGGTAACATGCCACAATGGATTGTTGTTGGCCCACCTCTGAGAGTATGCTTCACGCCAGTAATCGTTAATCTGCTTGTATGTGCGGACAACATCTCTATCAAACGAAACGGGAGGCCGTGCATGAGGGGTTGACATTGTGATGATTGTGTTCACCGAATTTGCCTGGTAATTCGACATTGTAAGCACAGTTCGAGCAACGATGCCACCCATTGAATGGCCAATGAGGATCACGGAGCTAGGGTCTGGAAGGTTTAGGTCTCTTCCAGGGCGTGTAGGATCATGATAAAGTGAAAGTATATAAGCTAGAGCTTCGTTGACGTATTCCGCCTGGTCCAGCAATGTTTGTCCATGAAACGCCGCCATATCCTCGTTAAAATCCGCCATGAAGAAATCTAAACTTCGTGTCCCGGCATTGAGTTTCTCCTGGTCATTGCTTATTGCATCCTGGAAATATAACGAGGCTTCCGATGCTAGCGAGCGGCCTTGCCTGTAGCTACCAGCATTTCCAGGAAGGAACAATACTGGCACACCCCTAAGCTGCTCCAATAGTTAGCATTGAGTGACGCTTGATGTCCCAGTATACATAAATCGAAAGAAAATATTAACGGCGGAAAAAAAAACGTAAACTAAAAAAAAAAGTATCACCCTACCCCAATATCTTGTTCACTATATTTGTCAACCGTCCGCTCCCGATAGAGGTAGAGACGATATTTGCTCGCGAAGCGAGTATGCTCAGTATCGAATCCTATGAGTTGAATATACGTTGGCATCATTCGAGGAGTTTTGCAGCCTTGCGGGTCGATTTGGCGGGTCATGTACGAGTGAATGATTCCATAAAGGGAGATCGCACTCAGGACCGTCAGGGATATTGTTAGAAGGGAACATGACCACAGAATTCGCGGCCGAGACCTTCGTAGTTTATGCCCCTCCATCGAATTATTTGTTATTGGAGAGAAAATCCGGGATTCGAATGACATGGCGTTTTCCTGTCGATTCGTGGAGTTCGAGGGAGTCGTTTGCCTTGTATCGCCCGCGAATCCACGGGTGCTAAAAGCTGATGGATTGGCCTCCTCCCCGCTAGATAAATCGGTCGCTTGCTGCTGGTTCAATTGCGGAACAAACAAATAGCCTGTATCATTGTTAATCTCAGGCCCATGTCTCCTTGCGGGTGCGGCGTCCAGATATGTATGCGACTGATGGGGCTTATGCCAGCCAGAGAGGCGCCTTAGCATTTGAAGGAGGCGCACTCATCCGCGACTCGATCACGACAGAGCACAAGCCCACAAGATTTATGGAAGGGCTGAGAGAGGGTGAAAAGGGTGGGAAAAGGTTGAAGCGGGAGAGGAGAGGGGAACGCGGCGGGGGAGGCAGGCAAAGAAACAGTGAAAAAGCATCAAAAAGGAGCTTGAGATAAGGAGCTTGACAGAAAAAGACAAGCAAACCTTATTTTGGGAAGGCACGCACGGACCACTAGTTACGGATTATGTTCGAGTCCCTTACATCTCTGCGGAAACGTATCTTAAAAGCGAGCTTGTATACTTTCTTCCTCAAAAATATTTCGGTTTGATTATTATACATGGGTATCGTTTTTACAGAGCACAAAACAGATTAACGAAATAACTGATGTCTAACCAAGTGGGCCGACTTTCACTTCCTCCCTACTCCTCAGCTCCTCCAGTTCAGATTCCTTGGCCTTCTCTCGGCCCAAACGCCGTTTAATGGCGACTATATTCTTGAATTGGCCCATTGCTCCGTGCTTGACCTTCGTGATCATATCTGCTGCATCTCCTTTCGTAATTTCTCTCGGTTTAATCTGGCTATCGAAAGGGAGGTGCTTGTTGAGAAACGCGACCTGCCCAAGGCTGGCGTACTTCTTTCTCCACGGTTGCCATTTAGCTATAAAAACTGGGACAAATATGCGGTTGGCTAGCGTATCAGCAGCGTGCACTGCTTGAGAGAATTCAAGTGACGAGGCAATCTCTCGCGGGCGGCTAAATGGGCTTTTTGAATGGAAATTCGGGCTCAAGGCCCTGACGTGGGAAACCGAATACAAACCGGAGTCGTCTTTGATGATTGTAATTCTTCCAGGAGGCGCATTCAGCACGTATCGATCAGGCGCCACTGATACCCAAGCATTTTGGCTTAACGAACGAATATGTCTTTCACCTGATGTATCCCGGAGTAAATCATGTACAGAATCATAGTCAGTAAAATCAACAGCCACTTTATCCGCAGAAATTGCAGAGAACTTCAACTTTGATTTGAAGCTATAACTTTCACGGTTTTTGAGTTTTTCTATGTCCTCCATCTTTGCTTCATCAAGACCTTCGTCCGGGTGAAGACCAAACAGGGTAGGTGTGCTGGTGATACCAGTGCCAAGAGACGCAACCATATCAATGATATGGCAGTTCTTCTTCCCTGGGTATAGCCTTAATCCTCTCCCAATCATTTGGATCAAAAGGTTTTTGGACCTTGTCGGACGTGCAAGAAGCACACAATCAATATTAGGGATATCTGTTCCCTCTGTGAAAAGCCCACAGTTTACCAAAACTGGGTATTCTTGGTTGCGGAAAGCTTCCAGTTCATCTGTTCGGATATCTTTGGGAGTCTGACTTGTAATATATCTCGCATCGACGCCAAATCTGCGAAATGCTTCTGTGAGGCACCTTACATGCTCAATGTTGACCCCAAAAACAAGAGTTGATTTTCTCTCGCTCGCCCTGGAGAGCCAAGCGCGAACAGTAATATCATTTACTGTGTCAGTGTTAACTGCTGCTGATAGCTGACCAGTCTGAAAGTCACCATTAGGGCCATTGGAAACCTTTGATAGGTCAGCCCTGGAATTCACTGTCGTGAACACAGCATCTGCAAGCCACTTTTCTCCAATCATATCGATGTAATCTTTATGGTAGACGATATGGTCAATAGCAGCCCCCAGCTTTAGTCCATCGAACCGCGAAAAAGTCGCCGACACGCCAACGAGAGCTGGAGACCCATCGGACACTTCATTCAATCCGAAATATCCAAGAACTTCTTTATACGACGGAGCCACGATATGGTGCGCTTCATCCACCAAAATAAGTTTATATCTCTCCGGGTCAAACTTTTCAATTCGTCCCTTTGAAAGGAGGCTTCGGATGGATGCTATGGTTATTTCAGCGGTTCCTGTTGCGTGACTCTTGCCCATTTCAATTTCGATGGTCTTCCCGGGGTACGCAAGCATACAATGCTTTGCTGCCTGTTCAACCAGTTCTTTTCGATGGACTATAATAAGGGTTCGGTTTGCGACTTCATCACGGGGAGGAATGCGATCGATCAGCTGCGTAAAAATTACCTACCCAGATATTTAAGTTAGCGAAAGAGCCAAGATATCGAGGAGAATATGAAGCGTCATCCTCACAGTCTTTCCACTCCCCGTTGCCAGCGAAACACCCAGTCTTTTGTGGCCCTTCTCCAAATATGAGAGGACAGACTGGATACATTCTTCTTGGTAACTCCGAAGGTGAAAATCGGACAGTGACGATCCAGGAGAGTGGGACTTAGTAGGTGTAGCTGCTACTGCTACTGCTGAGGAAATGAGTCTATGGCTAAGGATGCTGTTCCCGTAGGTAGCAGCGCATTTGAACTCTCGTATACATTTCGTCAACCACCGCATCTTCCATGGCTGTTGTTGATATCAAACTATTAATGCTAATGGCAGGTATCAAGGTTTGGTAGTAGGTGGATGCAAACACTGCAAACTCTTAGAACCACTTTTTCTCCAACTGCTCCAAAGCTAAAATGACCATCCACCGATCACATATATTACATTCCAAGGACTGACTTTTTTTGCGTTGAATTTCTTGGTTGGGAGTTGATGTCATGTTTCTGCCAGAATTTCTGCGAAGGTGTCCACAATATGTTACACCGGTAGCCGTTCTTCGCCATGAGCAGCACATCAAGTATCTATGAGCCAGCGGAAGAGGACTCCTCCGATAATGACTCCCTTAGCCGTAGGATATTTCCCAACGGCTTCACTACATCATCTCCTCCGCTACAAAATCTCAGGCTTGCTTCAAGCATAGAATTAAGTAGCCCATCCAGACCTCAATCAAGTGGTTCAACCGAGAATCTTCAACCACGGAGAAACCGTTCCCATATCAATAGGAAGCTCCCCACTGAAGGCTATGTGAAGCTCTTTAATGAGTTCACAGGAAGCGCAGTTTTGGGAGGTGAAGGTACAAGTAAATCCATCTTCGCACCTTCACAGATCGGGATTATTTCTTGGAGCTCCCACGAGAAGGAGATATTTTTCAATGCCCTTGAAAGGAAGGACAAAGGTGCGATTCCAGAAATAGCCTCGCTTCTGGGATCAAAATCCGAGATGGAGATACGGGATTATCTCGATACTCTACGCCAAGGTCTCGAGACTCAGCAACTTAAAACTCGGTATAGCAAAACCCTTACTCTCTCGGACATACCCGCAGCTGCAGAGATAAGCGAAGAATGCTGTCAAACTCTAGAAGACAATGCGCTAGCATTATCTCGACAGGAAGAACAGACCACAAATGCCATAGGTAAGCGGAGGTACGGAGAAATGTGGCTTGTTGATCGCCACGTTGCGGCGATGGTTGAGGATCAATTGGATGCTGAACGCGAGCGATCAGACGATGGAGGAAACGAAGAGGAGGGCAACTTAAGTCCACAGCCAAGCATACTAGCTACTTCGCAGTTGCTGAATACGGCGAACTGGATTCTACTTTCGGAGCGTATATTCATGAATTCCGGCAACAGTAGAATTGAGGATAACTGGTGCCACCTTAGAGCCGGCAGTGAAACGCCGTCTTTGACCTGCGAGGCATTTGCCGACTTCTATGCCTTGACAATCAGCCTCACACGCCGCCTGGTGCATTCTTCAATATTCTTTGCGATGTCACGTCTGCGCTCCCTAGAACGTGGTGGATATCAGCGCGGGAAGCTGGTAAGAAGTGAAGATGTAGGAGCAGCGTTAGACGTACTGAGGATGAGCCACAATTCCCGACAGTTTTGGATCGGTGCTCCCCGACGCCACAATTTAAAGGTCGAGGAGATCCGCCATCGCAAAGGCTTCAAACCCGTTTCTCTCACGTATGACGAAGTCGAGGAGGACCTGTCTGTGGAAGGCACCAGATCAAGGGGCTCCCATGCTAGCAGCATTGCGCAATCAGTGTTTGCATCGGAAAACCAACCAAATGCTGAGGATTTGTCCGACAGCGAATCCTCTGACTCTGAAGTATCGAACACTTCTTCATTTAACAATACCACATCCCACGATGATGAACCGCTATCCGATCCTGAAGAGCAACACGCCGCATCCATAGATCAGAAATCAAGCCGTGTTGAAGAACTTCGGCTATGGAGACAACTGAGTCAATCCCCGCCACGATCCCTCCTGCGTGAATATGAGGATTCGGACACAGGAGGTGACAATAAAACCACGGCGACGAGGCCACCTGGTAACCGGAAAACAAGAAAAGATCTGATAGACTGGCGAGACCGATTATTGTATCGGAGTGAATGGGAAGAATTCGGGCCGGATATCGTCCTTCTTGGAGAAGAGTTATCCGATAACCGAAGAAAGAAACGGAGACTTGGGTAGTGTATTATTGAAATAGCTGGATTGAAGAGGCCGTATTTACAACCGGAAAGAAGGCGTATGGCATTGGCATTTATACTTTAATTTACAAGTATATATGGGTACCTACGTACGAATACGCAGATTGTTATCACGATTATGAATGTTACAATACTACAGTACATTTTCCTTCAAGCGGTTATCGATTATTCCACTTGCCATGTACCATCAAACCAGTCATATCTTGGCATATTGATAGAAAAATCCATAGAACCATTGATAAGGACGTAAAATCACCCTTCCTTCTACCAGTACAATACACGAGTGAAAGCCATTGCATGTTTGAAAGACGAACCGCAAGGAATAACAAGGAGCCACGCGATACGATAAAAGTTGACACGAGAACAGAAATTTTTTTTTTTTTAAAAAAAAAAAAAAAAAAAAAACCTGATTACCCGGGCTGCCATTAAGATCGAAATGAACGCAGAAATTTTGTATGTGAAAAGTTCGCCTGTGGAATCAAATCGTACAATTTGGGTTGGGAAATGACGAAAGAAACAAGAGTCCAAAATTAACTAAACTAAATCTTTCAACACCCGAACAATCCCACAGCTTTCAGAATCGCGAGATGTGATCAAGGGCGTCTTTGATCGAATTTAGTGTCCAAGGGATTGATGGTTTCTTTCCCTCTTCACTCCCCAAGCGTCCAGCTGTGGAGCAGACAGACAAAGCGTGCTCAAGTCGAGAATGACGGAGGAAAAGGAGAATGCGCACATCAATAACAAAAACTCCGCCAACTATAGAACCGCCCCCAGAATTAAATAATAAACGAAACCAGAGATAAGCTACAGACCCCGATCCAGAGAACTTGCGCCGTTGGTGGAGAAAAAGAAAAAGCGAGAAAAAAGCCTCGTCAACGACCCAGGCGTAACGTAGTGGTTCCGACAAGCACCCGATTTATCAACGCGGTCTTTTTAACACCCAGATCGTACATCAAATCATCCTTCATTCAACAACTTGCATTCTTCCCCCGCTCCGCCTTCTAAAATCTTCAAGAGTTATATCTAATCAATTATTGAATTGCCCTTAGATCTCAAAAGCTTTGTACTCCCCGCCTTGCAAGCTGGGCGGCTGAAGGTTCGCCACTTGGCCAGCAGTAGCCTGCTGGAACCCATAACGTTCGCCAATGCCCAGCATTTCCGCATTGACAGCCATAGCAACTCCTTCCTCAGGTCCCTCCAAGCTGGCGGATTTTAGGAGATCCTGAACTTCCTTGATTCTCTTTTTAAAGGCCATGCGGTCAAGGAAGAGCTGTTGCCGGCCTTGTTCCAGATCTCTCCGTTCGGCTTCAACAATCTTTTCAAGTTCGGTGAACTGAGCAAGTTTGATGTCGAATTTTTGCAGAGTTATATTGACAGCCGCAGCGACTAGACGAGTCATTTCTCTTTCTTCGTTGGAGGCAAAAGCGGCTGCACGGGCAGCAGCAGTGGCCAAACCAATAGTTGCAATAGAAGGGCGCGAGGATTGTTTATCACTTCCCGTGCTCCGCACAACAGCTGATGATTCAGGTTCATTTGCACCGTCGATCTCCATCAAATCTTCAAACTTCATAGTCTCTCCTGCTTTGCCTTTGTCTTTATCCTTGGTCTCGTCCTTGTCCATGTCCTTGTCCTTGATTTGATTGTCAGTACCCGTAAAGCCTTTGTCGAGTTGTTTCTGGAGTTCTCGACGTATTTCCTCAACTGATCGACCTGCTGCTGCAGCCGTAACCGCTGGCTCGGCCATCTCGGCTAAGTATGATACAACGGAGAGGACAGGGTTGTCAAGTTGGCTAATTGGCTCTCTTCCACTCGTCGCACCGCTTAGAGAACCATCCTGCGTATCTTCCAAATATTTATCCTCGATTTCTAGCTGGAGGAATTTCATGACACATTCTTCGGGTGTGCGTGTGCCAACATGGCGAGCGATTTGTCGCCAGTTGTCATCAAAGTTCTCCAGACCCTCCAAGAGGAGGAGAAGCTCGGAGTTGCTCCATGGAGCATCCCGATCGGGGATTGTCGTATACGGACTATCTTCCAGTTTGACAAAATCGGAAGCATGGTGAGATGAAGGCAGTCTGCCTTGAAGAAAGCAATTCGGGCACAGATCGTATTTCGTATCCGGAGCATTGGAATTACTCGACACGGGAGCAGATTTGGCGTAGTGGAATCGTAGCCGTGTGCAGTCAATACCGCAGGAATAGCAATGGAATGTCTTCCTGGGTTCTTTCGCTGCAGCTTCCATTGTCTTGATCGAAGAATCGCCACCAGTTCCATTTGTGGTCGCGCCTTCCCCATTTGTCTGCTTCTCTTTGTCCTCAGCTGGAGTGATTCCTTTCCCCTTATCATCATAGATATTGCGACGAATTTCCAGGTTGAGATCACCTTTTGGAATTGGAGTAGCAGACGCGGCTCGTTCAGTAGAAGGGTGGGGTTTACCGGATGTGACGATAGCGTTGGGCGCCGGCTGGAATGGTTGTAAGCCTCGAGGAGTGTCTGCGGTGACTCTGAAGTGACCTGTCATGGGGGGCCCAATATTGGAAGGTCTTGTCTGAGGGTCAACCTGTATTTCAAGTTAGACAAAACAATATATATTCAAATTCATTGCCATTTCACCGCAAAAAGGCATACCTGGTAGTTGATCAAACCCCAGTGCTCGAGGAATGAGTGCACACGCATAATAGCACACACATCACCTGCTAAGTTTCGTCGACAGGCAGTGACTGTAAGATACTCGACAGGGTTCAAGCGGTACGTGTTGATCATGAAATCGCGATAATCCTTGTAGATGGCAGGAGTTTTGCTGCGGTTTCGACTGTTGAAAAATTCCGGAAGAGCTTTTTTCTCAACAGTATGAATCACATTCATATCAAACCAACTCGTGTAGCTTGGAAGGATGATAGCGTGTGTTTGGGCTACCAGATGCGAGCGCGCTGAAGCCTCCAAAGAAGCTTTAGTTTGCGGCGGTTGGTCATCAGCGTTTTCGACTGGCTCTTGTTGCGTTGCCGAGTTTTCACCAGTTTCGTCTCCCACACCGTTTTCTCTTTTTGCATCTGCGTCCGTTCCCCCCATTGTCTCGTCTTCCTTTTCTTTCTCGTCGTCTTTTTCTACCTCTTCGTTCTGGGGCTTGGGAGAAGCAAGCACATCCAACGGATTATCAGAAATCGGGACGTCTTGGTCTGCTTTAGAAGGCGTATGAGGTTGAGATGGGGAACCTAAATTACAAAGCGTATTATAAGCATGCGCATAACCAGATGAAAATGCCGCCGGGCGCAACCTACCTGAGACGTGGCTAGGGGATAATGTGGCGGCAGGAGCCTCAGTCACCGATTGCCCATCCTGGGGAGCGGTGACGGTTGGGCTATCGGTAGCCATCTCGCCCGAGGTTGCATTTAGATCCTCCATTGTGGACGTGGCACAAAGAAATCAAAGGTTACAGGTTACAGGCTTGCTCGGTCCAGGCTATCCGCCTGCGCAGGATAGGAGAAGCTCTGTCAAATAGCAGCGATCCCCAAAGCCGTATTCGGAAGCTCGAAAAAAAACGCGGCAACTGGATGGCTTGGATAATAACAATTAGGCAGGTCTGGCAGCAATGTCAAGCCTGATGGGATGGGTTGTACCAGCGTAGCTGCAATGAACACGGGCAATCGCCAAAAATCTTTGGGATTGGAGGCTCTCCACGCTAGCCGAATCCAGTACGAACAACGAAAATACACACTACGGCAGCGGTGTAAGACCAAGTGTGTCATTTCGGATTAATTATTAACCGAAGGAAACGCGACGCCTAACGCGTTTTCGCGATGTCTAGAGGAATTCAACGCACTATGGAATGATAGCGATAATTAACACCTTTGATTGATTAGCCCAAATGGTTTGAATGATGTATATCTTCATGATTTTCGAGCGATATGATCCGGTATTAATCATTGGACCACGGACAGAAAACAGTTTATCTAAGGAGGTACGTGGACTACCCTGAATTTCAAAACTGATCAAGCGAATTCTCGTGGATTTGGCATGAATTTCTGGATTTGGTCAGGCGGGCAAAGTTAATTGCTAATAGACATAACAACTAGAACCAGTTTTTGTATACATATTATTGACGATATGCACGACACAGCAACATCTGCTAATCTATCATCCGAGACTCTCATTCCTTCGTCATCTCCTTCAGTCAATATGGATATGCAATCCCCTCCTAAACATGACAGACTCCTAGGTCATTACGGAGGCTCACCTCCAGATCAAGGGAAAAGAAAACCCGATGATATCCTTACTAACGCACCTCCCAAACGCCTGAGGAAACTTGGACCCTTTCTTGATGAGGAAGACGACGAGCACGACATATATCCATTTGCCGATTCTAGCGTAAACCCTATATGTCAGGATAAGAGCTACAATACCAGTGCATCATTGGATGCAATCCATATAAGCGCGCCTTCCGGTTCCAATGCTAGCTATGGGATAAGAAATCCCCCCAAATCCATATTTTCGACACACGTGAATGATGTGTCAAAGGAAATGGTAACTATCCGCACATGTTTCGGTAAAGTCATTAATCTGCGAAAGAGAACAAGGACTGCCCCTGTCTCTTATGAGCAAACAATTGCAGAGCGTTCAACTACAGTTCCAGGCAGAGCAAAAAGAAGTTACTATGGAATCGACATTCACAAATTACTTGACGATATCGCAATCGAAAATGCACAGGGAAGCAGCCGCCGTTTACAACCTTCTCCTCACCATCTATCTGTTGAAGTGGCGAATGATCCTCTGAAAAGTAATGGAACAAGCCTTATGTGGACTGAAAAATACCGTGCACGAAAATTTAAGGATCTTATTGGTGATGAGCGGACGCATCGCTCTGTTTTACGCTGGCTGAAGGGATGGGACTCAATTGTATTTCCGGGTCTAACAAAATTAAAATCAAAAGTCTCCACAAATGATTTCGAAGAACGGGCTCACCGGAAAGTTTTGCTCCTGACTGGACCTCCTGGCCTCGGTAAAACTACTCTTGCTCATGTCTGTGCAAAGCAGGCAGGATATGAAGTTCTTGAGATCAATGCAAGTGATGAAAGAAGTCGAGATGTTGTCAAAGGTCGAATTCGAGATGCAGTTGGCACTGAGAATGTGAAAGGGGTGACCATGGATGCTGGTGGTAAACGGATTCGAAAGCCCGGCAAACCTGTTTGCATCGTCGTGGATGAGGTCGATGGGGTTGTAAGTGGCTCAGGTGGTGGTGGTGAGGGAGGTTTCATGAAAGCATTGATCGACCTCGTTATGTTGGACCAAAGGAATTCCAGCAACGCCTCGGAGTCTATTTCGACTCGCAACAAGGGTTCTAGAAAAGGAGAAAAATTCCGCCTCCTTAGGCCGCTGATTCTCATATGCAACGATGTTTACCACCCTAGCCTCCGCCCATTGCGAGCTTCCTCAATCGCAGAAATTATCCATGTTCGTCAAGCTTCTCTGGACAAGGTGGTTTTGCGAATGAAAACTGTGTTTGAAAGGGAAGGCATCCCATATGATGGAGACGGAGTAAGACGGCTTTGCGAAGCTTCGTGGGGTCTGACTAGCACAAGGGAACGTACAAACAGTCGCGGTATTGGTGAGGGTGATATTCGAGGAGTCCTTGTAGCTGGAGAATGGATAGCACATACGCTCCGTGCTGCTAGTCTAACAGCAGATATCAGACTCACGAGACAGTGGGTAGAGAAACACATCCTAAGTGGCGCAGCAAGAGATGGCCTATCAGCTCGTGGTTTAGGACGCGGTGGAACGAAAGATATTGTTGAGCGGGTGTTTCTTGACGGAGCCGGTTTCCCAACTGCACCCACGTCTGCGCAAACTTCCCAAGACCCATTGTTAGGTGGTGACACCAAACTCCCTACTGGTGTCTCTGATCTTCGCAAACGACATGCGATTAACAGTCTGAGGGAGATGGTTGATGCCGCAGGCGAATATGACCGCTGCATTACGGAGTGCTTTACGACTTATCCAACCAAAACGTACCAGGATGATACTTTTCTCTCTAAACCTAACGCGGCCTATGAATGGCTGTATTTCCATGACATGGTATCATCCAAGGTTTACACGAATCAAGACTGGGAACTCAATCCGTATCTTAGCCAGTCTGTTGCCGCATTTCATCATCTCTTTTCCTCTTCCAACCGACAAACCTGGGATGGCGATAAAGCCCACACGAACAATGAAGACGACGAAAACGACCATCCCTTCTCAGGCCCAAAGGCAGATTTTGCAGCTTTTGAAGCGCAGAAGCAGAACCATGCCATCATAACAGAATTCCAGTCGACCTTCTCCCCTCCCCTTCTCCGCACGTTCCGCTCCACTGAATCGATTATCATAGACCTTATTCCGTACCTCACCAGAATGCTAGCCCCTGAGATAAAACCAGTAGTTGTTGGAGGAAGTGGCATTCAAAGAGGTGTCGCTAGCGTTCGCAAGGACACAGAACGTGCGCTCGTAAAGTCAGCGGTGAGAGTAATGAGTGGTATAGGGGTAAAATTCGAGAATACAAGGGTAGAAAGTGAAACTGGCGTCCACAATGGCTGGGTTTACAGGATGGAACCGTAAGTCTTCCCTTCCTGTCCCGACCATCTACACAAATTACGCCTTCATAGACAGCAATCTCTCGGATCGCGTTAAACATCCCCATACTTACATGATCTCCGCTAGACCTCTCGACACATTAACCACGTTTTCCAAGCTAAAAGGCAGCGGATCCACACCTGTCCGCTATGCAATCCGCCAGGTTCTCCAGCAGGAATACGAAAAGGAGATCCTGCGTCAACGTTCCCAAGCTGGTCAAGCACGATTAAACGGGCCCCAGCGCGACAATTTCTCTCGCGATGACAATAACTGCAAGGAAAACACCAACCCAGATGGCCCAAACCCACTTAACTTTTCCTCCAGAATGAACGGACCCAAACGTGATTTCTTTGGCCGCGTCATTGTGAACGAAGCCCGGCCCGGTTCTTGCGTTGTTAGCGATGATGTCGCTGCCTCTCCATCAGTCAAAGCAATGAACAATCCGGTATGGGTTGGTTTTCACGAAGGTTATTCGAATGCTGTGCGTAAACGCGTGACGCTTAATGAGTTGTTATCGGGGTTGTAGAAACAGAAGTATGCGGGCTGGTTTGGCTGGATGGTTCGCGGGCCTCTAACTTAGCGTGATTCAAACCATATGGCATGTTTTTCAAGTAGCGCTATATTTTTGTTTGCGGTATACGCCCGTTTATGATCGTAGCTTTAATTTTCATATTTCATTCTGACCCTCCCGTTGGATCGGGTCTACCTAAAGCATCACCAGGAGTTTCAAATGACCGTTCTTTGCTGAAAAAAAGCAGGTGATTGTTCAATGCTCCAAACCGAAGGATTGATAAATCCACTTAAGTGGCAAGTAGCGTCACCCGCCGACAAAACTCTAGAGACCCGCTAAAAGCTTGAACTAGTTAGCTCAAATGTCATATATTCAATCATATACGGAGTATACATCATAGAATGAAATGTGTAGCGATGTCGAGGAAGAAAAATCCGCTGCCTGTTTCTTCACATCTGCTGGCTGACATGTTTCCGCTTGGCATTGGCGGGCCGCGCCCATGGTTGTCGTCGATACAATGGCTAGACTGCCAATGTCAGCCACCAAATTACTCCGCACTTCCAGTTGCATTTCCCAGCTTCTTCCAAAGAGCTTTGTTGTTCTGTCTTGAATCAATGTCCTGAGTGAGATGAGCTTGACTGCCCAAGTGGTGCATCTCCCAAAATGACCGAATCCACGAGCGAACCTGCCGGTGGGGTAACTCAAACCGACGATATACCTTTTGAGGACAAGCCATCGCCATGGCTGAACATGAAAGCCCAATATTTTTGCGCCGTCGGTTGGGCAAGAGGCCTACCAACAGGATCTTATGCGGACTTGGAAGCTCAGTCGTCGTTTGCTGACCCTGAGGTAAGCGGTCAGTTCAAAGGGGGAGCATGCATGGTTATGATCGTGAGATATCTAGACACTCCCGTCGGTAAGGCTGTTGCTATTTATTTGGGCCCAATGAATTGAAGAATACGCAGCTAATCTCTTCTTTGCCTGTCAGGTCCTTACGATGAAATCTTGTGGGTCCCTGGATGGTTTGAAGTCCCGCCTAAAAAGGCAAGCAACCCGCGGGTAACGAGGATATACGTCTCCAGAAAGGAATCCATTTACAATGGTACAGTTTTCTTCCGGCAGGATCAGTGCAGTGCTGCATCCCATACCGATTTTGGTATATCTGCTAATAATTTTTATTGTACATAATGCAGGGCGCAAAAACTGGAACATCCCTAAACATGTATTGTGTTTCGTTTTCCCTAGATCATGCTTTGATCCTTCTTGATATAAGAATATTGTCCAACTAACAGGGAACAATAAACCAGTTAGCAAACTTTAAATTCACCCCATCAGAAACGCCATCGACTATGCCCTACTCCAGCGTGGAAATATCTTTGCCCTCTAACCCAGATCAACCATTTGTCGCCCTTCAATTCTCCCCGCTGACACTAGTATCCAAACTCAGCTTCCCGGTTCACACATCTTATGTCCCTGTCAACCTTCTACTGGGGATGGCACCTATTCCAGAAAGCGAGTCCTGGCGAGAGGATGCTTTGGTCGGGACCAAGGAATGGTGCCACGCAAGAGTTGATATCTCAGGATGGGGTAGGATGATGCGTGTCGAGGGAAAGCTTGGAGACGGGCAGTCCTTCCCTGAGCTTTCAATGTCCAGTTATTGGGTGTATATCAATGACGCGAAACTGAGTTGCATGTCGATTTGACCCCGAAAGGGCAGCACTAATGACCATTATCTATTCGTCTTCAAAGGGAAAAAATTATCTATGTCTCTTTAGGGAGAATTTTTCTAGCTTCCTCCTTAGAGGAGAAGTGGTTAGGGTCAACAAACAAGGTGGTTCGTTTCGAGCCTTACGATTATTTTATGTTTATCGAATTAGCTTTTATTTCTATCGATGCGATGACTGAACTATTGTGATGGAATGTCTCCCTCCACCTGGAGTCTTTCAAGAATCCCACTAGTGTAGGATTCCTCCTAGAATTCGCGCATATATCGCCTCATAGCCTTTCCCCAGCACAGTTCCCGTCTTTCTAGACTGGTAATATCAAACTAAAAACTTTTCCACCAGGCTAAAAGGAAACATTTCCTATTAGGACCACTAGGGTCAGTTTGTTTTCGAGGCGCATGCTCCGATCGACACATCCTCTTCGCTAGTCTATTAGGGCCTGTTCGGTGATTTTGTCCGTACTGTGCCAGGGCCGTACAGAAAGTGGATATTTGCCTTTTGACGGCGTAAACCTTCATTATTGCCGCCTTTCCCTATATGAATATTAATCTGCTTGGCGTTCTGGCATTACTTTTATTACTTACGAGCGGTTTTTATCATGATGATTATCGTGCGATTCCAGCGGACGCGTTGCAGTTGAAAATCCCGTTATATTACTACTTTCTCACACCAAATATCAGTGAAAAATGGATCTTGACGAGTCTCAGATTGATCCGACATCACAATACCTTGATGAACCCTTGATAAGCGAGAGCCAGCGGCCTGAATCCCCAACGCTAGCCACCCGAGCCACGCAGCGAGCCTCCCCACCCTATACCCAGCGAGCCCGGCGAGGCCCTCGAGTTCGAACTGATTGGACCCCTGACATGGAGCTGGCCATGCTCAATACCTTCATTGATGCCAAAAAACGAGGTTTGGAGACAGACAACGGCAATTACAAAAGTGTTGTTTGGCCTTCAATTGTTGATGCTGTCAGTCAGCATACACATCAATCTATTACCAAAGATATATGTGAGAATTGATGGCGGAAGATTAAAACGATTTGGAAGTTGTGGCATAAGCATCAACAGCAGATATCTGGGTGGTCATTCTGTCAAGAAAAAATGACATTTGTCAATGATATTGAGGTTACCAGCGTGTATTTCAATCAACATCCGGAAATGCGACAATTTCAACATCGAGGACCTGTGTATCCAGAACTCACCGGGGAACTGCTTGATGGTCGATTGGCAACAGGTGATTATGCTATAGGATATCACGCTCGTCAGCAAAGAAGAAGAGAAGAGATGATGAGTGAAAATACTAGTGATGTTGGAACAGAGGAGGAATTGACATTCACATCCACATCTTTCTTGACACCCACACCTGTTGTAGAATCTCTTGGAGCAGCTTATCAAAACTCTGCTAGCTCATCTCAATCACCTGCGAGAATGTCAACTGAAACAAGCACTCGAAATCGACCACTCAAAAGAAAATTTGAGGACAGTATTGATGCTCTGAGAGAAGTTATAAGAGAATCTGCAACAGCCAAATTAAGAGTTGAGCAACCAGGTGATATCGAGCGAGCAACCAGGCTATTTTTAAGTGAGGTTCAGGATTTGCTTCCAGAGGATTGGAAGGTTGATGGTCGAATTCCTTATTCACGATATAGCAAGATACCATTGCTTTTTCGAGATCCAAATATATCAGGTCTCTATCTTGGTTATAGTGCAGGGTCAATAGAGGATCGGCGAAGCTTTATACTGACTCTATTTGATTCAGAAGAGCAGTAATAGAAGTAGTAAGATGAAGAAGAAATGATGGCAGAAGTAGTGGCAGAAGTAGTTGTAGAATTAGTGGCAGAAGTAGTTGTGGGATTAGTGGCAAAAAATAATAATGAAGGCTTCTTTGTATCTACAATATCAATGAAATAAAGAATGAATGGAGAGGTTTCTTTGATAAATTACCAAAATAACAGTATTTACATTGAATAACATGGTTATAAAACATCACCACTTTTTGTATGAGAAGGTTAGGTAAATATGTTAGTTCTATTGGTTGATAAATTACAGCATGTATTATATACCATCAAATACACTGATAAAATACATATATTACTGCAACGAAAGTGAGAAGATGTTTGAAATATCAATATTGCTGTGGAAAGTACTCAATCTACTTGATTGCTTTATTGAGACTAGCTAGCTCGCTTAATTGTTATTATGATTCCCACTCAGATATTCCTTATACTGCTTCCACATCTGCTTAGCAATATCATCCCGTTTTTTCATTATTTCATCACCATTCTCTTGAACATCTGCAGGAACCGTTTCTCTTCTTTCCTCCTCAATATCAGAATTCTCATCATATTGAGTAAGCTCATCCATTTCCTTATAGTGATTCATGAAGTTATGAACCGCTGCTAACGCAAAAACCAGGTCAATTTGAGTTGTTATAGAGAATCCATCTCGACATCGATCATAGATTTGAAATCGCCGTTTAAACACCCCAAACACACACTCAATTACACCTCGCAAGCTCGCATGGCGAAGATTATATAGCTCTGAAGCATTGACAGGTTGAGAATTCGCTTTTTCCCATTCCTTTAGATGATATCGAACTCCTGAATATGGAACCAACATCAAGCTGGATTTCTGCGAATAGCCAGCATCTGCTAAAAAGTAGCAGTCAGATAATGTGGTTCCAAATTGATCCCTTTCCTGCGCCTGTGAAAGAACTCTACTATCATGAGAAGATCCTTCCATTCCAGGGTAGATATATACGAAGTTCATATCGTGATCGTAGGCAGCGAGGACATTTTGAGATATCCATCCCTTTCGATTTCGCCATACAGATTGCTGATTCAAAGGAATAGAAATAGGTAAATGAGTCCCATCTAGAGCTCCAATACATCCTTTGAAGAAAGGCCAATATCGTGGATTTGAACCAAGAGCTTTCTTGCTATATTCCATTGGGGATTCGGGCATCTTGACATAATGCTCATAGAGTACGCAGAGCGATTCCAAAACCTCATGAAAGACTCTATACAAGTTATTAGTATAACATCAATTTGGTGAGTATTCTATCATTTGTACTTACTTGGATATTGTGTCTAATGAATGATGAAATATCTCTGCAGTGTTCCGATAGCTCACCCCCTGTGTCATAATATACAAGAATATGAGAACCTTCTGCTCAATCTTTATGGCATGTATTGCTTCGGATTCGCGAATATCGGTATTACTTCTCAGCCAATCAACCAGTGCAATGAACGTACTGGCACTCATCCGTGTCATATTCTTAATACGCAGTGGGTGGGAGGTAGGATCCAACAACTGAGTGGTAAATTGAAATCCACGAAATGGATCAGAATACATGGATTGTATGCCAGGTGAGACAGTTGAGATGCTCTGATGAATCACTTCTGCAGCAGCAAGCCTGATTAATTGTTGTCTACAACATAGATACTGTCGTATTGCCTCCTGAGTTGCATTGTCACTGTTGCTCGCCATGATCCTTGATTTTTGATGATATTTGCAGGTTCCAAGCCGGCCAGCGCTGGATCGAGTCAGCACAAATCACGACTTGTTCCAGCGTATACAGTACAGATTTAACTTGATTAGGTTTAAATTCGCCACTTTTTCAACTAATTACACCGTTGAACTCTATAAAGTGGATTTTGAAGCCAGCTTGGCACTCTTGGTGAGTTATACAGGGTTATACGCAAAATCTACCGAACAGCAGGCCTTTTTTGGCCAGATTAGCGCGTACAGAGCTGTATAAGTCCGTATATAGCTGGCACTGTACGGACTTATACGGCCCTGGACGGGGTCACCGAACAGGCCCTTAAAATCTCTTCGGGTCTAGTTCCCGATCCCCTGATAACTCTCGCCAGAATCAAAACATCGCTACTTCTTTGATTCTATATACTTTAAATACCAGCCAAAGAATGCTATGGAGTCTGAGTGACATAAAGTCCGTTCCATGTCTTCCGCGGAAGACGCTACACGCTTGAGCATGTGCCTGCTTCACGGCATGTTTGCGGAGACATCTCGAGCGGTATCGACTACTTAATTCTTTAAAATGATGCTCAGTGGCGCATCACATCGCCTGAGGCTGACACTGAGGGGTAGCGTAGACTGTACAGAGTGGCGCAGGATGGATTGGTCATCACCACTGTCCTTTGCGGTGCATGTTCAAGGATCTGGGATAGGAACTTCGAGTCTAGATCATTGATGTGATGGACATTCAAATGGTGGTTGGTCGAGCACTCTCAACGAGTCTTGACAAGTCTCCAGGGTATATGTTTCGTTGGGGAAAGAGCTGAGAGATGGCAATAAGAAGACTGTGGATACAACTTTTACACATGCCATACCTCGGTGGACATCGATCAATCGGACAAAGACCCTTTCCCACGATGCTGAGGATGACGCTCGGTACCATCGACAGACAAGGGCTTGTCCAGCTTACGGTTAAAACGTGCTGGGAGATGAAAGATCTAAGAATAACAGTGCATAATTTGGAACCCTTGACGACGACCTAGACTTTGAACATAAGCCCACTCAGACTCTTTCACGGCAGCCCAGTGCGCCAGTCGGCTATTTTCCGTTTCATCCATGTCTACGCAGTAAACCCTTAACCCTTGTTGACTACGAGTCGCTTCAAGGGTCCTGGATCATGCCACGCTGAGCAGGATTTGAAGGACTCTTCGATGCTGCTGGGACAACTCCCGCATAATCTCAGAGATTATGAGAAGCGGCGTGTCTAAGACCAATTCATGCGAGGAAACATGGATGATCAGAATCAACATCAAACTTCTCTCGAGGGCTGATTTATTGTTGCCGAGGATGATGATTATGATGATGATCGGCAGGTCTGTCTGCAAGCCCTGAAATCCAAGCCAGCGCCTAACCGTTTCGAAACTTCGGGAAGAAATGCCAGCCCTGGCATCCCCTGTCCAGTCCATCCTTGATCCCAGTTAGGGCAGAAAAAGAAAGGAAGAAGCAAAAAGAAGTACGGAGTAACTACATAGTAGTTATATCCGAATAAACACAACAGAGCACTACCCTACGTGAGGTTCATTGAATCAGGAAAAAAAAAAAAAAAAAAGGAAGAGAGAGAGAGAGAAAAGAACAAAAGCTTCTGCTTGTTTCCTTGCGATTGAAATGCATCCTAGAATATAGTGCCTGCTCGAAGTTCATCAATTGCTGTAACACAGCATGCAAATTGGCAATGGAAAATTTATAACCTGGCATGCATGCATACAGACTGCAGCATTCCCAGAGAACGAGGAACTCATGACAGAAGAATATCCCAAAATCAGATATTATATATATTAAACTTCTTAATAATGATAGTATTAGGTGATATATCAAAGGAAACTGATAAAGCTGGGCAAAACAAGCAGTTAAAAAGTAGGAAATGAAAACAACATCAATGCATCCTGAGAATCAAGGTAAAAAAGACATGGGTATCGCGCAAACTCATTCAACAAATTAGGATTTCCAGTTACCAGAACCCGTAAAATATCTTCCTGCAACACCAAAGCATTCTAAATCAAAAATGAAAAAAAGAAAGGAACAAATTAGATATTAAAATATCAAAGACACGATGCGGAATTGCTATACCCATGCACCTTTCACAAACACGTCCTTCTTTTTGGCTGATTTTCAGTCTCTTCTATCAGGTAACTGGTCGAATCCGATATTAGAGTGCATTTGTCGCGCATTGATAATTATCTGTTCGCGAAGTATGAAGCACGGGCCTCCATTACAACCTTATTCGAGCTCGATTGGGCCTTGGTCTGAACAGGTTTCTTTGTCGAGTGCTGGAGGATGGCCTTCATTCTGGCAATAGATGATGAGCAGCGAGTTGAGGATGTCGAGCTATCACAACGAGCGGCAAATGTGGAGGTGGACTTGGAGGAAGCGTCGGACGGCATTTTCGACTTTTGTAAGAATATAAAAACCGCTTATCGGACAATAACAACTTCTGTTGTTGTCGGCTCTAGGAGGGCTTGATAAGGGGATGGCTTTTCCGATTTGCGTGAGGGTCGTTGATATAAAGCTTGCACAGGTGTGGTTGTTTTGTGAAGAGATATCGTGAGGGTATGAAAATCTTCTCGTTGTGAGGATTCTTTGGGAAGTAGATAGCTATTTCAATATTTAATTTCTTTTCCTTTGAATAGATAATAGATAGTCATAAAGATGCAGGATAACAGAGGATTTGATCCCCTTTTATACCCATGAATTCAACAACATAACCTCACAGGGCGTAGAATTGGCATCAATAATTGACATTCTGGGGAGTAGAACCAAAGTAAGTCACAGCCTGGACTTTCATCATCGCATGCATGGATGCAGATTTTAGTTCCCTTGACGCAGTCGATACCTTTCCTTTTCAAACGCCGGCTCCCAAGCGGCTGGCGTTTTGACCCTTGCTGGATCGTGTTAGGCCACCACCAGCGTCATGCTGGTGGTAAGTAGAGAGGACGAACCAATCCAGACTCCCAACAGATCCCTGATAGATGACTAGCTCTTGTTTGCTGGCTCGACCAGAAGTAGTATGTCAGCATCACGCTAACATCGCAAACAGCAGAGGACTGGGCGGGTCTTTTCGTGTGCATTCATAGAGTGGACCCATTCCAGCCATTCCAAGTCGCTCTCGACCCGGGCTTGAAGCCCCAACTGTAAACTGAACCCAGGCCCGTGTCCTGTGTTAGGCACAAATGGTGACGTTTGCGCAGAGGTTGAGCAAGAGATGTTAACCAATTCATAATTCATGCGCATTCCAGAAGGATACGGGGTCAATCAACATGATAAATCCGTGGTGAAGAGAGAGTGTGTTTCCACATCCGCCATTCTTCCGAACCTTCTTTGTGGTGCGGTGACTCGACATCCCGTATTCAACATTCTTGATTTCCAATCTTGGGCGCCGACGATGTTCCACGCCTGAGGATGAACTCTAGTCCTGCGCTAAAAAAGCCAAGCCCCTTTGCTGAAATAATCTTATGATGCTGAGGTTGAGCTATGTAGTCAATAACTAGTTAGTTAAACGAACAAAACAAACTTCACTTGACGTCACTTTAGTCCGCCGCAGTCATGGTTATGTTGGGAATCGAATGTGGTTCCAATTTCGGTCTGATGAACCGTCACAAGAACGCTTCGCTCGCTGCTCTCTTCGTAGTTGAGAGCGATGATCTGTTCGCTCCAGGCAATAACATCCAAGTTACATAACATATTTATTCACAAAAGAGACGTACATCCATCTTCAATTTCCATCTAAGAGCTGTTTATCCTTTCAAACACTAGCATATTTCACAGGCAGACAGGCACTAGTAGACAGCAAGCTTCGAATTCGATCTCTATACGCCTGCAAGCAGGTATGCGAGCTGGTAGTCAAGCGAAACCTCCGTATGTGATAGAGAGTTGACAGAGATCTTGCAGGTAGGCAGCCAGAAGTAGGCGGAAATATCTAGATTCATGCTATCCACACATTAGCACATCATCACCTTAGAGAGGATAGTTCAACATTAACCGTTATTTCACCATGGCTCAACATGTATCACCTGGGACTTTGGGTTAGCACGAAGATGGAAAGAAGTGCAATATGGCGGATAAAAAAGCTTCGAGAAGGAATTCAACATCACAGGTCACGGGAGAGTCAATGGGTTTTCAATGGGAATCTCTCCGTCTGGGGATCCAGGCATATTTAGCGTGCATCCAACCGGCAGAGCGCTTTTTCCATCCCTTATTGGCTTGATATTGCCTCAGGTGCCTGGATCTGGACAGCGGTGGAGAGGATAAGAGTCATCACCACGATTGCACTGTGCAGCTGCTAAAATTATCCAACGGGGCCGTCATTTCATCATCACACAATCACTGTGCCGCTGTGATCTAGTCTCCAGCTCGCTCAAGGTTCCTGCGTAATTCCGGACAGCGTCAGCCTCGCCTTTTCGTATTTATCTTTTTCGTTTCCATTGTCTTGTTGTCGGGTCGATTGACTGGAGCTGATTGCAGGAAGTGTTGTTGGTACTTTAAATTTCCGATCAGTCCAACAAAGCAGTTTTAGAAGTTTTGATTCCATTCCTCTGAAGGTTTGCTTTTCGAGGAACTTGTGGATATAAGTTTTGCTGAAGTACAGCTTGCCAGCTTGAAAATAATCCGGCCTCAAGATTTGAAAACGGGCTGAGATTGACTTCACCATCGAGTCCCATTCAACTCTACGGCGTGACTGTTTGCAATCACAACAAACATTCTATGGGTAATATATTATTTCACCCCAACGCACAGAAATTCATGCGGAGTGATATACAAGCCTGGCATATCCGCAATCCTGGCAGGAAGTTCAAAAATAAATAATAATAATAATAAGTAAATCTAAGCATTATATTAGGGACAGATGAAGAACAAAAAGGAAAAAAAGAGATGATGTCGCCCAGGCTCGAACTGGGGACCTTGAGTGTGTTAGACTCACGTGATAACCAACTACACCACGACACCTTCTTGCTGTTAGGACGACCATCATTTAGGAGCTAAATGCATTTCGAACCTGGCTGAACATCGTGTGCTGGTAAAGGATGCTTAGATTAAGATGTTTTCCACTAGATATATACCAGGCATACCATTTCGTTTTATTCATGTGATGAATGTTTGTTTATGTTTATACTGTACACGTGTATGAACAGCGGATTTAGGACGGCGATACTAAAAGTCTAAGAGCCCCAAAAAGAGAGAAAAGCGCGAAAATTTCATAAGAAATAATTCCAAAAAAAAAAAGCATGAAAGCCATAAATGAGTATGTATACCTATCGAAATAACAGGAGATGAACAGGAAGTGGCGCGACTAATTTTACTTCTTCAACTTCTCTGTCAACTCGGGAACTTTCTCGAATAAGTCCCCCACCAATCCGACATCTGCAACCTGGAAGATAGGCGCGTCGGGATCCTTGTTAATTGCAGCAATAACCTTGCTATCTTTCATACCGGCAAGATGCTGGATCGCTCCAGAGATACCCGCGCAAAGGTATAGTTCAGGAGCAACGTTTTTACCGGTCTGGCCGACCTGAAGACTGTTATCGGCGAACCCGCTATCTACGGCAGCGCGAGAGGCACCAATAGCAGCACCCAAAGCGTCCGCAAGTGGGGGCATCAGTCTGTCGAATTCCTCTTTCGATTTAAGGCCCCGTCCTCCAGAGACGACGCGGGAAGCAGTGCCAAGATCGGGGCGGTCAGACTTGGCCAAGTCCTCTGATACCCATTCTGTTAGTAATAGCGCTTTAGGGTCCGCGCCATCAACGACTTCCGCTGTACCGCCTGTTATCTCGCCGGCTTGAAATGCTGTTCCTCGGACAGTTAAGACCTTCACGGGGTCCGTGGATTGGACGGTAAGGATAGCATTTCCGGCATAGATTGGTCGGACAAAGGCTATGGGCCGGATGTCAGCAGAAGGAAAGTCATTAGATCATAAGATATGGGGGAACTCACTATCCTCACTTTCAATGGCAGTGATATCAGATATTTGCTGGACGTCCAAAAGGGCCGCAACTCGAGGTAAAATAGTCTTGCCAAAAGCACTGTGACTGGCGATGACGTGTGTGAATCCTTCTTTTTTGATGTTCTCGACGAGAAGCGGGGCGTAGTTCTCAGGCAATCCCTATATTCGTTGAGCGAGTGCATGGTTAGTATGTATACATTCTCTTCCTGCTAGCCCATGTAATAACCAGTACACCCAATATGTAACTCCGCAGTCTCTCCAAGTATACAAACACTAGCATACCTTATCATAGGCCGCATTGTCCACCGCAAGGACCTTATCCAGACCCTTGATCTTTGAAGCCTCCGCCGCTGCACCGTTTTTCACACCACCCCCCGCCACAAACGCTGTCACCGAGCCTCCCAATTTCTGTGCAGCAGTAATTGCCGAGAGAGAGGAACATTGGATCTTTCCATCGCGCTGTTCGAGAACCGCAAGGGTAGAGAGCAGCCGTGAAAATGCCGAGAGTTGTGACCGATGGATGGATTGTGATCGTAGCGGAGTGGTCGCCCGAAGGATCGAGTGTCTGGCGATAACGGAATTCATGGCTGAGTACGATGGGGTAAGATAGAAGTGTATATCTTCGCCCTTTCCGCCTCCTGATTCGCACAATAGAAACTTGCTAGGTAAGATCAATGGACGAAACTGAGGGATACCGATCTCGGGATCCTCGCCGCTTCTGAGGGGAGAAGTTGAATGCGCGAACTTGAATGACTAAGCAGGCTCGGAAATTCACGGTTAAAACCCAAGAGACAAACACAAATCAAAATTCCTTCAAAGACGAAGAAGTAGTATCCTGCTGGATTATGAATTTTTATGTTATTATTATTGGTCTGAAAACTTCGCCCAATAGGCTCTATCATGATTTAAAAATTGCAGGTACTCCAGCTAGAAGGAACAAAATATTTTTTAAAAAACGGTAAAGGCGCCTCAGGAACTCCATATTTGAATAAAAAGCATGTAAACAAAAATAGGAAAGCCCATGATCACCTTCTTTTCCTTTTATTAGAATCAGAAGACTCAGGAACCTTGGTGAGGGCAGTCTTGTTCCCATTGACATTGTCACCGTCTGATAGAGCTCGAGCTTTTTGAGCTTGAAGCTTAGCTTTTCTCGATGCGATCAATTCATCATCTTCATTATCTTCCTTCTCAGATATCTTCAGCTTCTTTGACTCCATAGACCCCGATTTCCCAACCGATTTGCGCTTCTTGTTCATTTTCTTGGAACCCTCAAGAGTCATAGAATCCTCATCTTCTCGAACATCACCCTCATCAACCCATAATTCACTGGCAAGCCAAATTGGCATAGCCATTGTATTCGCACCTTTCAGGTGTAAAGCCTTGATATTCCTCCATCCCTTCGAGACATACTTTTCCGCCATACCCTGAACAACAGCCTCAACGTTTTCCACCAGCTTCTCGGGAGTAAAGTTCGCAGAACCAACGCGCACAGAAGTCGTGGCCGCGGACGCCAAATGTACAGGGACGCTAGACAGAGTCTTCTCGATCTCTTTCGCAACGACAGCCGGCGATGCAACGGCAGAGTACATTTCATCTGACGCAGGTCTCTTCCTATCCTCCTTCTTCACCTTTTTACCCCCGACCTTCTGCACTTCCGCAATGCGAATCGGAATTGGGCGCTTGCTCGATTTATAGAAGATCTTCCCCAGGGTCTGCACCAGCCTCATGATAATCCGATCATCGGCCAAAAAGACATCATGCTCTGATAGCAACCGTCGTCGACTCTCGAAGCTCTTATATTTGGTCTTTAGTTTGGTGTATCCGATGACCTTGGTAATGCGCGACGACAAGTTTGTCGGGAATTGAGGGTTGGCAATAACATCCTTCACCGCGCGTTGTGGGTCGGCTGCTATGAGGCAGATGCTGAGAGAAGGGGAGGTATTCAGGGAATGTGGGACAACGATTTTGCCTGGCTTTAAACGGTTTTTGTCTACGATATGTTTTTTCGTTGTGAGGACCAGCCAGATGGGAGTAGCATCTACACCACCCATGTCGTCTTCATCGTCGTTATTGACCAGGAGATCCTTCTTCGTCGATTCCAGAGCTTTCCTTTCCTCTTCCGTTTTTATATGACGTAAAAGCGCAGATGACGCCCGGGTGACCTGTATATATAAATGGCCCTCACTATTAATATCTCATCGACTTAATAAAGCACGGGTTGAATGGGCGGGGTTAGGCGAAGAATGAAAAAGAGACCAACCTGATCATTATTCAATTGATAAGGAGTCCCAGAGACGGGTTTGATGGTAAGGACACCAGAGGTCACAGCCATGATTTTCTCTATCCTATCACTTTTCTTCTCTTGACTTAGAGTTATCCTTTGTTAATCTCCAAATTCTGTTGAAAAAAATCTTCGGAGTACGGTCAAGCAGTTTTTCCGATCACACTAGGTGAAAGGTTATTCCGCTCTATCATAGCCTGGGTTGAGCAAATGAATACTCCAAGTACTAACTAGAACTAAAAATTGTTCACAGAACAAACATACGTATAAGCTGCGTTTGTTATATGAGGCGCTGACAGCTAGTATAGAGTAATATCAGTCCACACGTCCTTCTGACTCTATGGGGAAGGAAGAATCGATACTAGTATTCTTCAACACACATCATAAGCCTAGAGGTGCTTCAGGAGCGGGATACAAATATGAGATTGCCCTAGAGATCCTTCAGCGTGGGTTTGCTTTCTCCCAACAGCCGTCAAGTAGAGATCTATGGCCATATACGCAGTAGATGGAGTGCGACTGGTCGTTCAAAAATGAACGGTTGACATTGCCTAGCTCAAAACTTGCCGTGCAGATCCCTAAACCCACAGGAGATCGATATATATCAATTTTCAAAATAATTATACAGTTACAGCATGCTCAATGAGCCGTCATCAGCAGGATATTGCCCAAGACCTTTAGATCATATACAGGCTCATTAGTATACTAGTATCCAAGGATGTGCTCTGGGCAATGACATGTCTTGGACTGTCGTCAAAGAATTCATCAAAGTCTAAAGGTATATAGCCAATTTGCCGGGTCATACTGGGTTCATTGGACTTTTTAACCTTCCGCGATGCAGAGCTATATATTGCATAGTCCCGAAGAGGCTTGTCATGGCTGTTGAAAGTGGCAAATTGGATATTCACAGAGTAGTAGTACTAGTATTTATTCCTCTCCACTCTCTCTCTGTCCGCCATCTTCAAACGACAAGAATATTTACACCTTTTTGCTATTGTTGGCCAGAATGGGCGGCAATATTCTGGGCTGTTGCCTTTGTGGGTTCTTCCTTGGAGACTTTGAGGACCTTGGGAACGGATCTTGATGGGAGCCCATTTCGACTGTCGGCCGGAAAAAACTTTTTGGCGGCTTTCCAACATCCTCATCTATGACACCAGCTATCCTTCTTGAGATGACAGTATTTTATACTTCTCTAGCCCTTCCCCCCTAACTAACCCTACCCTCACATCTGTGGTTGATGTATGTGGACGAATGTATGTAGACAAATATGTGGTTCCAATTAAGCGAAACCACGTTCAACTGTGTCCCTCATTCGATCTTTTAGATACCGCTCGCGAATAATTAGTACCATGCCGTTAGATTTGTTAAAATTAGAGAATCAGTACATCATAACTTTACAGAACCTGAGGTTTCAGGTGTCGGGCAATTCGTCGACCCCGGTGCCGAATCTTTTGTTCTTCCTGCAAACAAGGACAGCCGCTGGGATGACCCAGGATATCACTCAGCTCCAAAAGTTGAATTCAGTGCTTTTCATCTCTGTTGGCCGTCGAAGCGTCCTGGTTTTGTTTTCCATGAAGCTTGCTGGTCAATTGTTCAACAAGTCTATCAAGACAAGCAAATCCCTCTGGCACGCATTCTGGAAGTTTTTCCACTCCCTGCCGGTTTCGCTTACAGACAATGTTCCAAACCGGGACCATAACTATGAAGGCTTAGTTACTCTTGATGATCGATGTTTTCCATGGTATGACGAGTTGAAGTACAATAACTCTATGTCACCGAAGCAACAGCGTCTGCACCCAAAAGCCAACCCTTACGAAGTGGTTGATATTGATGATTTTCTCAAAGACATTCAACGATCCCCACCTGGCTCCAAGTCGATTTACACTGCTACTTCTTCCTCACGGACAGAGAATTGTTTCGTGCGGCTCCCATTTGAAATTTACAATGAAATAGCGTCCTATCTGCCAACAGCGGATGTTTTGGGACTTCGTCTGGTGTCATGAGCATTCGTGCCTATCTCCTGGAGCCAGGCATTTTGGAGAACAAGGTTTTGGTCTAATTCTGATCGGGGATTTCTATTTGAGATCTGGCATCAGACTGGAGGGTACTCTACTGCCGTACAAGCAATTCCCCTCTTCCGCCCAGACTACAGAACAGGCAGAGAGTCTGGAAACTGGGTCTCGCATTGAGGAACATTTTAGACGCGAAGTGGATGAATACCTCATCAGTATCATGTCTTGAGGGCCTTATACAGGCTGACTTCAACTGGAAAAGGGTTTCTGGAAAATTTCCCGGAAAGCCCCGCCCTACCTCACTCAACAAGTATCCAATGTTCCACTATGGTTGCCAGGAGTTCAAAAAAGGACGTGTTTTAATCCCACATGACCTTGCTCAGACTGTTGTCTACCTGGTCCGAGATGGCGATGCACGTTATATTTCTGGGTTAAAATTTATTTCAGCCGGTGAACAGAAGACATGCTTAGGATATTGCACTGATGAGTTAGTTGTTGTGGATACACCGGCCCTAAGAGGATTCACCGTAGCTGTCGGATCGAAAGGAATACGTGGATTACAGATTATGGCAATACCAGAGTCATTGAAGCAATAGATTGGCTCTCATGATCGATGTCCCCAAACAAAACGGCTTATCACTGATGGACCTCTAATAGCACTTGAGGCAGTTTTGATGTAAGCAGAAACCACAAGCCAGCATCCCCCCACTTTTCCTTTTTTCATTTATAAATTTTCTTAATCGGCTTCATCGCTGAATGGGAATCTCTAGGGGTTCGAATTGGTCAGCCTTGCAGCGGGGGAGGAGCGAACAGTTCATAACTCATCCATTGACTGCAACAAGTCTTTGCACAACCACGCGTTATGGTACATGGTACCCTAAGATCCCTAACCGCGAACTTTGTCTAAGTGACATTGTGTCTTACAGGGCAAAACCTTGCTCTTGATGAGTATCAGCCTTTATGTTGGGTTCGTTTTGGTGGTCTCCGTGGTGACAGGCTTCGATCCTTACGGGGAATCACAATACCGAGCTGTGGGCTACCGTGGATTCGATTTCATTATGCCCAACGCTCAAGCCCAGTTACTCTTGGGCGTGGGACGTCCAGAACCTAAGCAAGTCTCTCGGTTTTCTATCAATGGGCCATCTGGGGAAATAATTGAAAACATTGAGAATCCAAGTGGACTGAAGAAGGGATGCTGAAATCTTTCAAGGTAAGTATCTATATAAATGATCAGCCTCGGCTTTAGGCCAAAATAGAGGTCCTTCCTGCTCCGAGAGTGTTTTCAAAATACCTGATGTTAATTAATATCGATGGTTAGATTTTAACAAATTACGGGAGGGAATTTCTTTCAAGCAAATGGGGAGAAGAACCTCCGATTAGGCTAGCATATCCTCTAGGGATAATCATCACGGGGATCTTCGGGAGTTACGTAAGTACGATATGATTGATTTCCCTCTGCATCGAACAAACGCTGAGTACGGAGTAGGATTATCGGTTTGGCCTCATGAGTTTGGGCTTAATGTCGGTGAAAATCTAAGAAACAACATGGAATGCATTTAACTATACCAAGTGATTGGAATTCTAATTCCCCAGCAATGCGACCCTACAACGCCCTCTAGCATGCACCCAAGTAATACCCCTTAAGTGGATGAAAACAAAGATATCCTTTCTACGAGTTCCTCTAGCGCCTTGTGGATCTCTGCCTAGTCGTTTTTTATATGCATGAGCCTCCCGCCGGTGAGAGGAAAGTCCTCTAGTTCCTCCCCTTGCTTCCCACCAAGCTGGTAGATTCGACAGTGACGGCCGATTCCGACTATCCATACAGAGTATGCTCCATGTCAGGTTTAAATCCAGAACGGACAATATTGAGATAGGAAGTCAGTTGCTCAAGGGCCTCCTTCCACTCGGCGTTCCGCCCCTCAAACTCAGCACGCTCGTTCTCACAGAGAATAACGAGCTCTTGGTGGCCCACAGTATTCACACGGGCAACTGCAATATTCCCCCGCCTGCTACTGGCTGCCGAGAGTGGTATCTGGGGGTGGAGCACAAAACCATCCTTCGGGTGGAAGTACATGTTCAGGATATTCAGCCGCATGGTATCGACTGCGTTTTCAAGGGACGCCTTGGTGATACCTCTATAAAGGGATGCGACTGCTTCGGTTTCCATATACTCTGAATATAGTCAGCATATCTTCGCGCAGCGAAATCATCAAGGACAAACGCACAGTCATTTTGAAAGTTTCAACTTTTAAATTTCGGATAAAATTGAAAACTGTCTGGAACTGTGGAATCAAAGTTGCTAATGCTTTGTCAATATTGAAGTGTTTAATAGTTATTGGTAATTTGATTCTTCAAGAAAGAAGAGAAGAGTTGTGTATTCTGCCCCTTGCCCCCCCCCCCCCCCCCCAAACTAAAATAATTGCTGTTAACTTTTGACCTAATGGATCGGTAGGTTCCGGTTGGGTCTATTCTTCCAAGAATACCGGCTTAATAATGGAAAAAATAGGGTCATAATAATTTGCGTGAAGGAAGTTCATACCAGATATAGACTCGAAGATCAGTTGACTAGAAAAGATCAAAAGAGACACACGGTAGGGTAGGTGCGTCGGCGAACGAGTAGGGGGAAAA